TGTTCAACACTCAAAACGTCCACATTTTGAGCGCTGAGACGCCCCTTGCCTATCAGCATATCAAATTATCAATTGATATAAATATCAATACAATTGGAAAAGAATTATTGGGAAAAAAAACTATAACAAGATACATTATTCGCCAATAAAAAAGAAATAACGCAACCTATTTTTCAAATTCCGATTTCGCCATGAAAAAAGTGAAACTTTTCCTTAAATCCCCCGTTAATTTTTAATTAGATTGACAGTGAAAATCAACGTGAAAATAAAATCCGTCAAGAATGGCGTAATTTCGCAGCGGGGTAGTCCATTTAACTCCATATGCACCCACTGTTGAAACCGCCTTCACCATTTTTTTTTTCTTTGGGGAAAAAAGGGAGAGAAAGAAAAATAATTAATAATGTATATATGCATGTTGCATGGGTGAGCAGAGCCAACAAATTCCTTCAGTAATGAAAATGATCCATCGTGAGTCCAAAAAAAAAAAAAAGAAAATGATCCATCGCAGAGGAGTATGAAAAGCAGTATAGATTTTGCAGGATTTCAGCTGAGTCGCTAAGTTTTAGGCCTTTTTGGTACTTTAACGTCATCATTACTCTGAGCGAAAGAGATCTTCTCACTTCTCTGTCTCATTCAATTAATATATCACCCCCACACTTCTGCTTCTGGGCTTCGAATCACAGTAAAATTAATCTCAAAGGACAAGGACATTTTGCCTCTTCTAATTTATATTCGCAGCATTCCCAGATACCACACTGAACCATATCACTTCACTTTTTCGTGAGCCAAATTAGCCTCGTTTTCAGAGCAAAAGCCAAATCCACTCTCATATCTCAATCATGAATGGCCTTTAACATGCTTTTCCTCTTTAGCTTCACTGCTCATATTCCAGCCTCAACAGAGACAAATCAATTAGCTGCGAAGAACCAAAAAATTAATTATGTTTAAGCATGTGTGCGCGCGCGCGCGCGACGCATCGTTCGTGGACGACAATTCAAAGGGACAATTTGTCTACATCAGAAAGCGAAGACTTAGCTTTAATGGATGTGAGATCCATGTTGTAAAAATTTCTAGCTAGGGCTTTCTTGTAGACATATGGAATGCTTTGGATCATGGGTTTTCCATAAATCATATAATTTTGGTGAATTCATCAACAATTTGCAGGCCTAGATTTACCTTGGATGGCAAAGGTTAATACTTCATACCCAGAAAGTTACCAATCTTTTAAACCGCGCATTGAATGCTCTCTGTCTTTTTCTTGGAAGAGGGTGATTTTCCTGTCAAAACTCTTTTGCCATCGTGTCCCATGTGATGGTTTCAGTCTCAAATTAAAATCATTAATGTAGATGTACAGATCTGTACTACCTATAGTGTAGCTCTGCATTCCAATTGATAGCTCCAAATTGTTCAAACCCATATGTCTTACGAAAAAACAAAAGAAAAACTTCAAGACTATCTGAATTTTTCACTTCGATTAATGCTATGACAAAACCTAGACGACCATATAATACTTCTAATAGCAGGCTAGCTGGCTGGTTCTTTAGATTCACTGCAATATATATATATATATATATATATATGACTCCTCTTATCAGATCAGCAGCAAGAAATAATGGGGTGATCGGACAAAATGACCAAAGAAAACCTATTTTATATTCTTTGTGGATATATTATAAACTAAGCCTTATTTAGTCTTCCAAAGCATAGATAGGTGAACGAAATTTACCAAAGAAAAGGAAACAGTTCTTCTAGATGCATGAGAATTTAGCATAAATTGTGTTCTGCTATGAATAAAAAAGTTGAAAAGGGAAAGAAATAAACGAAGAGTTGGTGATGATCTTTTTTCATTTGTTCATTGTAGCCAAACAAACTTCACATGTTGATGTTGGCATGTTAAAAGCGATGGGTAGGGCACACGTGCATGAATGCTCCATGTGCCATTTCATTAATAATAATCCTCATGATAAGGCTAATTAAGTCTCCAAAGGGCCATTTTCCTAACTATATATGACCAAAATCTCCGGTTTAGGTTACCTCTTTGAAGAGGAAATTACAAAGCATTTGACTTAAATTTTGAAACATCTTCTTCAACCTTCACGTTAGTTGGGACCCCACTAATCAAGTAGTGGCCTCAACTTTAGGCCCCAATTCGTTGACATTAAGACTCCTCAGCCTCTAATAATTTATTTAACTTCCTCATCAGAGTATAAGAATAAACAAGTGAGGAAAGTTCTTGTCTTGAGTGGATAAAGGCCTATAACCAACTAACAATAGGTTTTTCCTGGCCAGGATTATATTATTTAAATGATAACAACAGAAAATATCAGAATTAAAAAGGCCTAGCCCATGCTCAGCTTTAATAAATGCTCTCTAGGATTTTAATTATCAGAACAAAATCTAAACGAATCTTTGTACCTGTGAATCATCAATTAAGCTTGTATATATGTACAAAGTCAATCTTAATTAATAGGCATCACTTTAACTAATTTGATTCTGGAATTTCAATATAAACTTTTGTTCTTGGATATACAATACCGAAGCCTTAACATAGAGAGTTTCAGATGTTCAGCTACAAGATGTGAGTTTCCGTCTTTACATACAGAGAAGTAGGAAGTAACTAGATTACAACTCATTGTAATTAACTGATAAAAATATCTAATTAACCTATATCAGTTTAAGTTAACTACTTGAGTCTAATACCTCCCTAAGGCTTGGACAATGGACATTATTTTATGAAATGGACTAGGATCAAGGGGGATTTATTAGTAATAACACCAGTTTGAACCTTAATTATAGAAGCTACACGGATCGAATGGGGACCCCTAAATATGCGTAAAATTCAGAAGCGTTATGAGTGATATCATATGATACGGTCCATTCCTTTATGACCCTGCTGTCCTTTGTATCTTGTTCTCTTTGAGAAACTGAGTTTACATCACAAACGTAACTTCTCATCTTTCTGAAACAGTTCCCTTTTTTTTTTTTCGGTGCATAGTTTTGCATGGTTTTCGTCTCACAGTACTTTCTTTCACGCAGGCAGAAAGCATATCTGCCATACTCATTAACGACGCTTCTTTCTATATCAGTGTTTCAGAATTAATGTTTTACACAATTCTTGAGGAATCAGTACACTCTAACTTCTGATGAAATATTAAATATTTCTCACCTCTATACCAATGAGGTTAATTATGAATGAATCAATTTTCACGCTAGTAAACAAAATTGCAGGGACCACCAGTTTGGGGACAAGTTCTTTAATATACATCACTTATAGGCCAATTCAATATATACGAATGCATTATATAGTTGATCCGTATGTACAGTTTTAACAAGTAACTCCCCAGTATTTTTCACCTTAAAATTTTGGAATCCGAGACAGAACGTGACTTTCATAAATATTTTCAGATGGATATTAATCAATCCTCATTTTTACTGCTGTAAACCATCCCAGAATTAACCAAAGCACTAAACAGTGAAAACTCGTTTTATATGTGTGCATATATATATATATATTAAAGAAAAGATTAGTATGGAAGAATTTAAACTTTGAAAGTAGGTTTTGTGGGGCAGGTCATCATGGGATAATAAGTCTCAAACCAGAGAGAAGAAAGAAGAGGGAACTTCTGCAATGACGTAGTTTGGATGGGTCAAGACAATTAAATAATCATGACGCAACGTCACCAAATACCAAACCAGTTCTTAAACAAATGGCCACCAACAACAAACGCCCAAGTCATCCGCCATTTTTATTTGAAAAAAAAAAGATTCCTACTTTATTATATATAAATATAAATATATATGATTGTTAATTCATGTCTCCCTTATATATATATATATATATATATTTATAGTGTGTCTGTGTGTCTGTGTGTTAAAATATGTCATCTTCAATGATGAATCATTGTTCATTATCTTCTACGGATGAACCAACATTATAGAAAACTCAAAAGTGCAGAGAAATAAAACGATACTCTCGTTATTAATTCCTCTTTCTCGCAGATTAAGAGTATTTTCTTTAAAAAAATCATAAAAAATTCAAAACTGTATTATTTTATCGTCATCAAATATCAAAATAATGCCACTCATTTTATTTAGAAAAAAATATTTGGGAGACCGGGCATATACTACAGAGGATATTATCATATTGGCGGAAAAAAATCAAACCGGAAAAAAACATCGCAAGTATTTTTCATACAAATAACATGGTAAAGGACAGCCACAGAAAAATGTAGATGTTGGATATCGAATCTAGCAAGCTCGTAAAACCTTCGTGCTCTGATGAGTTGATTTAGTTCTTCTAATCATTGATGATATCCTTCTTAGTTTATTGATGGAAAAGGCATCTTTCTCAATAATAAGAGTCCCCATGCCTTGAATGTACAGTCACCAGGTGTTAGAATAATTTGATTCACAAAAATGTGTTCGTTTCATAGCGAAATTGAGTAATTGAATTGAATTAAGTAAATGAATAAATTGGGAAAGCTAACCAGTACCGACATTAAAAAGAAATTAAACAATGTCGGTAGTGTAACTTTAACGTAGCCCGAATTAAAGGTGAGTATCATAATTAAGGATCCTTCTAAGACCATTTTAGGATGATATGACCTGCGTGCTTAGCCGAAAGAATATTTATGAAGTCTTCCATAAAGGGTGACTTAGTGCCTAATTCAAAGCAATAGTGGAAAGTTAAGTCCAGATTATAGAAATTTTTGGCAAATTTTTGTTTGCACATTTCCTATCTCTCTCACCACAAAGGTCAAATCCTCTCTCTTTATTTTCTGTCTCAGCTAATTTCAACGCCCCCTAACTTGTATGACCCACACACCAATAGCAAGATTCCAAATTCCATCGTCATACATTTCATTATTATCTTCCCTTTCTTATTCATTGTTCTTTTGTTTATATAATACTACTCTACTATATACTCTTTCTTTGGGTGACTTGCTTCTCCAGAACTGGCCACCAAACCCCACTAATATTGCACTTTCTTGTTTTTCTTCTTCAGCTTCTTCTTTGTTTCTGGTTTTGTGGTGGAAGCCTCAATGAATTCCGCAAGCAAAGCTCCCTGTTCGAGCGAGGTTGCTGAGGAGAGTGGTTGGACTACGTACTTTGAGGATTTCTTTGATGGCAAGAGGTCCTCTATATCTTCTGGTGTTGTTGCTTCTTCCTCTTCTCTTCTTTCTGATGCTGCTACGACAAACAAATTAGCTAATGTTCACGAATTTTCTGGGAGTCAAAATGGCGAGAGATTGAGTTTTAAAAAGAGAAAGAAGAAGGACATAGCAACTATGGTTGACGATGCTTTGGAAGATACCGCAAGTTCTCCCCTCAACAGTCCCAAGGTTAGGTTTTTTCCATCTGGTTTTTCTTTGATTTTGTGATCTTCTTTCTTCTACACCTCCAAAATATGTAGAGAATTTATTCCGTTTTCCTAAAATTTGAATTTTTATGGGTATTTTCGTTTTAGGTTTTACAGGAGAATCGGTCAGACAAACCAAAACAAATGGAGGACATACGCCTTTCTGCAGAGGTTAGAATCTGAATTGATTATATCCTTATTAGTTCCTTCTTTCTTTTTTCCTATTAATTTTTCGAAGCTGAGGAAAACATGCGCATCTTCTGAAAATTTGAGAAGAAACAAGACCAAGTTGATTTCCATTATTCTCTTATTCCTTCCCAATTATTTTCAGTGGTTTCGTTTATCCATGCATGTGCGTGTGTGTTTGTAGGCTGTGATATGTAGCAGATGAGTTTGATATATACATTTCTCGGAAGAACAAATTAATGTTTTGTTTTTGTAGGAGAAAAGGAATATCTCAGGAGAAAGAGAGGAGAGGAAAGAAATGGGATTTATGGAAAGGGAAAGTGACTGCACAGAACTGAAGAAGAGAGGCCTTTGTTTGGTTCCTTTGTCTATGGTTGTCAATTATTTTGGTTAATAATTGATTCTTAGTTTCTCATAATTTCTTCACTCATGCACCCTTTCATGAACATAACCACTCCAATCAAAGCATTTTGTACATAATCATGAATTGATAATGCAGTCACTCGTACTCATCTGCTTTAATTTCCCTCTTCTAGCATTCTAATCTAAAATATATTTAAATAATCCTTTTAACAATTTATATGTAAATTTATAATTTATTTTGTCTAGCTAGTACGTTTGATCAAAAATGGAAAGCACAATACATTGAAAACTGGGAATATGAATTCTGCAGTGCTTTGTTTTTTTTTTTTTTTTTTGGTTTAAGGAGACTCAACACCGAACGACCCGTCACAAGAAAAGTTCAATGATATGTCACCAAAAAAAAGAAAGTTCAATGATAAATATGTGGAAATGAGAATAGCAAGTTCATTTTTTCTTTTTTTATTTTGTATTGTGTAATACTACCTTCGGTCCTAATTATAAGAGCCAGTCGATTAATTTGAGGAGATTAAAGAAGTAAGTTAAGTTAGTTATTTGTCCTAAATAGGTGTTGTTTTTCCTAAAATATCATTGCTAATCAAGTGTATTGACTATAACTATCATTGTTAGAAGGGTTACTTTGGAAAAAATGTATAAATATGAGAGGCAAAGTGGATTGGGGTCTTATATTTAGGACCAAAATAAAAATCAAATAGAGTCTTATATTAAGGATCGGAAGTAATATTTAATGATTTTTCATTTCATACTTAATCATATATTTGTCATGCCTATTTAAAACGCTTGTACCCATCAAAAACCTATAATTAACCATTGATCCAAACAATCAAAAGGAATTCGTATTATATGTTGCTTTCACCAGAGAATTTAATGACTTGCCATCTTACTTGTTCTGACAAGCCAAGTGTCCCATTAATTAAGTTTTTTTTGGCCGATATCATTTAATTAATTGGTTGACACGATCAAGCAAGGTAAGCCAAGAAACGTAGTATATACAAAGGAATATTAACTTGTGCTATAAAAGAAACCACCAAAGGTTAAGGTATGCACTTAAAATCAATTATTACCTTACTACTTCTTTGTCAACGATGGCCCTAATCTTCTATATGGCTCTTCATCACGAGATCATTAAACAACTGAGTTAATGTCAAGTAATCATGTCTTTCCTTAAGACAGCTGGGAGAGTCATCTTTCCTAACATATTTTCTTCACTCGACATGATTGGATTAACAATCATCTTTTACCAAAGGGACGTTACCGCGTTTTATATATAAAACTCAAGAAATATAGTTAATAAATTTAATTTACCATTCCAAATCCAGTTTATATATTCCTTCAATCCCACCTTTCTTACATATTATAAGGATTGGAGGAGTATGTGAAATGGATTTGGAATATTGGTAAATTGAAGTTTCAACTTGGATAAATTATACTCCTCCGGTCCTTAATGTAAGGCCCATTTAACTAATTTGATTAGATTAAGGAAGTTAGGTAAATTAGTTAATTATAAGAAAAGTGACACATTTTTCCTAAAACACCACAATCATCTTTCTTAATACCCCCTCTCCCTCTTCTACTTGATTATGGTTGAGGGAGTATTTATAGGGGTAATCTAGAGAAAATTGATAAATATGAGAAATGGGTCTTATATTTAGGACCAAAACCAACTCAAGAATTGGGTCCTATATTAAGGACCGGAGGAGTATCAAAGAACTAATAAGAAATTAATGAGAAATTAAACAAGAGAAGCGCCCATCTGAGCAACTCAGGTTGAACAATTATCATCTTTTAATTAGCTAGTTATAACGAAAACAATAATTTGCTTATTATTTTATTTTATAGTTTTGTTCGTTGCGAGACAAAAGCTATAACATATCTAGTTTGCAACCCATGTGCTTATGTGAAATCTGGGGTTTTTTTTAAATCACGAGAAAATTGGAAAAGTAGGTCAACAATCATTTATTCAATGCATTACACTTCTTGAGTCTTTAATATAAGACCTATTTAACTAATTTGATTAGATTAAGAAAGTTAGGTAAGTTAGTTAATTATAAGAAATATGATATATTTTTCCTAAGATACCATAATCATCTTCCTTAATATCCTCATTCCCTTTTCTACTTGATTATGGTTGAAGGAGTATCAATAGGGATAATTTAGAAAAAATTGATAAATATAAGAAATAGACTTTATATTTAGAACCAAAATCAACTGAATAATTATGTCCTATATTAAGAACCGGAGGAGTACCAATGTACTGAGTAAAAGAGGCTAAGTAAAATTTTGAATTCAGATATTATAAATATAAAAGGTCATAATAATTAAGAGAGTTTCTTTTTATTGGAATTTAACAATATTTAAATTTGGAAAAGATCACCGTTATATTAGATATCACATAATTACTAAAAAAATATAAACAGAATTGCTTTAACTATATCATCTCATCTTGTTATTTTTCAGTGACGACGCTCCTGTATAAAGGATCTGATTTTTTACCCATTCAATATCATATCAAATGAACCTGTCTTTTTTATTACGATTTTTGTCGATTCTGAACAAGTCGTTTCTCATCACATCAATCCTATTAGAATTAGGTCAGGGATGTTAGTCTTCTGCAATCATTAGTTCACCTCAATAACACTTACAGCTCCATAATCTTGGCTTAATTAGCAAAGCTTAATATAAATCTAGCTACTCTTAAAACATTAATTAATGATTGCTACACATAAATATATATAGTACATACAGATATATATACGACAACCAGTATATATAGTTTATTGGAGTGCCTTGGCTGATCTCCAGCATGATTGAGGTTTAACAAATCGTGAACGTACAGAACATTATATTGCCATGCAAAGGAATCTAATTATGTACCATTTCTTCTTCCCCACAAATATGTCCATTCTTATAGCTGGCCCTCGTTATTATTTGTGTTCCTGATATGCATATACAACTAAATAGGCTTTCTGCAGATGACTAAGTAGGCTCTAAATATGCATATAGTTAGGTCTCAACTAACGCCCAACAACTCTCTTGAATACTAAGAAATGAAAGAGGAGAGGCTTAGTGGTTAGCAGAACATATAAAGAAATAACTGGCCGCCGAGGCATGCCAACATGGAGAAACACACGAGAGCTAGCCAGCTGGTTAGGTGACACTTTCAAAATTGAAGGTTCCAGCCAAGCAGGAGAAAGAACAGAAGAAGACAACAATAAAGGCAGTTTGGCCTTTAATGTATGTGTTGTGTGTGCATTCGTAGTTTTCAATAATGCAGATAAGAATACAGCTTCTGACTTGAGATAAAAGCATGCATGTATGGAGACAGGTTTTCAATTTCGTGGTCCTCTTCATTCATGCCATATTGGAGCTAATGAAGAGACGTCCCTATTAAAAATGTGCCACCTAACGTGATAATTCTCGAAGGAGATGACTTTATGAGCCCTAAAATGGGGTCCACACACAGACATGCATGCATAGCTGGTAGCTTCTTTCCGATATGTGTATGTGTGTGTGTGTGTAATATCACACACACACGCACACACGCGGATAACACATATAAGTGCAGCTGCAGAATGGACAAAGCTGTATCTGTCACTTGAGTGAATTTGATTGCTGTTTTTGAAGTTGCAGGTGCCCCACAATTGACGCTTGTCCGAGTCGCGCAACCTTGTAATGGAAACTTTTTACTGTTTTGAACAGAGCTGTGAGTAGCAAAAATTAAAACGATTAGAGATACTGCGCATCCGGGGAATCGAACCCCGGTCAGTACCGTGGGAGGGTACTATGATACCACTACACCAGATGCGCTTGTTGGTTTTTTCCCGTCCTCTACTTTTAATATCTTTGTCTATTCAATTTTCATTTCACGCTTTCTTTTTGGCATCGAAGACTACGCTGCTCGCCTGCTTCCCTTTTCTCACTATTTGGACCCCCCCTCTTCCTTACCTCTCAATCCAATGGCATCTAACCATGATTCTTAATTATAGTCATTTCAGATTATTCAAATTTGACATCGTTATCATTCATTACCACCTCTTAACAACAAATTCAAATTTGGTATCGTCATCATTCATTACCATCTCTTAACAACAAGCCGCTTTATTTCTAACATCATAAACATTACGAAGAACTCGGCTGCGTGTTTAGAATTTAAATTCTTCGTCGTTATATTTATTTGAGAAATCATGGAACGTTTTTGTTCAGGCCAAAACGCTTGGAGAAAAAGAGGTCTCTGGTACACAAGGGAGACCAAACAAGCGAGTCATGTGACCAAACACAATTTGCCTGGGTGGCTTGGGACTCAAGACTTTCTTGGCAACATGTCTTGCAAATACTGCCCCATCCATGGCTTTCTCACCCGGGTAAGCCCTTGCTCGTTCCGCTATCACACCTTTATACTCCTTATAAAGCTTCCATTGATAACTCCCCAGCTTCTCCAAATTGGACCTGACGGCTCCTCGCAGAACCTGAACCACATTGATCCCAAATGGCCTTAGCTCAAGACGTAAGCTATTAGACATGGCAATCGTGGCAGCCTTGCTAGCAGCCTAGCACAGCAAGAGCCTACCCACGGAGTAGACACTGTGCCTTCCATGCTCCCACTTTGACGCAAAGCCATGTGAGGGACCACATGTTTCACCAACCTTATTTGCCCCAAAATGTTGATTTCCCAGGGCTTCCTAATTGCATCTAGGGGCAGCTCTGCTAGACGGCCAGTGCTACCTATCCCGGCGTTATTAATCAGAATGTCTATCCGTCCACATTTGGACAGTACAGTGTCCACAGCCGATCTCACGCTCTCACCACAACTCACATCGAGCTCGACTATGTCTATGTTGTCCGACTTCATCAAATCCAACATGTCTTCTATCCTATGTGAGATGTCTGAGGTGAAAACTTGACAAGTCTGCTGCGCAAATTCCCTGCAGTACTAGAACGATTTTGTGGTCACTCCCCTTATGGAATATCTAATCAATAATCGCTAATGACGAGTCTCATCTTCTAATTAGTCTTGTATGGAATTGTATAACAAGGATGTAGACTAGTTTGTAATGAAAGAGCCGTCTAATTCTTTTTGATTGCTCAATTATATGGTTCGTCTTTGGGTTTAGTGGGAACGATAACGATGTCATGCTTGGCCACCGTTTGGAATTTTGTGTATTAGACTAGTTGCTTGACAACATTAAAGGAACTCCTTCTAAGCGGATGGATTGGATGGCAATGAAGAAAGAAATATTCTTTAATGGGCGAATAGGTGGAGAGAAACATGCTAGCATATCTATCCAAGCAAACAATGGTTTTATTCCATTGACAACATTTAGAATACACTTGTCCGTTTATTATTAATTGTCACTAATAAAATAAAATAAACACCGTCACAATAATTTTGGACTTGAGACGCCACAAAACCATGTTAATGAATGCCCACAAAAAGTCAAAAAATAAAAAAATAAATAAAACTCAATCACTCACATCACATACACTAACTATAATTAGAGACTGAAGAGGGTGGCGGAAGCCACGAAGGCAGCAACAGTTCCGGCGAAGGAGAGGGAGATAGGAGAAGCAGCATTATGCGAAGGAGTGTGATCACTTGCCGGAGAAGGAGTTGGGGATGAAGGGGCCGGCGGTGGAGACTGAGTCTGCTGACCAGTGGGTGCCGGTGCAGCAGCCGAAGGTGAAGGTGCAGGAGAAGTGGTTGTGGCGTTGGATCTGCTGGACCGGTCAGCCAAGACGATAACGGTGACCTTCTCGTTCTTGAGACAGTTCTCTCTTTTCCCACTAATGAAGTAGTGAGCCCCTGACTGATTAAACTTGATCACTGTGTGGCCCTCTGAGTATTTTCGAATAGGCGAGTTCGTGTTGCAATTGGCGTAGTCTTCTCTCTTCACTTGAAGCACCGAGTCTTGTCCTGATTTATAGTTGAACACTGCAAAAATTCCCCCATAAATCTTAATCAATTTATAAATACCCCTTTTTCCCGATCACAAACACAATTTCATTAATGAAAAGGTACGTACCTATGGAGTCTCCGACTTGGAATCGGCTACTTTCAGCCCATTGATTGTAGGGATTATAATTGGGATCACTTGGGACGCTCCATCCCTTTTGGCCACCCACTACGAACTCATAGGCACCAACCTTATGCACCAACATCAACACACACAAGAACCCTAAACCAGGGACTACTTTAGACTTTAAAGCCATGTTGGCCATTGAATAAGAGAATTAATCAGAGAAGCAAAAGAGCAGATCGCTGCAAAAATGCTAGTTGTATAAAGCTGAGACTGGAAGGGGTCGATGATGGTGAGACAAGCTGGAGATGAAGGGGTTTAAGTAGGTGTCTGTTGTATGAAGCTTTATCAACTGTGGCATTGAAGCTTCTGCAACTTTTTCTTATTCTGCCCTTCGCTTAGGGTTTACTTTGATTCTGGTGCCAAGCATATCTAACTTTTATCTCAGATTCCACTTGTGTTAGGGTTGTGAGTAGTGTGTGATGACTTGTTCCCGGATCGGTTGTAACTTGGAGTGTGGGTTTATGCTTTGCTTCACTGTTATAAGAATATTCATAGCTTCATCTTTGGGGCTGCATCTTACAACTCCACCTGTGTCATCTTCATCATTATCATATTATACTTTTCCCTCGTCGGCAATGAGGCGTGTTGATCCTATCTGGCAGAATATTTCAATATCAAGGGCAGAAGCCTTCCCCCCCCCCCCCCAATTATCTTCTTCCTTCCGGTGCTGTCGATCAGTCCTCTACTTTATGAGCTAAACCTTTCCAGATTTCTTTGAAAAGAAAGGAGAAAAACTGACTTTACACATGGCGATTACAGGCTTTCATTACAGGCTTCAAAACTTTTCCGTAAGTTTGCTAGTTAAATTACACAGTTGAAACAAAGCAAGGAAGCAGTGTAAATAACAGTTTTTCATCTTCTACAGCAGGCAAAAAATATAAATTAGAATACTTTTGAGTAATAAAAATATAATGACATGTATATATTTTGTGAAAACTAAAAGACATTATTTTCAAGTACTGTTCATTTATTCTCTTAAAAAAATCATGAATAATTTATTAAAAAGAATTTTTACGTTAATCTTTAAAAATTATATAAAACAAAACACAAAGATAAAATCAAATTACGGGATTTTTTTTTTGGTTGAAAAAAAGGGTCTTCCATCATGCCCATGGGACTTGATCACAAATCAGTAATCACAATCTTATGATGACGTCGGCGGTCAGAATTCAGAAGAGGACCCTAGTCATCGGCCCATCTTATTTACGCCTTCAAATATCTCATGTTAATACCGCTAGGCCCACTAACACTAAACCAATCTTGATCTGGCCCACCTAGAGCCAGCAGAAAGCGAGGCGTGGAATTATGGAATTAAATTTCTTTTTCTTCCAGATAAATTATTATTCAAAGCGCGGGATGTGCCATGTGGATCAATCCATGATTTTTCTACAAACTTATTTGAATTATTTATTCAGAGTACTGATGAAATAAATTGACTGACATATTTTTAAAAATTTAGTTAACATAAACATATCACATTGTAATATGTAAGAACCCACAGTAAATAGCACATTGACTTTATCAAGTGTAAGGTTTGACTATTTCTCAATCCGATTGGGCCGAGTCTTCAGAAAAGCTGGTCATGAACAAGCAAACCAAGTCTGACGGGTCCACACGAGGTCCCTTCCCTCTTCGGTTGGTGCCTCTCGATATTTGACCTTCCATACATGCGCTTTGTAAACGTACTTGTATATATCAAATGCCGGGAAAACTAGACGTAAAGAAGGCGTGAAAACTGAGAGATTAATGAATAAGGTTTGGATTGGAAGCTAGGAAAATTCACAACGAATGGAAATTCATGAATTGTGGAAGAAACAAAGAACGAAGGAGAGATGAAGCTTGTGTAAATTAACGCATTAAACTACTGCTGGTGAAGGGGTCGTAAGGTCGGCGATGTTCTCTCTCTCCATTGACAAGGTATTACTTATTTACTTGCCCTCCCCTCCCTTTAGCATCATGACCCCGCCACAACCAACCCCAAACACCATGAATTCTCAATAAAAAATATTACAAAAGAGGGAAAAAAATTAGCAGTTTCTTTTTTCTTTCTAGTTTTGGAGCTTGTTCTGCCATTGGATTCCTATGAATTGCTCTCCAAAGAGAATTCAGAGTTGTACAAGAGAAAGAAAAAGCAACTCTCAGGAGTTCGTCTGAGCTTTTCCAAGGGATCCAGCTCCTGCGTGCTGCTAAGGATACCTAGATTCGAAAAGCATCGATTTAGTGTCGTGGTGTTTTGTTGAGAGCTATTTCGGTGATCTGGGATGTGGAGAGATAGTGGCACTCCTGCTGATTCTTTCTACCAAGTCCGCCCCGAGTGTGCTGACGATGTCCCCAAAACTCGATTTAAGATCAAGGTTCGTTTCTTTCTCTTCCCTTTTTGATATTGCGTATCCTAGCTTGGATGAATCTTTTGTGTTCGTGTGTTTATAGTTTTTGTAAGGTACAACCGCAACGAATGTTGATCTCCTATGAAAAATGCTTTTAAATACTTGTGAATTTGAATGCACTGGACATGTCATTTAAGAATGTCGTTTTTTCCTATAATTTTGTTGATTGTTAATTGTTAATGTATCATCTTTATAAGTCATGTTGAGTGTGCGAAGCTGGTATTTTATTTCTGATTTAAGTAATTCAGCCCATCGCATATGACATCCAAATGAATGGATTATCAGTTGGTTGCTGCTTTATCGGATGAGCTTGACACCTAATGAAATAAGTAAATCCGTGGAAGGATTAATTTCACAAGGTGATTTATTGTGGATCATGATGAATATCCAATGGTTGAATTTTCTTGGTTTTTCGTCATATGAAATAACTAAATGACATGCTTTTGTTTACATGAACCTGCCCCTTAATATGAAAATAATATGTCTGCTGCCAGAAACTTTCTGGTTTATAATCTTATGTGTATAATGTTCTTCGTCTTTTTCTTCTTTTTGTAATGGTTCAGGCTGGTAGAACTCTAAGTTCAAGGAAATGGCATTCTGCATTTGATACTGAAGGGCATCTGGATATAAGCAAGACTCTGAGCCGAATCTATCGAGGGGTAATTGCATTTTACAGTTTAAATGCTGCTTCAATGAACAGTCAGTCTGTCTCATGCTTTCAGTTGAGTTAGTTATCAGAAGTGTTAGATATTTCTAGCTTGTTGGACTCAGAAAAACCCAAGGTCATATGTCTATCTTGAAATTAAAAGATGTTTGAACTTGTTAAAACTCTATGGCTGGCACCTGGCAATGATGTTAAAAATTTTGCAATTTGCTATTTGCCTAAGTGCATAGGCACTGGTATTTGTGTGTTTGTAAGTATGTGACAGTGGAGAGGTGGGTTCTGTGCATACGTGCTTGTGAATTAGTGAATCTGTCATGGTGGAAATCAAAATATCCTTTTGGACAACTCATATTTTAAAGATAAGCCTTCATATAAGACTCTGGAATTTGGTTCAAGTGTAGAAGTAAAACACATTGCTTGCTTCGGTTAAGATATAATGCAAAAGGTTTTTAACAAAACCGAAATTGGGAACTTACCATGCAGCAGAATATGCAGTGATATATGCTAGCTTTTTTCAGATTTATTATTATTTTCATTTGTTACATTTTACTATTCTTGTAAACAGAAATTTGGTGTCTGTTATTTATTTAATTTCTATAAAGCAGGGAATCCATCCATCAATCAGGGGAGAAGTTTGGGAGTTTTTACTCGGCTGCTATGATCCAAAGAGTACATTTGATGAAAGAGAGCAGATAAGACAGCGCCGAAGGTTATATGTTTTCCCATTTTGTACTCCATATGTGGCATTCAATGTTAACACTGATATCCGAAGTTACCTTTAATTGCTCAAATAATTTTGATGTCCTTATCCTTTATGATCGTAAATCCTTCTTTTGCTTTGCTCATTGCCACTGCATTCTATTTGCATCCTATAACGTTTTAAAGTTAGAAGGGATTTCACTTTCCTATAACTAAGTTCTTCCTTTAAACTAAGAGTGGAATAGAATATCTATAATATGTCACCATATGCTCGTAATGCCTTAAAACAAATAGCTGTGTTTCAGGATACAATATGCTAAATGGAAGGAAGACTGCCGCAAGTTGTTTCCACTTGTTGGAAGTGGTAAATTTATTACTGCACCTATAATCACAGAAGATGGCCAGCCAATTCAAGATCCATTGGTGTTGTTAGAAACAAATCCAGACAAGGGAGTGATTGTCCCTGCTCAAAATGGCATAAATGATTCAAGTACAGGCAATGCACATAATTTAGAAAAGGTGATGGACAAGAGAATAATCCAGTGGATGTTAACTCTTCATCAAATAGGTTTGTGCATATTTTGTTCTCATTTCTTGTCTATCATGTCACTCCTTTTTGTAAATTGTTTGATAATTTATTTTTAGCCATATATGTCTAACAGTCAAGAAGAATCAGGATCTCATTTCTTCATGCATCTCCTGAAACTACATTTATTTTCCATCTAAATGCTCTCTGATGCAGGGAATTAAACTTCTTAGAATGCTGAATCTCCTGACCTCCCCAGTTTAAATTCTATAGTGTAACCTGCTCTATATTGCATGCTCTTATAAGTATGGCCGTGTGTCATTTGATTGACAGAACTATGTCTGAAATGCATTGACAAAAACTGAACTGGAACTGTATGGCGTGACTGAGTTGGCCTTGATTTTTTTTGATCCAAGCATCGTCTTCAGACACTGTTTTCTTTTGAATTCTTTTGTCATTTAGTAAATTATATTTGTCACCAAAGTATGATTGACCTGATGCATAACCTTACTGCTGTTACAAACAATATTTCAGGTCTTGACGTGGTTCGCACTGATAGGACACTGGTTTTTTATGAGAAGCAAGAGAACTTGTCAAAATTATGGGATATTCTTGCTGTTTATGCGTGGATAGATTTGGATGTTGGTTATTGTCAAGGTAGGTGCTCACTTATGTGATCCATCTGACATAATTTACCTCTTCTGTGCATAATAGAGATTATTATAAAACTATTTATAGGCTTTCACTTTATAGTTGAAGCTTTTGAGATGAATTGGACTTTGATAGGTATCAGAAGATCAGACTGTTAGGTAGCGGTTCTGGGCTTTGTCCAGTGGGTTTTTAGAGATTATTATAAAACTATTTATAGGCTTTCACTCTATAGTTGAAGCTTTTGAGATGAATTGGACTTTGATAGGTATCAGAATCTCTATGATCAGACTGTTAGGACTTTAGTGGTCCTGGGCTTTGTCCAGTGGGGTTTTAGAGATTATTATAAAATTATTCAGCATAATTCACTTCATATCTCAAGCTTTCAAGTTGAAATGGTCCTTGGCAAGGCATGCATTCATGCTAATATTCAATACTCCAATTTTTCTTGGCTGTTATTTCACTTCGATAAAATGGGGGCAATGCCATATGATTTGTAAATCTATGTTTGTTCAGTAAACAAACAATAAAATAGAAGCTCCGGACCAAAAGGGGGAGAGAAAGTTAATAGACTTCGTATATTGATTTCCTTATGGGAAAAATAGAAAACTGTTTCCTAACGTATCTGTTAACTTCAACCTTCAAGCATTTTTTATTTTTATTTTTAAAGTAATGAAAGCAAGGACCATTTACAACTAATGTGACCTCCCACTTTGAACGTGGCATTTTGAGCAGGAATGAGTGATCTTTGCTCCCCTATGGTGATTCTTCTCAATGATGAAGCTGATGCATTTTGGTGCTTCGAGCGTCTGATGCGCAGATTGGTAAACTTCTTATGTAAATAGTTTTGCTATTTTATTATTGATTTCTTTTTGAAATTTTTCATATGAAAAAATTCCCTATAAATCTTATTCAATTAATCAATATTCAATATAAAAGCTGTAATGAGCTGCCCTGCTCACTAGTGATAAACTCTCAGGTTCATTTTTCAAACACCGTAATGCACGGGAGGCTTATCTAGTGCTGCTGTGAAATATTATTTACAATTGATCTTTTTGCAGTTAATTGTTGTATTTTCACTCTTGTATATACCGGTTTCCTGGGCATCTTTTTCACTCTTGGTTATATCACCTGGTTTGTCTGCTGTTTAAAAATCTACCTCTTTGTGAAGTTGCATGATGGGCAGGCGCACATGCCCTTTTGAAAGTACAGGTTTAGATTCTTTGATCAGTTAATACTTTTCTTCGATGCTAGAATGCTTGTATACAGTATTGTGGGTTTTTCAACTTTATCTCAACTTCTCACGATGCACTCCTTATTTTCAAAGCGAGGAAATTTCAGATGCACCAATAATTCAGTTGGGGTGGAGGCTCAACTAAGTAACTTGGCTTCAGTTACTCAAGTCATCGATCCAAAACTTCATCAACATATAGGTAATTTCTTGCTGTTGTTCTTTCATTTTTTTTTTTTTAATTGTTGAACAATGTGGATAATCTGCCAAGTAAATCTGTGGTTTTTGTCAAATTTTTCTCTTAAAGAATTAGGATGACTATTGCAAAGAACTATAAATCTTGGATAGAAGGAATTAAAAATAAACAACTGTTGTTAAAGAAAGGGTACATTAGGAAAAACAAATGAATGTAAGATATGCTCTTAAAAGAAGCCACAAGAAAACGTGCTTGAGCACAGAACCAAATATTATTGAGGGCAAATATTTCAAGTCCTGGATCACAACATGGCTGAGGGCCAGATATTCAATTTTTCAACTAATTACAAGGGACTTGACAGTTTATCTAATTCAACGGTCATAACTATAATAGTCACAGCTTTACTACAAATACAGTAATATTGTCATGTCAAAGTTGCTGGATAAATTACTCTTCTGAATTGTGTTTTATTGTATATGCTTGCCAAATTATAAATTAACGTTATGTTTTTGGGAAATCCAAGTTATCAATCTTTTGCCCTTTAATCTTGGATTGCAGAGGCTCTTGGTGGAGGCGACTATCTGTTTGCTTTTCGGATGCTTATGGTTTTGTTTCGTCGAGAATTCTCCTTTTGTGACTCCTTGTACCTTTGGGAGGTATGTTTAGCCTTTTATTTATACTGTTTCTGCATATCAAAATTATGCCTTAAAAACTACTGGGATCTCCAAGATTTATAAGGTTATCAATTTAGTTCCTCTCATACTAAATGATAATTGATAATTAAATGCTTAATATTTGAACAGATGATGTGGGCTCTGGAATACGATCCTGACTTGTTCTTGATATATGAAGAGCCTGAATCAGTTTCCAAAAAAGCTGAGAGATCAATTAAAGGAAGAACAAAGTCATTACGTCAATGTGGGAGGTTCGAGAGAGAAAACATGAAAAATGCCGCAAAGACTGCTGATGCTCCTCTTCCCATATCTGTTTTCCTTGTTGCCAGTGTGTTGAAAGATAAGAGCTCAAAACTAATGCAAGAAGCACGTGGCCTGGATGATGTAGTCAAGGTTAGTCTCATGATTGAGTTGTATTGTCGATTCCATTATACAAGTTGAGTGTCAACTATTGTATATTTCTTTCCTCTAGCGAAATTTGCTTCCCTTTTCTGCACTTTTGACTTCTTTGGCATTCTCAGATATTGAACGACATGACTGGAAAATTAGATGCCAAAAAAGCTTGCACTGGGGCAATGAAACTTCACAGAAAATATTTGAGAAAGGTACTGTTGAGTTCTCTCATTAAAGTATATGATTTTTACGGACAAATATATAGTTCCCAATCAAATCATACATTTCTTCTTCTGATTGAAGAATCTAATGGTAAAGATAAAGGGAACTGCACGTAAACACTCCCTCCATTTTGTTTCCTCTTTCTCCTTTCAATTTCCTTTTTTCTATGTGATTTCCTTTATTTATGCCCTCAACAAAATGTTGTAATTCCTGCAGTCTAATGCCAACAAGTCATGACACCGTATGCAACCCAGCAATTTTTTGTTGGTGTTGAGGTTTCCTGTCTAGCGCCTTTTCCATGAGGGACAATAATATTGCTGCTTACCTAATTTGGCTTCGAAGTTTTCTGAAGAGAAGAATGGCTCTACCTATCTTTTCTTCACCGGGACAGCTGTTGTATGTGAAATTCATTTTGTTGTTTTGTTTTGTATATTCAAAAGAACAGCATAAGAAGGCTGTATACGAGAATTTTTCTGCAGACATTTTTTCCACTGTATTTACTCTGTAAAATATTTGATATGTCAAAAGAAGAAAATGATACAAGAAATAACCATTCATGTCATTGAAGTAATTGTTCATTTGCCTCCCGTTGTTGTTGCTGATCTTATAACAGTGATTGGCGATCTCAATCTGTATTTTGCATGAAACTAATACTCACAAATTAGTTATTTGAAAATCGAAGGGAGTATAATATTTGTTTTTTAGTGGTCTTTATTAAGATAGCTTAAAAGAAACGGATTAAAATTAAGAAATTCATGATACCAGTTTCTCCGGAGAAAATATCAGGAAAAAAAGTATGAATATAAATGGACAGTTGCTCCGCATATTAGATCTGTTTATTTCAAACTTAAGAATAAAATTAGTAACTACAAGTAAATTGTTAGATACGTGTTATAAGTTATTACATATGGGCTATAATACACCCCTTGGAAGAAAGACTCGTAGAGGGGGAAAATATTACAGACGATTTCCATTTACATTATGCTTCCTATATCAAGTCATACAGCAGAACCTGTGGAAAGAGAGAAACGTGGTCAGAGTTACATGCCACCATACGAAAAAATCATGAATTAAATTGTAAGCAAAATTAGCAACTGAAGTATTGTTTAGACTTAAGACTTCAATTTTGAACACCACTTAGTTCTTGGCTGAAATCACATGTACCTTTTCCGCTCCCCAGAGTTAGTTGACAGAAATCTCCTCCACATTACTAATGTCCTCAGTGAACTGGGCTTTTGGTTCTAAATCAATGAACTGGTTGGACTTGCTAGCCAGGAGGGAAATGCTAACCCTTCCTTCCCGCTTGATATAATCAGCAACAGCTTTCATCTCTTCTTCTGATATGTAAATATATTTTCCTCTATCATCCATGACACCAGAAATCCGACCTGGTTTACAAAATCAACCCATGGTTATATATCCCGGCAGCAAGAGCAAAAGAACAATGCGTGAACAAGAATCTTAATTTTGTAGAGATGTGAATATGTGGCCAATTAGTCATGTCAACCATTCTAACATCGTTGATTTGTTGAACACAACGTCAGATGAGGCGTTGATGTAAAACTAACACAAGGCACTTACCCATAGTTTCCAGTGAGGTAATGCGGTTGATACATTCCTGCATCAGTTCAGGATTGTATCAAAAAATGAAGTCCATGTAAAAAATCAGAACAGAATAGTCGTACTAAATACCAGAAAAACTAATTCATATATTTAAGCATGAAAATGGAGTTGAACAACGAATAGATAAAATTACTTGAATGAAACACATCATGACATTACAAAAGGAGAAAAGGCACATCCACTTAATAATTATAAGTAAAATCATCTGATCCATAAAACCTGTTGCAACATCTAATGTAGGACAAAAGGAGGAAAAAGGAGGGAATAGAAAGGCTCGTTTATATAGAGGATGGTGAAGAGAGAGAGTACCTGAGTCCGTAACTTGAATTCTGCAGCAAGTTCTTCCAAGGGAACACATTTTTGCTTCTGAATGATTTACACATGACCTCAATCCATGTTAGAATGGCTAGTCATACTCTATTAAGTGGCAACAGATATCCATGCTTATTAACTATTAGAATAAGAGTTTGAACATTTACTAAGAGGAGAATTAAAAATGGAAAACAGAATCTAAAAGGAAGGGGCGAAGAAATACCTTTATATATTCTACGAAGTCTGCAAGCAAGTCTTTATTACTGTCTAAAACTTCTTCAAGGGTACCTTCATCATCAACAGAAAAATCGCCTTTCCACTTCTCAAATTCTAACGCAGCAGCTTCCTCTTCTCTAGCCTTCTGAGCTTTGGCCTCTTCTTCCTGCATGAACCATGGCCGAACTTATGCCATTAAAAAAACCGATAAGAAAATAAATTCAAAAAAAGATCATATCAAGAACAAGATCATTAACTAACCAGCAAACGCTCTTGTGCCTCACGCTCTTCATCTTTCCTCCTCCGCATCTCTGCATAACGGTCTTGTTTTGTCTGCCTTGATTCTCTTGCAGCTTCCTCAGCCTTCCAACAAAATAGATTACAATACAGATGTATAGTTAAACTTCAATAATACTGAAAACCAAGATAGGCAATAAAAACTGAGAGCAGACGATCAGTGCCAGTGGCTTAAGGAATTCAAGGGCGCCCACAAATAGATTAACTACCTCAAGAACCTCCTGTCCCCAACCCTGGTAAGAAGATGAATGTTACCTATGAGTTCATGACCGATTAAAAAAGTCTTTCTTATGTTCTTTGAAACCTACGTTAAACACTTGATTTGAGAAGTGAGTAGACACTAAACATGTGAAGCGAAAGTAGTGATAAAGTCTCAATCACATATAACACTTTTTCAATCCCAAAAAGTGTTAATTATCACCTCTGTCTTTACCATTTCAAAATATAAGCAGGTGCTAAGAATCGTCCTAATCTTAATATCTTAAAACCCAAAATAATTTATTTTCTTAAAAAAGAAGAGAAAAAAATACAAGTACCATCAAAAGGAGAAATACCTGTCGCCGTGCTTCCCTCTCTTCTCGTTTCTTCTCCTTCTTTTTTGACGCTTTAGCTTCATAATACCCACCAGCAGCAGCTTCATCATCACTTTCACCAACAGATTCTATTCACCCGTATGGTTCATATGGTAACAAATGCAACTCTCAGCTCTATCGATACATATGTTTTTGGTCATTCTTACATTGTAGAAGCCAGAAGCTTTTCATGAAATCAAACATCATAGAAGAAAGATGATAGAGGCCAGCAGAGCACATTCGCACGTTATTACAATATTATTTTCAATAATATGAACTCAATTTTGTCGTTTTTTGGGCCAACATATTTCGTTAATTTTACCTACGAGGACTTCGTAGTTAGTACCCAATCACACTTGTGAGTTGTGATCATTGCATTTCAACAAAATAACCGCAACATAGGACCAAGTGGTCCTTGCGGTACTCATCACAAGCGGTTCCTTTCCTTATTTACATGATCCCAATATTGATCTTAACGAACTAAAAAGCAAGGAAAATTCCCCCACCCCAAAAAAAAAAAAAAAAAAACCCTATCGCCATTGACCAAACGCACGCATCAAAATGCGGTCTTAACTAACTGTAAATCATCAGCTTCACAGTACTACACAATTTCACCGTTTAACACATCAATGGTTAACAAAAACGAAAGATGAGAATAAGAAAGATTAATGATATAACAGACCTTCTACCATTGCTGCAGAAGCAGATGAAGTGCCAGCTCCAGAAGCAGCTGTTCTTCGGCGCATTCGACGAGTACCAGTGGCGCGAACCACAGTGTCCCTTCGTGGAGCCTGACAAGTCAACATATTACATAAATCCAAGAATTCTTCCAGATTATTCAGCTTCATTAGAAATTTAGTCCCTAAAAAAAAGAATCGAGAACTCGATGGGAAACTTTGGTTGGTAACCTGTTGCGGTTCATCCTGCTCAGGGGAGGAACGAGAATCCTGGAGGCGTTTCCATAGGTACAGTGGAATCAATCCGACTACTAGCAGCATGGAGAGTACTACTAACAATAACCCCTCCATCGTCAGAATTGAGATCACCGGGACGAAGTAAGGAATTGAGACTTGTTTTTAATAGACAACCTAATTGAATCCAGACAAAAAAGGAAAAGCCTAAGCTAAAACGCTTCGTTACTCGTTAATTTGCCGCCTATACTCTTCCCGGGAATGGAATGTCTCCTGTTTCCCTCCACTTAGATGAAACGACACCGTTCTATGCTTATTCAGCCACTCAAGTAATGCAGCGACGCCGTTCTGCTATTATAATTTTATTTTATTTTTATAAGTGTCTTATTGTAAAATTTGTCAATTTTATTTTGTCGAAAATTTGAGCATCTAACAAATCAAAATTTCAACACTTTCAACGTATTAATATATAATATGAACTTAGGTGTGGAAATATTCATTAATCAATTATTTAAAAGTCTTATGTAATAAAAGGGAAATATGCCTGATTAAAATCGCAGCAGTATAGACTAATTAATCAACTTGATAATTTGAAATATTTTCTCAATAAACAAAATGGTTTACGATTGACCCTTGGACCTTTGTCGAGCATTAATAACCACTGGTTATTTTGGATCAGTAAATAATTTGTTGGTTCCAGATTGATGGCAATAAACCCGGTCTGATTTCTACTTTGTCTTAAAGATTAATTTATGATCCACATGGAAATTTGGAAGGAAAAAAAAAAACACAGACAGATTTACAACCCCAAAAATTGATTAAAAATATTGTTGCTTCTGTAATGTTCTTTATGATCAACGCATTCTTTTTTAACCACTGTACGGAATGGGGATAGATTAATAATCCCAGTTGAGCTAAAATAAAATCACGAGCCCTATTCACAAGTTGATTGATACTTAAAACCACACATTAATTCCTGAAATTACTCAGCTTTTAATTCAGGAAGGAAGAAAAGTAGAAGGGGGATTCAGCAAACAAACATATTGATTTTATTAGCAGAACTGTGAGCATGCATAATCACACCACCCATCCATCTGAGATCACCGCCACCATTAAAAAGCTCATATAGATCCTTAACCACTAATATGTAATTAAACTACCATTATTTCTGGGTGAATTCAACATAATTAAACTCAAGCATCTGCGATCTCAGCAGAATCTGCAGCAGCCAGCATAAGCTCTGGGTGGATAGTTCCCACATAGTAGTCCACAGCATTGGGAAGCCCCAGCGACTTCAACGCAAGGTGAGCTGCCTTCTGCCCTGATATCATCATCGCTCCAAATGTCGGACCCTGTAATATTCATCATATAATCACAATCAATCCAATCACGCACTTCAATTTCTAATTCACAATCTCCTTCAGATTAATCCTCATATATACATACTCGTCCAATCTAAATATAAGAATTTATACACACTAGTATAAAATTTATATTAGACCGAAGAGTATATACACACATACCATTCTTGGGGCACCGTCAATCTCAGCGACTTCCATGCCAGTAACGATCATGCCAGGAACAACCTCTCTCGTGAGCTTAACAATGGCGTCTTCAGCCGCATTCATGTCCAGAGCCTTCATTCCAGGGACGGTATCGATCAAGCCAATGCTCTTGAGCCTCTTGACGCCGGTGGCTCCAAAAGGGCCGTCGTGACCGCAAGAGCTGACCACCACCTTAGCCTCCATGACATTAGGGTCCATGCAGGACTGGGTGTCGTGGTTCATGGAGACGAGAGCCCAGTTAGTGACGACACCGCCCACTCTGCCGTTCTTGACGATCAAGTCCTCCGCCGCCACGGCGTTGAACAGCTTCACGTTGGGACGAGCCAGCAGCTTGCTCATGATGGTGGATGTGAACAGAGCAGCGTGCTTGATTACCACGTAGTTGTCCTGCTCATCGTACTCAACCCCAAGCTCGTCCAGGAACACATGGGCTGGCTTTCGCACCACCTGCACTCGTCCATAACTAATACATGCTTTATCTACAGAATCAAAATCTGGTTTTGTCCTCCAGTTTAACATGATATAATTGTCACACATGTATATTCCAGTTTTGGATTCTCAAGATACAATGAACAACATTTTCAGGCCAAAACAACAGGTTACATTCAATATTTTCACAAGAAACAGTATATACAATGATTGATTAGATAATTAACTTGTAGATATTAAAAACATTAATGAAAATGAGATAGTGTTTGTATATGGGGGGGGGGGGGAGGGGGAGTCGCTCAACCAGATACCATGCCCGCTCCTCGGAGGGGGCCACATCATCCAGTTAGGCACCACGTCGCTCTGTTTTGAATACAAGCAGCCACGTTGTTGCCAAAATTATCTCTTCTCTGAAATTTAATATGTTCATTGTGCTTTTTTTCCGAATTACATTCATTGTACTGGGCTTGGTTTTATTACTTAAAAAAGACTACTTCCAATTTTGGGGTGGCCCGCGCAGGGGAAGCTTCTGTCGTTCGAATAACTTGGGGAAAAAAGAGAGAAAGATTGACTTTGTACGGAATTTTTTTTTCCCAGAATAAGATAAAAGACCTAAAAAATAGGTCTAGAAAATGTGCAGGTTCTCACATATGCACATTCCTTCTCCGCTCCTTGTGTTATAGTAGTATTTCAATTTCTCTGTCTTAATAAAAGCGAAAGTTAGTGGTAATAAAATAGATTAACAGAGACCAACAAGGGAAATAACGAAACAGAGATACTTGTCGACAAAATGAAAAAAGGGGCAAATAAACATATAGCTGAAGTGTTACCATGGCAGAGAAGAGCTGGCCGCCCAGCCACGCGCCACCACCAGGGCTGACGGATTGTTCGATGATGGCGATCCGAACGGAGGGATTTTTGCTGAGCTCGTAGGCACAGGAGAGCCCGGCAGAACCGGCGCCCACTATGACGACATCGGTGTCTGCATAGCTGACCATGTCCATCATGTACCTGCGGGTCATCTCTCGAGACACGATCGACTCTTTGATCGGAGCAAAACTGAAAGAGTTCAGATCGTACGGCGGAGGTGAAGCGCCTGACATGGAGACAGAGAGGTTCTGCCAAGCACGCGGCTTGAAAGGTTGAAGGCGAACGCTACTCTGAGGAGCTAAAGGGGTGCCATGATATGAGGATTCGAAGAGAGAAGGCTTGGGAGCTACGGTGGAAGCCATGGTTGCCATGGAGAAAGCTTACTAAGAGTCTCAGAGAGTAAAAGCCACTGGGTTTTCGATGATAACAAGGGAGAAGAAGTCAGATATTTATATACAGAAGGAGGGAAAACCAGTAATGTAATGATAATAATTATAAACGTCCATATAAAGAAGGAAATGAAAGAGGGGTCACGTGAAATGGGATAGGATGCGAAGGGTCTGGAAACATGGAATCGTTTTTGAGTCAAACGTTACGTTGAACATTAACGGAGTGAAGAAATCCGTGAAGCAAAAGGATGAGAGAACGTCACAGTGGAGTTAGGCTGAGTTCATGGTGGCCGGGTCTGTGTCTTTATCCTGCTCCTACACTTCCTGTGATATTTTGCCATCTTTTTGTCGGGGCACGGATGATGTGAAATATCACGAAGCGTCGTGCTGTGATATGGATGGTATGAAATATCAATTCCAATTGTTGTTTTTTGATTATGAAGCTACGTGGCCCTCAGAAAGGTTGGTTTGTTTGGATTATATTGCAAGTAGGTGGTGTTTTTTTTTTTCTTATTTTAATTGTTTGGCTAAGTGGGGTCATTTATAAGGTTTTTTTTTTTCATTATATTAATATATTATGCTGCCATGTAGAATCCTGGTGTTTCTGATGTCTATCGCCAGAGGATTGCTGGATGCTGACAGAATAATAGTTTTCCAGTGTGCTTGCATGTGCATTTCCCAAAATTGTTAGAAGATGTACTGTTGATGATGACCTGGCATGTTCCTTGGCCCAAAAAAGGGTGATCTGGCATGTGATTCATCAAACAGTTTGATTTGATCGCACATTAGATGCTCCATCATTCTTTTTTTTTTTTGGCCTGAAGATACTCCATCCATTCAAAATATAAACAAGTAAACTACGGAACTTAAAAAATTTTAAAATATGTAACTTATTTTTTTTTCCCTAAACCATCCTTATTTATAGAGAGGGTAAGTCAGAAGTGGGGGAGAGAATGGGTAAAAAAAGGAAAGAGAATGAATGGAAAAAAAAAGATGAAATGGACATATAATTAATTAGGGATAAAATTTTAAAAAAATTAATTAAATGATCAGATAAATACAAATTAAAGCTTATTACTTTAGTCCTGAATGTAAGTCACTTGTAAGAAAAAATTTTGATCTGAAATGTAAGTCAGTTGTAATATATTTAATACTTATCTTTTTAATTTTACCCTAATTTAATTTTCATTAGAAAGAGAGGAAAAAGGGAAATATGAAAAATTGAAAATGATTTATAAATCTAGAGAGAGAAAACTTTAATAAAAGGTCAAATTAAAATTTTTTTATCAACTTAAGGCATTTTTGGATATCATGAGAATGTATTACAAGTAACTTTCTCCCCCCCGGTCCACAATAATATGACTCACTTAGTTCAAAATATAAGTTACTTGAAAAGTAATTAATATTTATTTGTCAATTTTATCCCATAATTAGTGTTTGAATATAACTCCTTCTAATTTTTCCTCTCATTCACAACCTTGTTTAATATGGACAAAGTTGGAAAAAATTTCCAATTTAAAACACATTTGATGAATTAACTAGCATTATTTTTTATATTAATGAATTGGTTAAAATGACATTGGGAGTATATTATAATATTGGAGAACAAAGAGATACCATAAATAAAACCAAACCTCTTCAAAGGATTAAATGTCTGTTTGGCATCAATTATTTTAAGTTTATAAGTAGCTTATAAGCACTATAAGCCCGATTAGCACAATGATACTGTTTGGATGGGCTTTTCTACAATCGGGTTTTTGTATGAAAAGCTACAATAAGCTATAAGCTAAAATTAACAGTTTATAACTTATAACTTATGACTTATAGCTTTTAAAACATGGAGAGAGAAAATGTTAAGAAATTTATTATCTCCTTTGGTTCTTATTATAAGCCTCAAATAACTAATTTGTAGATAATAAAAATCAGTTGAAATTAGTTGAAAGTAATAAATAAGTTAGAAATATACTTTTGTTTTTAAAATGCTTCTAGAAGTATACTTTTATTTTTTCATGTTTCATTTTATATTTAAAATATCTTTTATGATTTCTCTAAAGTTTTAAATTTTAATTCACTCATTAAATTTGACTTCTTCATATTAAATTATTTTAATTTCATTGTATCATGTGAAATCATTTTTTAAATCATGTTTTATTATTTATTAAAACTCATACCCATTTTGGTCATTTTACAACCAAACTTACTTTTACTCAACTATAATCCAAACAATCTTTTACCAATTTCACTTTTACAAACTAACTTTTCTGAACTCTAATCCAAATATAATTCAACTTATCTAATTTAACTTTTATTCAATTTTACTTTTCCAAAAGCTACTTTTTTAATAAGCTGCTTTTCTAATTGCTGATCCAAACGGATCTTAATACTTGTATTCTCAACGAGTATTACTCAAAGTTTCAGAGTGCGGCATAGGAACTTGAAATAGTGGTATTCCAGTCATAGGAACTTGAGATAGAGTGCAAGGAAGAAATTGATTTGCCTTGGAACTAGAATATGAGCTGAAGTGTAAGAATTGACTGTAATAACTCCCAAAGGGAGTTTCACGTTTAACGATGGGTAGATATTCCGGTTTTCGGGGCAAAATCACAGCGGGTTCCGAGATGAGAAACTGTCGTCCTCTACCACACCAATTTTCATGTGACAAAAGCTTCGCACGATTTGGGCTTGTCTCTAGATGATGAGATTCGGATGTGGCCCCAAGTTCAGGAAAAGGTTTGCTGGTTGCAATTCGCGGATCGCACAGGCATGGTTTATGAGAGGGGTGGATAGTTTTTCTGTCTTTTTGCTGTTGTTTATTGTTTGCTTTGGGCTTTAAGCCCCTATTCTTACCAAAACAAAAAAACTTCGCACCATTTTAAAAAAGAGAAAATTGCTAAAATGCCCTTAAAAAATAAAAAATTGTATACAAGAACCCATTCACAAAATTGTTGTCATTTACTTATTAATTGCTATCAAAACCAACATTGATATTGTAACAGATCCCCATTTGCAATTTTTCTATTTTTAAGATTTTTTTGTTGCAATTTTTCCTCTTACAAAAGTTAGATTTGTGTCGTAAAACAAATAGAAATAACTAGTTAAGATGGTAAGTGGTATCATTCTTATAATGAAGAAAAAACAAATTCAAATATCAAAAAGTGTACTTGTTGAGAAGACTTTAACCTTAATACCTACAACCCAATAGAAATTAGTCTCAAGTCCAAAATAAGTTGAGAATACTCTGAGTTATTTTTTTAAAAAAAAAACAGGTAAAAGTTGACACTCAGGTCCCAGCAGCTTAAAAACCACGAATCTTGATATGCTTCAAGCAATCAATTCCAAGAAACCAATAGTTAGAACGAGAAAATTACATTAACCTCCAGGTTGACTATCAGTTCAGTAAACGTTTTAGATCCAATCACCTCTTAAAAAAAATGTCACACTACCTTTTGAGCATGATGAGCAGATCTCAATCACATAGCTAGGAGTACATCTATAATATTTGACAAGGGCAAGCCATCCACAATCAAAAAATTCCATATTACCAAAATCTCCAAAGACAAGAAAGAAAAATGCAAAAACTAATAGTGTTCCCAAACAGCTGAGACAATATAATCCCAGAAACACAATAAAGTGATCAATATTTACCATCCCAAACAAAGTCACTGTGTCTTCAATATCAGCCAACGGAAAGAGTGGAGCAAGAAATGCATAACAACCAAGATCATGGTTCCCTGAATAAGGAATATGGATACATTCTTTTTCTGATCACCTTGAAGTTGAGCAACTTGCAAATATTTTTTTTTAAAAACAAAATCATTTGAAGAAACATTATTTGCCACAGATCCTTGTGCAATAGGGTCTTGGACAACAGGAATTCTTTCTTCAGGTCCCGTAATCCTTTGTCCCCTGATACCTCAGCATTTGCATAGCAAACGGATCTGTAAATTGTCGACAGAAATCCAGTTCAGTGTGCACATATAGGATTATTAAAATTTGATTCGATAGGCCTGATTTCCATAGAGAAGCAAATGTCGAGGCATGGCATAAAATAGAATTGATGTACTCCTCCAGTCCTAGATATAAGACCCTCATATTAGTATGTATAAGGGTTTTATATTTAGGATTAAAAGAGCATTAGAAATTTACATCACCCAGAACTTAAAAAGCAAAAAGCAGAGCCAAACACTAACTTTAGTGAGATTCAGAGGCAACTACATGGAAACAACCCCTTTAACTCCAAAAACACACAATTATAATGCGAATTATTCATTTATAATAGTTTTGTTTATTTTAACTTTTAAGGCTAAATGATTCATAGCTCCAAAATTTAGATTGCTACTTGTTGGATCTATGGCTTCTTTCGTTGGTGTTGTGGTGCTTCTAACGTTGGCTTTTGCTGAAGGATAGAAATTCAATTGGCAGATTGGAGTAATTCGAATGAGTTCAACTAACATTTATCACTTGGTCCTTTTTCTTCAATGATATTTGACCATTTTATTTAAAAAATAAATAAAAAAGAACTTTTCTTTTTGGACGAAATAAAAAAACATTTACTCCGAGGTTGGTGATTAATTCCTATTTCCTGACTTTTCTCGAGCTCTTGCCGACTGAATTTCACTCAACCATCTGAACCACCACTCGTTTTTTTTAGCATTACTTGTCTTCGGCAAAAAGATAACATGAAATTGTCACTTACACTTTAATTACAAAATCTGATAGCATTAAGATTTTTATTATTTATTTGTTAAATCACATGGTTTTGAACATAACAAATGCCTTTTGAGGGCCGAAAGAACATCTCCATCTTTGTGTGCATAGCATCTTTCCACAGGAGAAAGTTAGTTCCGCCCTTGTACACAGAAAAGAGAATAAAAGAAGACGGTCTTTTCATTCTCATCACTATGTGGGATTGATACTGACAAGGAAAATTACAATTCTGCCTAGCCCCAGTAACTCTCACGTCCATGGACACGTGGTAGAGAAAAAATTAACAGCATCTTGCATAGAAGAAGAAATTAACAATGGTTACGATTGAAAAGGAAGGAAAAGCTAAGATAAACATTGAGCAGAACCATATCACTTCGTTTATGAAGATCAAGCTGTGACACTGACAAGTGACAACACTACTCGCGGGAATATCTCCACGTAACTAATACGTGTAAGCACGAACCCAACTTGTGCAAAGCATCATTCAAATGCACCCAAACCATTATTGTTCATCACATTTGCTTTATAATGATCACATTGAGCAGAGTACTCTGCTACAATAACAAGATCATCACATGATTGAATCTACAATGTTAGACATTTATTATTAAAGTTTCTAAATAAAGCTATGCAACATTTTTCAACCCAAAGGAGCTTTGCGCTGCAAAGATACATCATATAAATTACAGCCATCCTTTGAAAAATATTTTGTGGAACGATGCAATATAAGACAACCTCTTTATTCAATACTGGTTTTCATACGGACAACAATCTCATAAAGACAAGAATATACGCGTGGATTGGGCAGTATCTGCATGCAATGAAGCGAAGTTGCTATACGTGGAAGCAGAGGCACACTCGAAAGCAAACCGATTGACACACCATCCCCACAGCTCAACCAAAACTGATACTCTCTGCTTCCACGTACCTGACATGCAATGCCCCAGACCTTGCTATAAAACGCTCCTTCCTTCCCACCACACAACCCACACCCAGCAGCACAACAACCTGCCTTGCACTACAAGAACCATCACAGTCAAAAATGGCTAAGCTCGCGATTCTCGTGGCCGCTCTCCTCTTCCTTGCCGTCACCGTCTCCGCCTACAAAACTACCGTCACGACCGTTGAGATCGACGAGGACGAGAACCCCAGCTGGAGCCATGGGCAGGGGAGGTGCGCCCAGAAGCTGCAGAGGGTTAACCTGAGGCCATGTGAACGCTATGTAAAGGAGAAATGTCGTAGGGAGGAACCGGACGTGATAGCTTTGCGTGGGATCCAGGCCCGGGGGAATGAAAGGCTTCAGGAGTGCTGCGATCAGATCAGAGAAATTAACGACAGGAGCTGCCAGTGCCAAGCGTTGAAGAGAGTCATGCGTAGGGAGGGCTCAGAACTGGAGGGAAGGGAGGCGCGTCAGTTACGACAGGAGCTTCAGAGGCTGCCGGAAAGGTGCAACATTGAGCTTCCAAGGTGTGAATTGAGCGGCAACGAAATCTAAGCTAGCTCTACCAATATTGCAGCTCGCGGACGCGTACTAGAACGTGAGCTACCGTATGTATCTAGGCTTATGTAAAAAACTGAGATCACTACTGATCTTTTAGGCAATGCTGTAGACACTACGTATGTGACTATGACATTGCCAATGTTTTGTTAATGTGCGTGTTCTACTGAGAATAAAATGCTGCTTAAGCTCTCAAGATAGCATTCCAATTCTACCATTCACACTCTAAATTTCGCTTAAAAAATGTAGAAATTTCAATCCGTTTGATGGTTACAACTCGTATAGTATCCATAAACATTGCCCCAATAACAGTAAACAAATCTGTAAAAGCCACACATACAAGCATAACCATACAAATGAAAGCACAACAGTCTTGAAACACTGGCATTAGATCAACAGTATTTAATATTCTAATGACCAACCTAACTCAGAACTGTAATATTCTACTGACCAACCTAACTCACAACTGTACTGTAAAGTACTTATTAAAGCATAACGGGAATTGAAACCAGACTACCACAACTATTATCGATTAAAGCCTGACAGGGTTCAGGGATTGGCGAGGTTCAAATATTCAGAAACCAGACCGAACCCCACAAGACTCAGGTACAAGACAAGGCTTAGAAGCCACCGCGAAGACGAAGGACAAGATGGAGAGTAGATTCCTTCTGAATATTGTAATCAGCCAAAGTTCTACCATCTTCCAATTGCTTCCCGGCAAAAATAAGCCGCTGCTGATCTGGGGGAATTCCTTCCTTGTCCTGGATCTTCGCTTTAACATTATCAATTGTATCTGAGCTTTCAACCTCCAAGGTAATAGTCTTTCCGGTCAGGGTCTTCACAAAAATTTGCATCCCACCGCGAAGTCGCAAAACCAAGTGCAGTGTGGATTCCTTTTGAATGTTATAATCGGCTAGGGTACGTCCATCTTCCAGCTGCTTCCCAGCGAAGATAAGCCTCTGCTGATCAGGAGGGATACCCTCCTTGTCCTGTATCTTCGCCTTTACATTATCTATAGTATCAGAACTTTCAACTTCCAAAGTTATGGTCTTCCCCGTCAGAGTCTTCACAAAAATTTGCATACCACCACGGAGTCGCAGAACCAAGTGCAGGGTAGATTCTTTCTGAATGTTGTAATCAGCAAGGGTGCGACCATCCTCGAGTTGTTTACCAGCGAAGATGAGTCTTTGTTGGTCAGGAGGAATCCCTTCCTTATCCTGAATCTTAGCCTTGACATTATCAATCGTATCAGAGCTCTCGACCTCGAGGGTAATGGTCTTGCCCGTTAGAGTCTTGACAAAGATCTGCATCCCTCCCCTGAGACGAAGGACAAGGTGGAGGGTCGACTCCTTCTGGATATTGTAGTCAGCTAGGGTTCGTCCATCCTCCAGCTGCTTGCCGGCAAAGATAAGCCTCTGCTGGTCGGGAGGGATACCTTCCTTGTCTTGAATCTTAGCTTTCACGTTGTCAATAGTATCCGAACTTTCCACCTCAAGGGTGATGGTCTTGCCGGTCAAGGTTTTCACAAAGATTTGCATCTGTTCAATCAGATTACACAATAGGAAGAAGAAACGAAAATTAAAGATCGACTAAAGCCCAATTGCTGAATCAATAGAAGTTATACCAGAACCAAAATTAAATTTTGGGGGAAATCTCAGCAGATCAAGAAATGAGGAATAAACAAACAAATTGAATCCAATAACTCAACAATAAGAAAGGGATAAAATTATAGTACAAGTACCTTGCCAAGAAATTTGGGAGGACTTTCGAAGAGCGGCTAGGAATTTTGCGGAGATGTATCTGTACCAATCCTACAGGCGCCAGAGGATTATATAGCTCGGTTGCACCGACTTGACGACGAAAATTATCGAAGAAGCGCTGGCGTATGACGTCCCCTCATGTGGGGTTAGCGTGGCATGCACGCCAAGATTAGCATCAACAACATCAAAGAAACCCACCCGCGGGGGGTGGGTTTCTTTGCTAATAGTAGTAGATAAATAGTAAATAATTAATTTAAAAATTTTGACCCAGAAATACTATGTTTTTAAAAAAAAAATCACCCATTGATACATACACATGAACGATCCTTCTAATTTTTGATAGAATGATAAAGTAGTATTGCACAAATCTCAATTATGTGACAGTTTGGCCGTGGCATGTGACCTATATTGAGATTTAATGCGATATTTTCATATCTTTGTCAATATCATCAATCAATACTGATGAAAAAGCCAAATATATAACAAATAAACTTATTTACAAATTTGAGGTAAAAAAAAAAACTTATTTACAACTTTATATAATATAGATTATTTATCAAATTTCATGCAATATATCATACGAGATATTACGGAGCATTTTATTTATTTGTTTGTGTACATGATTTGTAAAATTTGTCTTTCTAAAATAACAACAGCAACAACTAGTTGTTTTTTTAATGATTATTCAATGTATGTTTTTTGCAAATTTAATAATCTATATCATTTCTTTATAAACCAAATATTTAATAAATTTATTTATTTTTATATTTTGAACCAAACCTGCCCTTCGTCTAGGCATCATGATATGAGCATGGTTTCAGTTTTCCCTATTCTCTTTAATGTAATGTGAAGTTTAGCCCAAGACCAAAGCAAAAGCCCATAATGACTGTGCGTAGAGATGGACATTGATCCGAGGCCTAGAGTGGCCTTATCGCATTTCACTCTTGTCCTTGCATCAGCCTGAATGCCTGATCGTTAACTGTCAGACTCCCTGCTTTCCCTCCACCAACCTTGTCGAGTTCCGTTAATGGCGCCAGCTGCTCCTCGATCCGGTGATGCCATTTTCGCTAGCGTTGAACGCGTGGTAAACTTACAGCTTTCAGCTTTCATTCCCTCTTCTTCGCACTCCGTTTAGTCATCGAATCATCGAAAATAATACTAGTATATTCTGCAATTTGTTGAATTTTGAAGGGAAAATTGCTCAACCGAGTCAATCCGCTGCATAAATATTTCGTCTTTTTTTTTTTTCATTGCTTACACCCCCCTATATTCATGATTAATTTCTTGTTATCTTTTTTTGCACAGTTTCTTGTGTTTTTTTCCTTCTCTTTTCTTTAATGAAATTATGCAGCTTTGAGGTCCATGGTGTCACTTTCAGCTGGGTTCCCCCGAATTATAGCACTTGTCTTCATGTTGTATTTGTTTCCATCAGCAAATATTTTGTAATGTGCGGTTGCTGACACGCTGTTACGAATTTCTTTTGATAATGCGCTATATACGATGATATAATACATTTGCTTTGACGTTTGTATGGGTTGCGCAGAATGCCGAGCTATTTACTTTGACGTATGGGGCAATTGTGCGTCAGTTGCTTACTGATCTGGAAGAGGTTGACGAGGTTAACAAACAGCTGGATCAAATGTACGATCGAGAATCTCTGTTGGATTTCCTTTATAATGTATAATGATTCCTTCTTTGCCTTTTTTTTTTATATAGCAGGAAAAAAAATCCTCCTACGGATTCATAAAATTTGGTTTTTTTGGGTCCAATTTCGTTGGAGAATTTACCTCCTTGGTTCATTGTTTTGCTGTTTATTGACATTTCCTATGTCCTTTGTTATATTTTGGTAATATTCTTGTTTTCCTAAGCACATCGCATATCACTTTATATAGTTCATATAATTTGTTCTTGTATTGATTTTTTTGTCTGCGCAATTCATATTTGTTGATGTGAACCTTGTTGTTTGGTTGGTCTTCAGGGGTTATAATATTGGAGTTCGTTTGATAGATGAGTTTCTAGCTAAATCTATTGTCTCAAGATGCGTCGACTTCAAAGAGACTGCTGAAGTAATAGCAAAGGTACTTGCTGAAGCAAATGCCGCAAATACATCCCTTTTTGATATGTGTATAACATGCATGCTCAGTATGTATTTAAAAAAAAAAAGCATGCATGCTCAGTATTAATTTCTTTTCTTGTGTACTTTTGATGCTGGTGTTCCGCTTCTCTAAAATATTTATCACCTGTTGAACCAATGCTAGCTGTGGCGTCTTATGATAAAGGACAGTGATGTTGCGCAATATATGTAGCCAATCTCAGTTAGTGAAACAAGGTTTGTTGTTGCTGTCTTAGGATAAAAGAGTGCATAATAAATTGATTTTGTATATTAATTCTATCTTTACAAAACATTATAAATCAGAGTTGTGGACATAGAAATAATTTGTTTTTATTGTACTGATGTCTAACACGAAAACGCTTAAATTAGTGGAGTAAACAGCATTTACTTTACCTTTGTGAAATTCCTCAGTGACCTTGGCAAAACATTCTTTCACTGGTCTGAAGTCTGATTGAGGATGTTTCAAAATCTAATCACTTCCAACCTAATTGCTTACCAACTATTTCATCCACATCAACTCGCTTCAAGTGCTCAGTCATCTTGTAGAATCTTTTGCGCTCTGTTCAGTTTCCCCTGTTTCTTGGCATAATAGAGCCGGTTTGCACCATTAATGTTTGGTTTAAAAATGATACAGTCGGTTCATGGTGAACACATTCTGATGTCTGATCAGCATGATAACTTATGTGTGGGCTACCTATGCATTGCATCTTGGTTTGTTGATCAATATGTATTTATATTTATTAATTATTAAATTATTCATTATAATAAGAATGTATATATGTCAACAGTAAAGGTAAGAATGGCTGAATGTTTTCAAGTCAACCTTAATGATGCTTTTATTCAGGTTGGATTTAAAATGTTCCTTGGTGTTACTGCATCTGTAACCAATTGGGATGCTGATGGGACATGTTGCAATATTGTTTTAGAGGACAATCCCCTGGTAGATTTTGTTGAGCTTCCTGATACATGTCAAGGTCTGTGCTATTGCAACATCTTAAGTGGAGTCGTTAGAGGAGCCTTAGAGATGGTAAGTTTTTGTTCCCACCGCTTTCCTCTTCTTGGCATCTCTCTCTCATTTTAAAGAACCTCCGTTTCTTCTCACTTCCAGACCTGGCAAACTAGGAAAATATAGTCCTTTTTTATCGCTGCACCTTTCTGAGATTGGCATCTGAAGCATTTCATTAAATAACTCAAAGTTGAAATAAGCTTTGTAGTTATTGGCATGATATCTGGATGGGTCCAAACTTTGTAGTCTGAATCAGTTGGTATAGTCTGAACGCAATTATTTAGCTTACTGACTTTGTAGAGACACAGAAAAGGGGTCAATATATGCGCATGAATGATGTCTACTTTTTGGGCAAATTCATCCGATTGATGAAATTTATCACTGACCTATCTCTATATTAGTTGGAAAACTACCCTGGTATCTATCCTCAGGACAATGAAACAAATTAACTTTGGATGTTGATTCTCTTCTCTGTGACAATAAATCATAATTTCCCAATATTCAGGTGTCAATGAAGACTGAGGTCACATGGGCTCGTGATATGCTTCGAGGTGATGATGTGTTTGAATTACAGGTAAAACTTCTCAAGCAAGTTCCAGAAGAATATCCCTACAAGGATGATGAGTGAATATTCACATTCTCTCTTCTAATGTAACTAGCACTATGTTTAAAAAAAAAAGAAAAAGTACACAACAGTGAAGTTTTGTTGAAGAAGAGAAGTATGCACCAGTAACGTAACAGTGTGATGGGATTTTAACTTTTATATTGGGCAATATAATCATTCTGATGATTATGATTCTGGTTAGGTTCATGTTTTCTCAACTTGAGAGTATCAGCTGACTATCCAGTACAATCTATATAAAAATATTCAGTCCATGGGCAAAACTTTTCTTTTCTTCTCTTTTTTTCTGTTTTTCTGTTTTTATTTTTTTTGGGTGTCCAGTTTTACATAGAAAGCACACCAAGTATTCTCCACCAAAGAAGCTTTCAAATTGGAAGTCGTTTTCGAAAGACTTGTTAATCGATTTTGAAGTTTTCAATACTCCTAGCAGCGAAGTCTCCGCATCTACCCATTGATTTAGATTTTTAGACTCACGAAACTCAAAAATAAAAATCCATCACATAAATAAATAGTTTAATAACAATTTTCCTTCACTTAATTTTTGTATGATATATTGGCTAGCATAAAAAAAGTAAAGATAAAATGTTAAAGTTAATCAAGCCTAAGATATGGCAAGTGTAATGCCCTCTAAACTACACTGTCAATATCTTATACCGTCAAAACGCAAGTATTATGATACAAACTCAATTTGTGATTCATCTAATAGTTACCCAATCACATTGGGCGGACGTGTAAGATGTCTCTTTCAATTCTGTGTAAGATTTTCAATGCCGCCATAAAATCTGAATTGTCATGATAAAAGAAAGACAAGTCCCTTGCATCCAAAAGTAAACTAAAGAACGTAGGGGAAAATGACATGGAGGCATTAGTTTCATAACCAGATAAAAAGTTCTAAATTCAAAGATCTTCTTTCCTCAAAGTGAAACGTTTTTACTTCAAATTTTTCCCTACATCATTTTCAGACTATATACGGACAACTTCTGAATGCTTATGAAACTGCAAGAACATGATTGTTAACGAACAAACCACATGGACTAGATATATGACCTCCAAAAGTTTAAGTAACATCAGTTTCATTTTCCCAAACACCACCTCCGCTCTTTTATATAAGAGTTAGTTACTTAATTTGAGTATATTAAAAAAGTTTATTAAGTTAGTTATTTGTAATAAATAGGTGTTATTTTTCTTAAAATACTTTTACTAATCATGTGTACTAGTTAGAACTACCATTTGATGAAACTTTTAATATCTGTAGCCATTATAAGAACTATATTAAAAAAAATAGATAAAAATAAAATAAAAAATAAATTAAAATCTTATGTTTAAAACTAAATTAAAAATCAAACTAACTCTTTACATAATAAAATAGGAATAGTTTGTGTAGAAGATGGTATCATATTGAGCTTTGCCGACATGACTGCAAGGGAAGCACAGCAGCATGAGGGAGAAAGGGGGCGGTTGCATGTGATACAGGCGGAGCATGGGAAGAAGAGTGAGTGAGTCGAGGTACGTAGGCTTTGTATAGAACGAAGGGATAGGATAAGAGAGGAAGAGGGCCAATAAATGAATGAGTCTGATGGATCACCCTCACCTGACCTGGCCTGACTTGATTTGATACCATCATTCTGAATTTTGATGCGCTTTTTAAACCCCACAATCTCAAACTTCATCACTGTCCACCACCGTCTTATTCCTAATCTCTCTCTGTAGGCCATCTCCCTTTAATGCTTTGTTCCCTTTCCCTCCTTCACAGCTCCTCGCTGCCGACCCATTATTATTCCTGTCTCTTTTACTTTCTCTTTATTCCTATTAGTATTTGTGAAATTGATGAACCATGTAACCCAAGCCGAGTGGTTTATCAAGTGAAAAAAGATTACGTAAGTTGCTCATGAATATTGGACTTTAAAAGAAAAATAAGAGTATAAAATAAAAGTGACTTCGACGATCGTGTTGATGAAATAGATGTGTAATTAAAAAAAAAAAAATCGGAATGCACATGTACAATGAAGAGTCTGAGTGTTATCTATTAACCAGAGAATGGTAACTGATTTGGATATGTAATGTGTTAGTGAAAAGAATAGATCAAACAGTGCATGAAACTGCAGAATTCTCTTCGTTGTTTTTGCTTCTTCTTTTTTTTTTTTTTACACCTAGATAATTTAGATCCATCGGAAGGGACCCACACACCTACTCATTTTTGTTCTTGTGGAGTGCCGTTGAATCAAGAGGTTGTTAAGAATGCTTTTGTTAATTCTATTATTTACATGCCAGCAATATCCATTCCATGCTACGGTCATGTTTGCATCTTTTCTTGATTAGTTGTATTATACTACATAAGAGTTAATTTAACTTTTAATTTAGTTTTAAATATAATATTTCAATCCATTTTACTTCTTATATTTATTTTTTTTTTTTTCAAACTAGTCCTTATTGTAATTGTACATGTTGAATATTTCATCAAATCATACTTGATTAATAAGAGTATTTTAAGAAGAATAACAAATATTTATTAAAAATAATTAACTTAACTAATTTTTTTAATCTATTTAAATTAGTCAACAAGAACCGGAGGGAGGCAATATAATCTAAAAATACGCGTATTTAATTAGCGCCAAGAAAAAAACATTAATTTTTATGTAGTTATGTGTGTTTGTATGTATGCATTCCATGTATGATGCTGCAAAGAATTAAAATATATGGAGATACTATCGCTAACATTGTTAATATAAGAGTTAAATAACTAATTATAAATGTTAAGAAAATAAGTCAAGTTAGTTATTTATAATAAATAGATGTTATTTTTTTAAAAATATCTCTATTAATTATATGTATTAAAATTATCTATTAATGGAGTCTCTTTAAATTTAAGGGTAAAATGGATAATATTAAAGACATAATGAATTGGAATCTTATATTAAAGATCAAATTAAATTTTTAACTAGCTCTTGTATTATATTATAAAGAGAAAAAGTAGTATTATATATATATTTGAAAATAATTCAAAAAAAACTTTACCACTACTTTTTTTCTATATTGATAATTGCTGACACACGGCTTGCTTTATCTCGGTGGCAAAGAAGAGGATCCAATCAAGAGCCTCCAAAAAAGGAATCAAAACATGCCATTCTAGGGACGAAATAGCAGCCACGTCTCATACGCAGCTTGATTCTTAAACTAAGGGTAGCTTTGATATGAGGAGAGAGAGAAAAAAATTTTAATGAGGCCAGTTTAAAAAATTGAAGAAGTGTGATTACAGGCTTTTAATTGATTTTTATTATTCTTTTATCTTATATATTCTCTTTATTAAAATTTTAAAACCCAACTTCTCCAATTTTTTAAATTAAGCTCCTTAAAATTTTTTCTCCCATTCGCTCTTTTTTATTTCCCCCCTACCAAACATAAGATAAATGTACAAAATAAACTTCATTAATCCGTCACTTCAACCTGGAAAATCTCGCCCTTAATTATGGTTTGAAATTTGATTAAAAATCTGACTTGAACTTATAACTGATAAATGCAACAGCAACGACAGAGGACAACTCACTTCATTAATTAAAATTTAATTGCTTAATTAATCTGTTTCAATTAATTGATTAAATCCATTTATGTGGCGGGTTCAGCTGTGTGCTGAGAACCTGCAACTCATGTCTGTTGTTAGCTAGCCTGCTCTAATATTCCAGTTATAACTGCTTGGCTGCCGACTTCGCCCTCCTAATTAATAAAGCCTTGAAGTATTGGTTAATATTTCCTTTCATATTCAACTACTACTTTAGCTATATTGAATGTTTTCTGTTTCTTTTACTTTACTATATATAAGTGGACTACTCCAATATATATATAGCCAAATATTGTTGGCGGAGTACCCACACAGACATATAGCTTATTATTCTCGAGTAACTGATGAATTGTGCTTCTGGAAATTAAGCTGTGGCTATAAGTTTTGACATTTGGCTCTGCCTGACCGTTCCTTTGATCTGTTGTTCGTGGATTAGGAAGATATATTCTTAATTAGTAAGTGGGTTAATTAAAGTACTTGTTTTATTTCTTTTTTTCTTTTTCCAGCTTTCACACTGTTGCCAGAGGGTTTGTGTATCTGTTGCTATATAGGAGTATATCAATTCAATCTCAAGTACAGAAGAGTAAGAAAATTCCTGCTATATATATAGTATAAGTTTGTCCTTTGTTAATCAAAGATTTAAAAAATTTCAATTTTAACGTCGCTAGGCCTTTTCTTCTTTAACATTAATTTCAAGAAACATGGAGGCTGGCTAGCTAGTTGTTTAATTTCTAATTTTTAACACTGAGGCACCCTCTCCCACTTATAACTTATATATAAATATATATATATATAATAGGTTTAAGATGCATTCAGCATTCCAAATTATTTTCTCGGGATGCATTCAGCACCCTAAAATATTTTGTGATGCATTCAGCACTTTGAAATATTTTTTTAGGTGCGTTCATTACCTTGAAATATTTTTTGGTGTATTCAACATATCAAATATTTGTTTTAGATGTGTCTAATACCTAAAAATATTTTTTGGTGCATCCAGCCTTAAGACAAAAAAAAAATACTTTTGGATATTAGACACACCTAAAATATTTTGAGATACTGGATATATCACAAAATATTTTGAGGTATTGGATACATATAAAAAATATATATTCCGGAGTGTTGAATGCACGTTAATTCTAAATAATATTAACATAAGCATTTATTCTCGGTTGACTGGAATACTAGGAAGTTTATCTCTGAATCTTGAAATATGGGGATTTACACAGCTTTATATAATATAAAGACGCATGGCGAACTGATTGAAGAACTTTATCCTTCATTATTCATAACTATTTAAAGTACTAAATAGAAATGACTAGTCTATGTCGGCAATAGCAATGATTACAACTATTTTATTATTGAGTTCTTGAAAAGGTTTTCCCCAGTATTTGTGATACATATCGAACTCATTAATAATATCTTTGTGATGTGTGTGTAATATTTTAATTTTATTAATGATTTAATAACATACACATGTAAATAATTAAAAAAGCAAGGCGAACGCTAATTAACTGAAAGCACACAAAAACAAATAACTTGACCGCGAAGGCCATTTCACGCGCCATTGCCAGCCAATAGAATCACACTGATCCAGGTGGGCATAGTAAACAAAGATAAGCTTTTCTTATCTCCTTTCCTTGTAAGTTCCTCTTTCACCGTGTTATTACCTTCGTGATCCTAGTATAAATATATATTCATACAAGGTTGTGCAATGCTCCGAAAAGCATTGCCTATTATATTCATTGTTCATCAGAAAGGGCCTTTTAATCTCTTCTGCACTTTTTCTGCAGTATATTCGCTTAATAATTAATGGATCACGAGCCTCCATTCCTGAAAACCTACAGCGACCTGTTCCGAGAGAGCCAGCAGCTTATTTCTCCTCTAGTTGGTGACACAAGAAACTACGACAACAAGTTTTGTTGTGAACTACCTTTGATAGATCTCAGAAAGTTGAATGCTGAGAGGGAAATCAAAGAAGCTGCGAGAAAATGGGGATTTTTCCAGGTGGTGAATCATGGGATTCCACAAGAACTGCTCGAGAGCTTGATGCGTGAGGAAATGATCCAAATGTTTCATCGTCCTTTTGCCACAAAATGTCAGCAACACTTTTTGAATAATCTTTCTGCTTCTGCAAGTGGTGGGTACAGGTGGGGAAACCCTTCTGCTACTTCTCTCAGGCAACTTTCATGGTCTGAAGCTTACCATGTGTTTCTTCCTGATATAGCAAGCATGGACCACCACACCCATCCCAGGTATATGTATACTTTTACATATATATCTCAATGGAAGCCATGTGCAAATATGAGTTTGAATTTAAGAGAATATATATATATATATATATAGAGAGAGAGAGAGAGGAGGAAGCTAAGAGAGGAAAAGAACTGTAATTCATGTTTGATTCTAGTTATTACCTTTTGATTTCTTTTAATTTGTATACACCTCTGTGTTTTTCTGCGATCTGAATATGCTCTTTGAAAGTCTCCATATAACCTAAAAGAGATCGAATTGCAAACAGTAAATTATTCTCATTTAGGGCAAGAACAGGCGTATTATTTATTGAAACTCGCGAGGCATGCATTCATCTTGTGTAGATTGGCTCAATTTGTTTTTTGTTCACAAAATAATTCAAATTATGTTATCATATATATAAAGCTTCAAATTTTTTGTTTAAATTCACTTAAACTTTAGATCATATGAGCATCCATTAGGGCAATGAACTTCACCCTAGGCTCTACAATTTTCAGATGATATTTTTTTGCCACTAATTAGTTCATTATTTCACAAATAAACTGTGACACATTATGTAGGGAATTTATTCGGGCAAGACTTTTAATTTGGCGAATTATCTATTACGTTAAATATAAAAGAGTTACTTGTATGAAAAGTAAATTTTCAAGAAGTATATATTGTCGTTGACTGTTTCCATTAGTGAAATCATGGACCAATTAACAGTTACTAGAGGGTCGTGTGCACTAATTTTAAGGTTAGAAATTCAATATTGTGGTTAAGTTCTGAGGATTGCTTGCATTGAAGTTTAGTAAAACTTTTGTACGTACATCTAATTAATCTAATCTCTCTGAATCCGTAAATCAAGGAAGTGTGGCATGGGTTTAGCACCCTTTTAGATTTTTAGGAAATAAATTTGCATTGCATGTATATATAAATATAACAAGCCTTTAATTATGTGCAATTTAGGTCAAACCTCAAGTGTTTTGCGACAAAAGCTACCCTACTGGCCGAAAGATTGGCTGAGATTCTTGGTCAAGAAGTGAAGATCAAATCCAGCTATTTCCAGGAAAACTGTTTGCCAAACACTTGTTTTTTAAGACTGAATAGATATCCAGTGTGCCCAGTTCCTTCAAAAGTGTTTGGCCTCTTGCCTCACAGTGACTCTAGTTTCCTTACCCTTGTGTATCAAGACCAGGTGGGAGGATTGCAGTTGATGAAAGATGGAAAGTGGTGTGGAATCAAACCAAATCCACAAGCCCTCCTTGTTAATATTGGTGATTTATTCCAGGTATACTTTATGTCCTATCTCTTCACTCGTCATCATAATAATTTGATTGATATGTATTTTTACCCCAAAAAAAAAATTTTATTCTAGCATAAAGAATGAATTTCATTGGAATATTATATTGGATGGTCTTTTCAAGATAAGACAAAGTGAAAATGACATTTAAATCTAAAAAATAAGTTGGAAATAAATATCGACTTGGACAGTTAAACAGAAATGTCAATTGGAAACTGAGTTAACCATTGAAACTTCAACACAAGACTATTAATTGAATTTGCAGTTGTTTGAATTAATAAATTTGCAATTCACCTAACCCATTAAATCAATTTTTTGAGACCTATGTGTCATTTTCTCATATGTGAAAAGTTCCCTCTGGAGTAATGGATAGTCTTTTCAAGAGAGTACATGAGTTTGTTCGAAAAGTGGAATTATCACCCAATAATGCTCTATTCTCAATAGGCTTCCAATTACAAAACTCGTGGTCAAGGCACGGAGCCCACGAGACGTTCACATGCCTGTAGTAGACTTTTCCAGTGTAGATGACAAATGCGACCAGAAAACGACGATAAATAGAACGTACTGTGTATGGACTTTGGATTAGATGTCATACGAAAAACCTCAGAAAAAACAAATAACGATGTGGGTGTGTCGGACATTTTCTATATATGCTAATTGATTTAGGGTTTGGTTGAATATTCATAACTAAATTAGATTATGATTGAGTTCTAAATGTGAAATTATATACGAAACTGATATATATATATATTTTTAACTTAGTAGGAACAAAAGCATCAAGAAACATAATTAACGATAATCACCAAAAAAAGCAGAAGAATCGGATAAGTTTAATTCATTAAAATATTTTGATCTACAAGGGGCCTGCAAATAAAATAAGCAGAGATAAGACGTTGCTCTTAAAATATTGCCCCTTAATCAGAATGTGTCCCTTTTATACATCAATTCTTCGCCCTTTGTTCTTCACTTGTTTCTCCTTTTCTTGCAGCAGTCATATTCCAAATTTGATACGAAATCATATGTACATGCTGGGGTGTACGAGCTGAACACATTTTTTAGGTGTAGAAAACTTAATCCAACCCATGCTTCAAAAGTTCAAATATAGCTTACAATCTTTTATTTGTTGTCGAATCTGATATATGGTAGAAACACACAAACACACGCATATTTTAAATAGATGATATAATTAATATATGTGATATATATTGGGCATGCAGGCAGCGAGCAATGGAGTATACAAGAGCATAAAACACAAGGTTTTAGCAGCAGAGAAGGAAGAGAGGTATTCTGTGGCATATTTCTTTAGCCCCTCGTACGATACAGTGATAGAGAGCCATGGTGGGGGGAGTCCTTCAATATACAGGAAGTTCAGTTTCAGAGAGTACAAACAGCAAGCAGATAAAGATGTTAGGGAACTTGGTGATAAAGTGGGCCTCTCTAGGTTCCTTCTCTAGAAAGCATATAGAAACTTCCAACGTCTCCTTATCATCTCATCACAACTGGCAACAAGTTCGTGATCGCTACCACTCTTCATCTGTCACTTCTAAACCATATAAATCCATCGTCTTTATTCCCTCATCCACTCTTAAACCTATTTTCTGATGGGATATTCTTTCATTTTTACGTGTTCAGGGGGATCTGGGCTTCATTACAAGAGTGAGTGAGTGTGTGTGTGTGTGTGATTGAAGCCACGTCAAGAATCTATCAGGAACGTATGTAATATATCCTATTATTATTTGCTTGCTTGCCCTTTGATCGATGCATTTCGTATACTATCTTAGCTTATACGTACTATATGGAGTCTCGAACGTATATGAGCTCTCCCGTAAGAGACTTGGGATGACTTGGGATGATGTCTGTCTCTCATTAAGGAATCCTACTCACTAATTGATCAGCATATATAATGTGATCATTAAACTAATCTCTCTCTTCTCTATATATATATTGGTTACAACCTCTGTATATATTTACACCTTACTGTAGTGTTGGTTTCGAATTAACCAGTAGCACATCCATCCATTCTCATATTTACTTAGAATTATTATATTAACTTGATCAGTTTTTTCATCTGTGTGGTGTTTTTTTTTTTAATCAAATTCAGCTTATAAAGCTGCACATTAAAATAAACAAACTTGCTTCCTATCTTAAATTCATGGGATAAAATGTCAGTTCATAATTAACTTTTTAAAGTTGTTTCCCATGGATAAATATTTTTGAATTTAGAGAGTTGGTATCAGAAACTGAAATTGTCAACCACAAGATGAGGAACAAGACAGGTGCAAGGCAACTATCAGTAGTCATAGTCGTCAAGCACTCCCAAGTCAGACATGAATCCAAAACCATTTGGTAAGGAAAGGATTTATAAACCAATCATAGTCTAAATCTCAAAACTTATGTATGAACTCCAACCACGTGTTTTACTTGATTTATTGTACTACTTGTCTATCGCTATCGTTGTCATTATCTTGTATCCTCATAGTGGGATGTCTGATTTGACCACTTTGGTCACTCCTGCTTCAATTATCTTCTTATCTATATGAATTAATTTCCTTATGTATATTTCTGTCATTAATTTGACTCTTCCACTGTATAAATTCAAGCGGCTTGCTTTTGCTATTTTAGGAGTGAACTTTTTTTTATTCGAGATGTATTAATGATCTTATCTTATTTATCAACAAATGAAATGTATTCATGATATTTAAATTGATCAAGTTATTAACCTTAAATCATAAAATCTCAAACAGTCACAAAAATAATCCTCTTGAGGATTTTTTTTTAATGCATACAGTGAATAATCTGTATATGCACATCCAAATTTATTTCTTCCATGCACTGACAGAACAATAGTGTGTTTGTCTATAACTAATGGGCCCTTTTTTGACCGTCAAATGGCCATATAGTGCACTCGTGTAAGAATTTCTCTACAGAGAACAGATCCATCAGAAGACAGTACTTCGTGCAAGTCTTCGGAATGACCAAAACAATAACGCAACATCTTCTCATCATTTTTGCTAAGCAGGTGTATTATTTTGGTAGAGTAAATTCTGTTCAAGACATTGTTGATATGAGTATCTCATATTTTTGTTCAATTAGTTTTTAATACTACCTCCGGTTTTAATATAAGATTCCGTTTGACTTTTGTTTAGTCCTAATTATAAGACCCCAATTTATTTTGTCTCTCATATTTATACATTTTTTTCCAATATAGTCCTTCTAATAATGATAGTTCTAACCAATACACTTAATTAGCAAGGATATTTTAGGAATGACAACACTTATTTATTACAAATAACTAATTTAACTTACTTCCTTAATCTCCTCAAATTAGTCAACTGGGTCTTATAATTAGGACCGGAGGTAGTACTATTTCTAGTCCTAAATATAAAAGCTAGTTGACTAATTTGAGTAAATTAAAAAAATAAGTTAAGTTAATTATTTGTAATAAATAGGTATTGTCGTTCTTAAAATATCCTTACTAATCAAATTTATTAGCTAGAACTATTATTATTAGAAAGACTATCTTGGAAAAAAATGAATAAAAATGAGAGACAAAGTAGATTAGGGTCTTATATTTAAGATCAAAATAAAAGTCAAACAAGGTACTCCTCCAGTCCTTAATATAAGACCCAATTATTGAGTTGGTTTTGGTCCTAAATATAAGATCCATTTCTCATATTTATCAATTTTTTTCTAAATTACCCCTATGGATACTCCCTCAACCATAATCAAGTAGAAGAGAAAGAGGGGTATTAAGAAAGATGATTATGGTATTTTAGGAAAAATGTATCACATTTCTTATAAGTAACTAACTTACCTAACTTCCTTAATATAATCAAATTAGTTAAATAGGTCTTATATTAAGGACCGGAGGAGTATTATATTAAGGACCGGTAGTGCCTTCATCAATTTGTAAAAAAAAAAAAATCAATGGATTATGAGTCCAATTGAGGATTGGATATTCGAAAGAAAAGAAAAGAGGATTGGGTATCCATTATTGACTAGCAATGGTTGGGTTAGCCCAACACGTTGGGCCCAACATACACCATGGTAATCTGTTTCAGATTGGCATAAAAACTCTCAAATTGAACATCGGCCCACGTGACCCTTTTAAAAATAATCGTCGAACTTGCTGCCGTCTAGTTCCTTTGTTGTTTTATTTTTCTTTTCTCCAGTTTAAGGTTGCTACGCAAACTAGAAAAAATCGGGATGCACCTTTACAAGATTTATTCCCCAAAAAAAAAAAAGGCGAGCTTCTAAGAAAACCCCATCAAATGCGTGGCGCGTTCCAGCAGGACATGCCCCTTCGTCACAACGCGGATAGCTGACCACAAAACGACGTGCGAAGACCTCAACGATATCTCTCTCTCTCTCTCTCTAGTCGGGTCAACGACGACTTCACTGATCTGAAGATGCATTCCGGGAAACTTCCTTAAACCCGTTTATCGATTTACTTAATGGACCGTCGTTGACCATCGCCACTAGCATTTACTATCACTTTATTTTTTCCTTTAGATTTTCAATGATTTTCAGATTAAAAACTAGTATAAAAGAAAAATAAAAATAGTGGTACAAAAGGCCCTTTTGGAAAAGGGCACCAATAATTTTTATTTCGTGCAAAGCGGCTTCAATTATGAATGAATTTTAACCTCATCAAATTTGAATAGCTAGCCGCTAATCGATCATTCGGTGGTGACTGGGGAGGCATCAAGACGAAGAAACTTGATACTAATTCACCTTGAATTTCCTCATTCCATTGTAAAAAAAAGAAAAAGTGATAAAGGAACGACGAGTAAAGAAACTGTACGAAATTATGATTCGTTAATTCGTTGAGAGGTTATTTTTATCTGAAAAAAGAAAGAAATTCTTTGAGATCTTAGTTGTATAAAATCTAAAAACACCCCTCAAAGCTCACCAGCGGCTCCCTTTCATTACTCTCCTTCTCTGTTGCCTTACCCTTCAGTCAATCATTTGCCTCTCCTCCGCCACTTAGCTGCTTACTGAGTTACACGTCGAGTCGCAGTCGGAAAGTGCGGGTGGCGCGCCGGTCACCGGGAACACAATGGGATCCAGAGGAGGAGGACCCTGTAAGTGTTGTTTCAGCTTCATAGTCACCCTGGGTCTGACAGCCTTGTTCCTCTGGCTAAGCCTGCGAACCCACGAACCCAAATGCTACGTTGGGTTCTTCTACGTTCCTTCTCTCAACCAAACCTTGAAGAACCCTTCCAACTCCACCATCGTTTTCACGGTGGAGTTCGACAACGGAAACAAGGATAAGGGAATCAAGTACGACAACGTTAACGTCACCTTCGGGATTTTCCTGGATCGGAATAGGACGAGGACGATTGGGAATTCCACTATTGAGGGGTTCTACCAGGGGCACCAGAAGAATGCTAAGAAGCCGGGTTTCATCGAGATTCATGGCGGAGGACTTAACCGGACGGCGAAAGTGGACGGGAAATCGTATTTCCGGGTGGATTTTACGACCTCGGTGAAGTACAAGATCTTGCTATGGTACACAAAACGACACAGTTTATGGGGAAGGGCTACTGTTCCCGTCGATGATTCCGGGAAGAAAGTTGGGAAGAAAGGTATCAGACTCGGACACACGGCCACCATCATCGTCTCCGGCGCACCCCCCCTCGCCGGTTGCTATTGCACGCTGTTGACTCTGGGTCTTTTCGTCAATTTCTTATTTCTGGATTTGTTTTTCTAGCTTTACTTTTTTTAATAATTTATATTGCGAATTTGCGATTTTGTTTTTTTTATTTCTAACGCGTCACTGAGGGTAAAGATGTCGGGTGGATCTTGTGGCTGGATTTGTATGTGTCAGTGGCTTTAGATTTTTTAGAAGTGAGATTATTGTTTGGGCCACGTCATTTGTTTATGCACTTTGATTTAATTTCTCAAGATTTAATTTAACTTGCCCAGAGTGAATTTTCAATTTGGGAATGTTGAAATGCTAAGGATTATTTTAAAAGATTAGATAAAATTAATGCACATTAAAGTTAAGAAATTTACTTAAACCAAAAAAGACGAGGAGATTATATGAGCGGCACTTCTTATAAAAATAATGAATAATACACAGGGCACTTGTTATAGGAAAAATGATTAAAAAAATTAAAAATTACTAAATTTCAAATCACGTTTAGCAATAATATTTTATTTGGTATCAACAGCACTGAATTTATAAATAACAATAATTTTTTGTTAACTTTCTTATTTGGTATTTTGTGATTTTTAATTTCTTTTGTCATATTGTGTAAATAATGCAATTTATATTGATATGATGGCTAATACTAATGTTGATATTGATAAATGAATTTCATTTTTAATTAAAGAGTAAATGACAATTTTAGATCTAATTGACTGATTAAACCTTACTCTTTTCTTAATTTATTTGGTTTTGTAGAAACATCATTAATGTGAAATTTTATATATTATTTGTCCGCTATGTTCAGAACAAATGAGAAAATTCTTAAAAAAATATATTTCTTGAATTTTAAAATTTCAAATTAGTTTTGTTTATTATATTTTAACAATAAATAATAACATATTTTTATTATAATTCTTATTTAAATTAGGCCGCTTCCACAGAGACTTTGGCATTTCTTTATGCCTATGGAAGTGTTCATCCTGTAGTACAATGTTGCCGTCTCTCGTGGATAAGGAATCCTCGACTTAATCTCTGCTATAATTCTAAATGAAATTGCCACCTATCCTGTAGTACAAACGGATGGCTTATTTATTCTAGTCCTCGAGCACAATGAATTCTAACCAATAAAAAACTGATGACCCACACATTTTTCATGTCTTGAATTAGTCAATCAAACCAACCCATGTTATCTGCAGGACTGCAATGGTAACCTTGCATTTGGAGGTTCCGTCAACATCAAAATTCACCCTTTTTGATCTGAAATTTATAAATATCATCTCCATTATTTATATCTAGTTTTTTTAAAAATACATTTGGAAACTGATTATGAATTATGTGAGATTTTAAAAGGATTTGGTCTGGTGTTTGTATTTTTTTTCTTTTTAATTTATATTCTCCTGTTATGAGGACGCCTTTTGGCTGGAAGCATCTTGCTTCCTTGCAATGAAATGTATTTCCCAACATACATGGCCTTCTAGCCAAAAGCTTCAAACAGGCTATCAAATTTACTGAGTCGTTCTGGAAATAAGACCTCATGATTTGTGATGTAAGATTAGATTACAGAGAGCCATTAGAAATTGCTTTTCCATTTTCATCATGTAATCAATACTAGACCTATCTATACATCAAATGTACTACTACTTCACGCACCACAATCATCAAAGAAGCAACCTTTTTCACAATACAAAACTACTACTTTGACGCTTCTCTGAATTCTTATTTGGGTACAAAGCAAGCACCTAAATTTGGGAAATATATGTTGTTATTCCTAATGATGGTTACCATATTACAATCTTTTCTCAACTTTCAAAAGGAAAAATGAAAGAGGTCTATCTTATCTTACGGCTTCTTTGATTTACCTTCAAAAAGATCTGCCATTTTGAAGTTTAACCAGAGAATAGTAGGCTCCCTCTCGTCCTAGAGAAATTAGTTCATTATGTGAACCTTGTTCCACAACTTTCCCATCCTTAATCACAGCAATAGAGTTTGATTTTTGTATGGTAGATAGCCTGTGAGCCACAACCATGCATGTTCTGCCAACCGTCATCTTCTCTAATGCTTCTTGAACCAAGTTCTCTGACACACTATCAAGCGCACTTGTAGCCTCGTCCAGCAGCAAAATTGCAGGATTCTTCAATATCGCACGTGCTAAGGCTATTCTTTGTTTTTGACCTCCTGATAATTGAACCCCTCTTTCTCCACAGTATGTATCATATCCATCGTTCATTCCACTAGCAAGAAAAAAACCACCAGGTAAACAAAAATATGTTAAGGCTATGAGAAAGAACGACTAACATCTAATTGGAAAAGATGATACGTGGTGCTCTCTCTTGATGTTTCATTCAAATTTGAAAATGATTTGCACAAACAAGTCCTTCTTTCAAGAAATATCAAATAAGAGAAGAGAGAAAATTTTCGCATTATATTTCTTATACCTTATAAATTCGTCGGCGTTAGCCAGAGTTGCAGCCTTTTTTATCTCAGCTTCTGTGGCTTTCTCTTTCCCATAGGCAATGTTTTCTCGAATGGTTCCAGCAAAAAGGGTTGGCTCCTGACTTACAAGGGCAATATGTGATCTTAGCACTCTCAAGTTGTAGGACTTGATGTCTTGTTCATCTATGCATACTGTCCCCTTCAATGGTTCATAAAATCTTTCAATAAGTCCAATAATAGTTGATTTACCAGAACCACTTTGTCCCACTAGTGCTACTGTTCTGCCTGCCTCAACTTTAAGACATAGGCCCTTGAAAATCATCTGTTCTGGTCTAGTTGGATATGCAAAGAAGACACTTCTAAGTTCTACTCGACCTCTTAATTTCTTCTTTATGTCTACTGCCCAGGTGCTCTCAGGATCAATCTCACTTTTTCTGTCCAAGATTGCAAACACTGATCGAACTGCATTACTTCCTTTAGATAAGTCAGAAGTCATGCTTCCAGCTTCTGCAATGATATATGCGGTGAAGAGCAAGATAAAAAATGCTTGAAAAAGATGCTTTGGTTCTATGAGTCCCTCAACCAAGAGCCTCCCGCCATACCAGTAAGCCAAAGCTGTTGCTGCAGTGTTAAAGAATTGGGAGCTAAAAAGACCACAGCCTTGGATCCATGATTGCCTAACGCTCTCCTTTTGAGGACCTACCAATGTAGATTTGAAAAGGGCTAGCATTCTTTTCTGAGAACTGAAGGCTGTTATGGTTCTATGGTTTACCACAGATTCACTTGCCAGTTGGCTTCCTTCCTTTTGAGCTTTTCTGGCTTTTCCTGCCATGGACTTCATCAAGACACTTCTTGAATAAAAGCTCCCAACGACTAATGGTTGTACAGCAATCATCACAAGGGATAGCCTCCATGTAAGCACTAATGCAAGAGCATAAGCAAAGATAGATCCAAAAATTGCTTGGGACAATAATGACAGACGATCTCCAACGAGGGAGCGAACCATGTTAGCTTCAGAGGCTAATCTTGCACAAATGGCTGCACTTGTGTTCTCTTCATCGTCAAACCAGCCTATCTCAAAAGTCAATAATTTCCCTAGTATTTTTTCTCGTATTCTTTTAGTCAATCTTTCTCCCATAACAGCAAAACTATAATGTTGAAGAATATTCGTAAGGAAGTTAAAAATACCAATTCCCAGGAAAGTAAGAGCCAAGACTCTGGTCTTGGATTTGATCTTTGAGGTTTCACTGTCAAAATAGACAGAGATAAGTGTTCCCACAAAAAAAGCATTTACTGGCTGTACAGCACCTGAGCCTATTGCACCCAAGCATCCGAGTACTGCTCTTCCCCACTCAGGTGCATTCATTTTTAACAAACGCCACTGTGAAGGAGCTGGATACGTTGATCTTTTGAAGTTATCTTCATAACTATCATCATCAGGATCATATTGAACTGAGTAGGAATAAGGTGTCCCCATGGAAAATGGCTGACTAAATGGAAATAAAACTGGAGTTCCTGGTGTGCTTGACCTGATACTTGCTGGGCTTGGTGAAATGCTCATCTTGTGGCGGAGATTTCTTCCCTCTGTTTCAAGACTGGAATTCCTAGAATCTTCATCTTGGGTTGTTACTTGCTGCAACTTCACCATCCTTGTATATTCCCCACCTTCTCCATCATTCATTTGCATGAGCTCATTATGAGCACCTGATTCAATCACTCTCCCTGCCTGAAGAACTGCTATAATGTGAGCAGATTGTATTGTAGACAAACGGTGAGCAATAATGATTGTAGTCCTTCCTTTTGATGCTTGATCAATTGCTGCCTGTACCACCCTTTCAGATTGTGCGTCTAGTGCACTGGTAGCTTCATCAAGCAGCAGAACCTTTGGATCCCTAAGTAAAGCTCTTGCGATGGCAATTCGTTGCTTTTGCCCACCAGACAGTTGAAATCCAAACTGCCCAACCTACGAAAAACACGGATTCACAATTAATGTATTAAGTTAAAGCAAGTAAAAACTGGATGCCTACTTTCAAAGGACAGCTGAGAAAGATGAATGTTAAGAAAAACTGTGTTTCTTGCCTCTTTAATGCTATAGGATGTACTATAGTGTCTTCTGAGAATCATACTATGTTAACCGATATGTTACACATCACAATAGCAGTTCCTAACTTTTTGAATGAAAAGAGCATTAGACGCCTTTATGTTGAAAATGTTGAAAAGAAGTATATTTGAGAAACTCAGGCATACCAACTCAATTTAATTGTTAATTTTATTTCCCCTGTACTTATTTAGTTTCTAGTATGCCTCCTTGTAACTTACCTGAGTTTCGTATCCATCTGGCAACTTGACAATGAAATCATGTGCGTTTGCTGCTTTAGCTGCAGTTATCACGCTTTCCATGGAGGCTCCTTCTTTTCCAAACAATATATTATCTTTTATGGTTGTGGCAAAGAGAACAGGTTCTTGATTTACTAGGCCAAGTTGAGATCTCAACCATTTCAATTGAAGTCTATTGATCTTGTGACCATCTAAGAGTATTTCACCCTCAACAGGGTCATAAAACCTCTCAAGCAATGCAAAGATGGTGGACTTGCCTGAACCGCTGCCCCCTATAAGACCTATTCTCTTGCCTGCTGGAATCTTAAGATTGAGTCCTTGTAAGACTGGTGTGTCTGGCCTTGATGGGTAACAAAAGTGGATGTCTTGGAATTCAATTTCTCCTCTCACGTGTGACAAAGCTTTTCCCTTTTTGTCTTCAGAATCTATAGTTGGCACCCTATCAATCATTTCAAACAGACGGGTGACAGCAGCAGTTGCCTCTGTGATTGCAGTCAAATGGGGAAGTGCACTTAAGACACTCCTGAAATTCATCGGTGCATAAAATATTAAAACAAGAACCTATTCACTTAAATTTGATATGCCAAATAAATTAATTACAAGACTATCAATAATAATAACAACAATGAGAACTTGATGGCAACTCATTAAAAACTAAAACCAAATTTGATACTCCACTCTATCATAAATGTCAAAGCTAGTTAATTAATTTACATAGATTAAGAACATTAGGTAAGTTAATTATTTGTTAAATTTGTGTGTTGGTTTTCCCAAAGTACCATCCTTTTAATCATTTACATTTGAGTGTTACCAACATATCTTATACATCATATTATAATCCAACTATAGTAGTTCAGAAAAATAATAAAGATGGAGGGCAAAGGAGATGGAGGTCTTTACAGCAATAATGAGAAATTTACTTACAGGCCTCCCATAAGAACATTGAAGCCGGCTACAAATACGTGGCCGCCCTGTTCTCCTTTCTCAGTAATCAAAAAGGTTCCAACCCAAGCCTGAAAACCCCAGCTGATATATATAACTCCTAGGCTTCCTAACATCAGCCCTTTTGCAAAACCTTGCTTTATTCCCAATTCCATAGTTTTCTCAAGTGCACTGCTAAATCTATTAAGTGTTTGATTCTCCCCCACATATGAATAAACAGTTCTTATTGAAGATATTGCTTGTTCTGCAATCCCACCGGCAACTCCGTAAGATTCAATCATTTTCATTGCTAGATCCAACATGACCTTCCCAAATATAAGTGCTGGAACGATGAACATGACTGATAGTGGCATGGCAGCCAACGTAAGCCTCCATGATAGTACAAGTGCAAAGATGTGGCAGCATAGAAAGGTTGACATGCTGGCCAGGAAGTTTGGTATCTGAGCACAAAAATAGATATGGTTGGATAAAGCATAAACATTAAACATTAACTCTCACTTAACCTAATTAAAATTTTGCAAAATCACCTTTTGATTACAAATTCATGAGATCTCCAAATTTCACTATGTTTTCACTAGAAGTTATTTTTGACTGGGTCATCGCCAGAAACAAAGTGGTATCTTCTGTAACAAGCAAGTAGATTTTGAGGATATCATCCAAAGAGTTTCAGTTATTAGTATGTTCTCTGCACTTATTGAAGAACTCGGGATGCATAAGGCATATAGGAAAAGACTCATGTGGAGTTACTCAAGATTTTGCTATCAGCCGGTTTCTTATTAATTACATATATGACATGTAGAAGAAAATTTTTCCCTTTAATACCCCTGTATGTAACATTTATAATTGAATTGCATAAAGAACTCCGCTTATCATGTTTTTATTAGAAATTTGATGGAAAACACCCAAAAACAAGTTTTATCTTTATGATTTTTATCAAATTAATTGGTGTCATTTTGGACAGAAAAAACAATGAAATGTAACCTTTTCGCTTAAAGCATCTTGAATTGAGTTGGCATCAGCTGTGATGAGGGAGACAACTTGGTAAGTTGTTGAAGAACCTGCTGCCTGAGTATCAAAGAAACCGACTTCTTGTCGAAGTACTGATTTCAGGTATTCCATTCTCATTCTGGAAGTCTGTCTCTCTGCAGTTCTTGCCCAACACATTCCTTCTGCAACAGCCAACGAATTTCAAATGGAACGAAGCAGTGAAAGTTGTTAGCTTGGTTTTGCTGATTAACTTAAATTAAGCTATATAATCTGATAAGCTTATGAATCAAAAGAAAATTAGATTACCAACAAAAGCTGAGAGTCCAACTCCAATTGCCGCGTAGAAAAGCCTCAGAGCATACTGTAAAAACAAAGTGACAGCAACCTCAAAAGCCGCTCTTGCCTTATTTTTCTGTAATGTATGTGTATGGCTGTGCCGTGTACAGAATGAGTACTGAAACTGATATTTCAATTCAGAAAGCTAACCTTATTTACATCATGCTTTGTCAAGACGGCATTTGGGTCTCCATATGCATTTATCACGTCGCTAAGAATGAACATCATTAGAGGAGTTTGAATCCCATCTCCAAAACTTCCCAACGTCCCAAACAGCATCAACAACTTGTCCACCTTATCTGCATATCGAAACATGCTTTGCTTTCCCATTATTCTCTCTCCCTCTTCGCACAGGAACCTTCATCACCCAAAGTCTTATATATCTACACACACACACACAGCATCAGCAGGTAACACATGGCTTTTACCCGCGTCTTTTTTACCACGTCTGAAAGCTGTGACTTGGCTTCGGCACATATGGATTTAGCTGCTGTCTTTCACATGCATTGGTAGGCTGCCGTACGTAAGTGTTTGTTCCTCAAAATGGTACCTCCATATGTTCCTCGTTCATTGGCCAGCTGCCCAGCCATATATATATGGGAAATCATTTGGCTTGTTGCAGTTTTAGATGCCTGCAAAGAATTATTCTGGTGTTGTTGTCATTGAGAATAATAGGTGGCCAATCTGGCATGGTCAACTATTGCAAATGTCATTAGAAAATGGCCAAGATTTGATGACTCCAAGGCTTGTTCATTGGAAGTTTCTTTGCACCCTTGCATTGTTGTGTAGGGCCAGATGTTCCTACAAGGTTACTTTGGTTCTCAATCAGCGCGCGCGCGCACGCCTACACACATGGATTTATCTGATGATGTCAGTTCATATAAGAATTGGTGAAAATGAAAATGTCACTCTCTGTGAAATCGGCTTCCAAAGCCTCTTGCATTGCCGTCTTTACATATGGACAGATATATTCCATCTGATATAAATTAATGCTATTATAGATGCTGCCGTCTCTCGTCATCAACGAGCAATATTAACTATTAAAGTTTCGATATTTGGATTCCTATTGAAATGGTCGCCTGTCAAGTTTTAGAACATAAATGATGATTGCCAGTTATAATTAGAGGAAAACGTAATGATTTCCAGTTTATGAACAGAAATGATGAATTTGCCGGTGGAGATTCCCATCAACTCTTAAATGTTAAGGTTTTATCACTGATGTCTGTCTGATGTAGCGTCAAAGATTCAAGATTGCTGAGAGATGAGGTCCTTTATTTGAGTATTCAGAATGAAGTTATTGTCGCTTGAATTAAGATTTGGAAAAAAAAAAATGCTTAAATTAATAAAATTTTAAAATCAAATATATTTTTTAAAAATGTTTCTGCATGTATCTACCAATAAATAAATAAATAAATGATTCAAATCATCAAAAGGAAAAAAGAAAAAAGAAAAAAAGAAAGCAGATTCGAAGAACGTCTCTGGTTTCTTCTATCTTCAGTTATCATTTTAATTACTTGTCATGTGGTGATTGCGTATCATATAAATATGACACATAATTTCTCTCTTTGATGTGGAATAATCTGTTCTATCCTGCCTCATGAATTTCATATTGTATACCTTCAAGAAAATCTATCAGAAAACTTAAGGATGCTGATCTAATGCAATGACAGTTATCTGGTTTCGTTTTTGTACAGGCTGCTCCCAGAGACTGTATTGTTGTTTGTTTGTGGAACTGTCTCTGTCTGCTGTCTGCAGTATAAGTTGTTTTGAAACAAATGGTACTAGTTAAGCTGCCGTCTCTACTTAAAGTCATAATCTAGTTAGTCCAGTCTTGGATTCTACCATTCGTGGTTTATGCATCAAATATTATTCTCCAAACTCGGTACCAAATCGTTCTTTGATTCCTACCCTTGTGCCAAACGATCAACGAGCCCTGTTCTTTGCTAATGTAACTTTTGTGATATGCCGTTTTGTTTTGTCACTGATTTTGCACTTGGTTTAGCAATTTCTCGAATAATGATAGGTTAGATTACTATAATAAATTTATCGGCGCTTCTCTGTTTATAACGGATGAATGTTCAGAAATGAAATTTGTTCACCATGGAACAATCTAAACAAAATTACCAATGAGATGCTTTTTAGAATCATCTCCTTCGGTGGATCAGCACTGTTTTTAGCATCTTCCTCTCTCACTAGACATGCAAAGATCCTGAGATATAATCAGGATTGCAAATATACTGCAATTTAGAATCTTCTATCTCTTTATGAACATGAATCTCCTAGATTCACAGAAAGAATTAGAGAGGGGGGAATTACAAAAAAAAAAAAAAAAAAGTCACCCGGTTGTTTTTCTTTAGACTTCACTTCTTGCATATCTTATATGATCCTAATCGATCATTCAGAACCCTAGTCCTTTCTTCCGGCTAATTCCGTTGGCCAAAAAAATCCAGCTAATTCAATAAAAGAGATGGGGCAAAAATTTGTAGCATGTTCTGCATTCACTTCAACGAGCCGACAAGGTGCTGAGAAAAGTAAACAGGTTGCTTGCTTTTCTCTAAATAAACAAGTTTACATAATTAAAAATAAAAAAAGGTAATTTGACTATTATTATTTCCTCTTTCAAGAAAAAGGGGGAAAGAGCGAGAAGGTTGTGCGTGCTGTACTGCTGCATTCGTCCTTGTAGTGGGAGGAATTCATTCGGCTTTCGTCTTCAGGAAATCAAGGTGCAAGAGGGAAGAGCAGAACTAAATCAACATAGAAAGCAAACTCTTTTTGTTCAAGCAAAGATGAGCGCCTCCAAAGCTAAAAGCCTTACCACTCTGGGCGCTCTCATGCGTTCAGCCGGAAACACTAGCATATTCAAATATTGTTTTATAAGCAAACCCTTTCCTGGAAACTACCATTCTAGACTCTACAGTGATTATGCGCTCTCAGGCCTCAAGTTTAAGCAAGCCTCTGACTCGGGTACATTAGCTCCTCGATTGTAAATGTGCACGATGAGTCAGTCCTGGTTAAACAGGAACCGGTCTGCATCATAATACAACTACTGTTTTTATGTGATCAGTGTGCAAAATTTATATGTTTGTGCCTTTTGTTTTCACAGTTACCATAATAATGTTTGTCTCTGTATCGTTGTGCAATTCATCTAAATTCTGAGTTTTCTGGTTGTGCAGAGGATCTGGCCAGTATGGTGTCTAAGCGAATCCGTTCAATATTGGACTGTAAGTGTTTGTAAAATTCAATTTATTGATACAAGTTTTCTATTTTCCCAAGGCTAACATGAAATGAAAATTGAAGAAGCTGAAAGCGGAGAATTTCTGTATGTTGGCTCACTGACTCATAATTTCTCCTCGTGCTTTGTTGCAAGTGTTGGTTTTTCATATTCGGGAGCGGAACTTTAGCCTTTATCAAGAAAACTGTGTATTGGCTTATGCATTTGTTGATATCTGCCCACCTTTAATTTGTAAACTATTTTTCCTAAGAGATTAATTATATCAGTGTATAGTTTCTTTTTGGCAGCCGAACAATTGGACAATAGACCTGAACCCAGGGATGTTGACAATGCAAGAGATTTGGAAAAAATATCAGATATATCACGCTTGATGATGAACATGTCTCATAACACAGTATCTTTGAAACGGAAAGAGTTTTCTCGTGAAAAGAAACGAAATTGCATGTTTGAATCCAGGCAATCAGACCGTTTTGGCAAGTTACTTGTATCTTGTGCTGATAAACTAGGAGCAGAGGCTGTGGTTAAATTGTTCTGTGAGTTGGGACGAGAACTAGGAGTGAAAGATTACAATGTACTGATGAAAATATGCATAGATAAGGCTAGAGAAACTGAAGATGAAGAAATTGCGATAGAAGAGGTGGCCAAGGTGTTTCACATCTTAAAGTCAATGAGGGAACAAGGTTTTCAGCTTGAAGAGAAAACTTATCGTCCACTTCTTTTGCATGTAACAGAGAAGGGGATGGTAGAAGAGTTTCAGTTTTTTATTGACGTTATCAAAGACAACAATCCCAGCTCAATTTCAAGACTGGGTTACTATGAAATGATGCTCTGGTTAAGAGTTAACAATGAAGAAAAAATTCGAGATGTTTGTGCCTATATTGCAAACAATGATGGTCCAGACACTTCAGAATTACGAGGTAGGTGTATCCATTTTTGTGTACATTGATACGTTATAGCTTGTTTAACAGAAGTTGGTTCTAATATCTAGCTCAGATTTCGAATTAGGCATATAAGTAACGATGTTTTTATGGTGTTTTCATTCTGTTATGCATGCAGTGGGGGTCTTGAGTAGCATGACCTTTGTGAAGAACTGCATCAGCATGATTGTTTTATGTTATTGTATTGTAATCAATATATCTATCATTTATCTGAATGATCTGAACTCTATTAGAAACATTGTGAGAAAGCATTAATTATGCCAAGCTGTATTCAAAGTACATTGCCAGCATCTAGATGCATGTATGTGCTGGCATGTGTCTCAAGATCAGTGAATCTGGTGATGTTTAATGAATATAATGCTACGTTTTGTTCATCTTGAGATCCAGTCATAGTGGAAATTTTGTTTCATGTAGGACTATGGGCGCTAACTAGATTCAACTTATGTTGCAGAAAATTATTTATTGGCTCTCTGTGAGGGTGATCGGAAGAAAGATATTTTGCAGGTGTTGGAAATTGTAGACATGAAAAAGCTTTTGTCTACAGAATCTAAGGCAAAGATATTTCAGTCCTTAGGAAGGCTACTATTGGAACCTACTGCAGAGAAGTTCCTTTTGGATTTCAAACTATGTGGTATGATAATGATATTATATATCCATGAAAACACCGGTCTGGATGCGGTAAGAGGTTGCATGATAATATATCTATATATGGCATAAAATTTATAGAAAATCACACTATTCAGAAGCCATGAACAATATGGCTCACCTCAGACTCTGTGAAGCACAAGCCCGCAGTCTGATTTTGTTTTAAAAAGAAGAAAAACATTTTTATGTGTCCTATACGTTATATATCTGTCAAATCATGTTAATGTTATGTTTTATTTGTAAAGCATACCTTTAAGGGTTTATCAATTTCCAAGCAGGGAAGCCAAAAAAAAAAAAAAGGCATTTGTTGTCAGATATTTTATTCATATCCAGAAGTTTTATTGTGGTTGGAATTGCGATGAATCGTGTTTTTCTAATTCTAATCCAATATGTAATTAGATTGCTATTGCATAGTTTGTGATTCTCCAAAGGATTCAGCAATCCAATTTTGAATAAATATTTGTGGCTTGAATGTGGTTTAACAATAGTTTCTTAAATAATGCAGATCACGAAGCAGATAATATCACGAACTTCATAGCTAGCTATGCTGTTAGCATGCCAAATTTAGCGGTGAGTGAAGTTTCGTTTAGTTCTGCTTGGACAGCCTTTAGGACCAAAAAACCATGAGGCACTTCTGCACTCATGTCATCGCACAACAACCATGCTTTTAGTTTTTTTTTTTTTTTTTTTTAAATTGTCACTTCAGACTTTGGCATACTGGGTGCTACATTAAATCCATTTTGCTAGTTGCCAAGTTTTGTTAGAATCTACTTTTGGAACAGTTCCTTGATCTTGGAACACGAGTGACTCTTTTTAGATAGAAAGGATGAGCATATATGTGTTATCATCTGTGAATGTAATGTGGTGAATTATCATGTACTGATGGGCTCAGTGTGATCCAGCTGTATCTAGCCCAAATTGGCCAATATCCGTACGCAGGTTGTGGTTGAAAGCCTTGTTAAGTATTTATTGGACCTTAAAGGAGAACTTGCACTATCACAGATATAGAACCCAACATGATAGGGGCAGTGTGATAGGAAAGACAGTGCTTAAATGCAACTTGAAATGTTGTGTCATATTTGATGCAAGTATCAAATACATTCAAACCAACAAAACGTTGTTTATTAAATATTGGTCTTTTGAAGAATGCAGATGATGCCCTTTTGATCAGCTTGAGTATTATTTTTTAAATCTTTTCCTTTTCATTCCCAAGAATTTTATTCCCCCTTCATTGTATATGAATGTGAAGAAATGCATAGTTTCTCATGAAAGTTTGTTCGTACATGTTATTGGGGAAAAGTTCTATTATTATGTAACCCTTGTGTCTATTGTTGGCATGGTGAAAGATGGAGGATGTCGTGTCAAAATTCAAGGAATTGCACCAGACACTGAAAGTTCCACCTTCATCCTCATCATATGAGAAGCTCATTTTGCACAGCTGCGACTCATTGAAGGTACAACTTTCTTACAGTTCGATAGTTACTGAATAGCTGCAAGTCTCACCTATGAGTAAAAGAAAATTGGAAAGGAAAGCAGCATCCTGTTAACTTTTAAGAACGCACGCAAAGAACAGACTTGTATTTTTGTGTACTGTGCCCATCAGTGTTCTTGCCATGCTATGAAGACTGGACTCAAAAGTATCGATAGATGTGGTCTCTTCTCTTCAATATTTTCTGAAAATTAATTAGAGAGAAAGGGTGGAATATTCAATAAGGGGAAATTGAAATGTTGTCCTAAACTTGAAAACAAAAAAATTAGAATAAGAAGAAGAAATAAAAATCTGACCCTTGAAATCTCAAGAATGTAGCAAAGCTTTCTAACCTCTCTGTACATCTAATGCATATATTTCCTTATTAAAAAAACCCGTGCGGAGGAGACCAAGGAGAGGCCATAAATAAAATTCTATCCCATAACGTATGAAGACCAAGTTATGCCCTTGAAAATGTGAGTATTTTGCTCTAAATATATCATGAACGTGAACAATTTCTTCAGTCTTTCCCCTGAATTTGCTATCATATTGACATTGCTGGTTGTTTCTATGTTATAATTCCTTTTTCAGTTGATCATAAAAATTTTATGACGTTATCCAATGCTCTGTTCACCATTATTTGAATAATTGATTAATCTCAAGGAAAAAAATAAGCAAGACATTTTCCATCACCCCGTCCACTAATGCCTGCCCCTTGCCATTAATATGTGTTCCTATTGCAACATGCTTCTCCATGTTTTATATGATACTTGACCTTTCACATTTGACCTCTGTTAAGGGAGAATTTGAGCTCCGAAAGGGTTTATGAACTTGAATGAAAAGTGTTGTAATTTTATCTTTTGTAAATGCAGTTACTGTTATATGTCTTTTATCACTATTTGTTTGCTTTGTTATGCAAGTTACTATTTAAAGTATGTTTTGTTTTGCATATGCCCTGGCTTACCTTGGAGACTGCATCAATTCTTTTTTTTTTTTTTTTTAATTTTCAATCCAGGCGCCTATAGCTCTTGATACTGTTGATGAAATGTGTGAAGGAGGCTTTAACTTATCCACTGAGGTGTTGCACTCCATATTACAAACTTGTGTGGAAACCCATGAATATGTTTTGGTATGACACATTTTTCGTACAGCCTTGTTTCTTCATTATATTATAGCTTTTATGGTAATGTCTTCTCTTCTTCCCAATATCTTAAAAGTTTTTCCTTGACCCTAATGGTCTTAAAGAAACTAGTTTTTGGGATGTATCCGGGAACTATCTGACCTTGAAGCTTAATTTGTTAGGCAAATACCTGAGAATTATTTATCTATTTATTTATTTTTTGGTTACTCTTTTATGCATACAAAAAGAATGAATTTATCTCTTGCGTACTCCACACTTGGAAACCCTTTGGAATCAAACGAAGGATTAAGCTAACGTTCCATCATGAAGTGAAACATGGCAACGATGATTGACATAGTAACCACTCAGTTGCAAAGGGTCTCATACCATATAGAAGTAGTAACCAAGAATGGTTCTGCTTTGAGCAATTTGAAATCTTCATAGTGATAATGATTGGAAAATATGATTCCATCTAACAATTTATTGTTAAATTTGTGAGGGAAAAATTGACCTTTCTTGGCTGTAATTTATCAAACATAGTGAGAATACTTAAAGTTGACCATCTCAACCTTTGGAACGCTTTTGCCTGAGACTCCTAGCCACTTAACCAAACTTTCTTTTCATACAGGGGGGAAGGTAATATGTTTTTCTTGTAGCATAAAAAACTTTGTTCCCATCAAAATCTCAGCGACAAGTACAATTTTGAGTTTGGGACTTGAATTACTATTAGAGTTTCATTATTTTATACTGAAATAAATTTTCTGCTAATCTTTTTATTAGTGTCATCTTATTTAGCATATTCTACTGTTCTGATATCTGATCTCCCTTCTTACACTTTTATTTTGTCCCAAAATCAAGGCCCATCGGATCTACTCCACCATCCATCGTTACAATTTAAAGTTAAATGACGAAATTATCAGGTGTCTAATAGTTTTGTTCACGAAGCTGAAAGATGTAAGTTGTACTTATTTCCTTTATATGCTCAGTTGCACTGGTCTTCTATCATTTGCAATCATGAATGTTTCTGTAAACGTTTAAGGAGGTTACATTGCTTACAAGTTGTGATTAGTACAGATTTGCACTGAGCCCATTCTAGTTGTATATTGCTAAAAATCTATTATGCTTGTATGTAGGTGAATTATTTGCGTTGGTGTCCACCCTTCAGCAAACTCTTACGTTTTATGGTTTCATAATACAGTTTGAAAGCGCATATAAGCTGCTTGACGAGTTGGATGAAAGGGGTCTGAAGCCTACTACGGGCATGTATAATGCTATAATGGGAGAACATTTTCGAGAGGTACAGTAAGGTGATAATATTGTTAACAGTGATAATTATTTTTAACAAGTTTTGAACTAAGCTGAGACGGCCTCATAAATTAATTTAAATCAGAATTGGCCTGTGGTTTGGAGAATGCATTATTTAGCTCAGTGTTCGCTGAATTTTTACAGAAAAACATTCGTGACGGGCTGAGATCCCTTGAGCACATGCAGCGCGCCAACGTAAGACCTGATTTACTGACTTTGAGCTATCTGATTAGCAACTCTGAAACTACAGAGGATATAAACAAGGTAGGTCCGCAAGAGTTACCTACTCTTTTTCAAATGTTTTCATTCTTTAATTATATCGTTCCCTCTAATCTAGCAGTCTTCCAAATTACTTTCTGTTGACAAATTGAAAGCATTATAGACTTCATTGCTTTGGTCAAGTGCTTCTTGCTAGAGTTTTCGTCTGGTCTTTGATGGCCCGGAAGAGGTTTCATTGACCTTTCTGCTGTAAACCCTGCTGAAGTATGTGTGCCTACCTATCAGTCAAGTTGAAATGCTTTTGAGTAATTACTTGTGTTCCAATTCTTTTGAGCAGTAAAAGCTTTGGGATTTTCTTTTAAAAGGTTTAAAATTTTCTGGGATCTTGGTTGGAATAAGGATTCCGTTTTTCTTTCTTCTATTGAGATGCCATAAAAAATAAGAAGAAAAAGAAAAGGCTTTTTTGTCCATTTGGTTAAATATGTTCTAGTATCTACGTAAACCTGGCTTTGATAAATCGAAGTATGTGGCTAGGATTTGCTTTACAAAGAAGTTAACTCTAGCTTTTTTATTTCAATATCTGTGAGATGCTGCTGATTATGCTATATACTTTTAGTATTATGCAGAACTGAAGCGGTCTGGACTCCAACCCACAAAGCAAATTTTCACCACCCTTATAAGAGCATATGCAGCATGTGGAGAGTTAGAGAAGGCAAAACAGGTATTTTTGTAAGCAGAGTGCTGCTGCTGGGGACTAGATTTTCTGAGTCCAGAAGGGATATATTTGGAAGCCAAAAATATCTGGCCGATTGGACTTAAATGGTTCAGAAAAAGTGCACGTAGATCTATTTATGTTTATATAGTCTTCATAATCGAGGTTTATATGCTTTGTTCTGTGACATTCTTCTTAATTAAGGTCATGTGATATGAGAGGATGCGAATCCAATTTTCATGGTAGAATTATTTATTGTTTATGACTTCCATTCCTAACTATCCTTTATATCAACATCATTATCATAAACATTGTGTTACTTTATGCCCATTTTACATGCGTCTGAACATATAACTAGAGTGTTTTAATAATTGCTTAAATTACTAGCAGTGTTTATGGTGTTCTCAGTAGTCCTTCGTGTCACAGGTGATCTTAGATCCATTCGTACCAGTGAATATCTTGAACGAAATCAAGGGTGTGCTTGTGTCCACCCTTGCATCCCATGGGCAATTGTCTGAGGCTCTTCTTATTTATGAGGAAATAAGGCAAGCTGGAAAGAGTCTGGAGCCAAAAACTATTATCAATCTCATTGTAAGGTTTTGATATTCCTGTTTGTGTTGTATCTGATTCGTATGAATGTTTACTTACAAGCTTTCATGATTGACTTCCTGGACATTGTAGGAGTGCACCCGATCAGATGGGGAGTTAGATAGGTTACTTCGGCTACTTGAGGAATTGCATGATCAAGACTACTGGATTGATGGTTGCTGTAGAATTGTCTTGTACTGTATTCGGAACAACCATACAAGGTCCCCTCCCTTCCCCAACCCACTATTTTGAATTAGTTTGTACTTGACACATTTTGCAATTTCTCAAGTTCACTTTATTTTTGGTTAGTTCTGCTGTTGACTTGTGTAAGCAGCTCAAGGATAAATTCCCCCGTGACGCAGTTATGGAAGTTCTCTTCGAGAAGGTTGGTTGTGGCTCACTCTCCCTTTTAATATGTATAAATTTGCATTGAATATTAGAACCAGCATGATACCGTTGGATTTGTGCAAGGCTAGAAATATCTGCAAGTAACTAACAGCGATGAGATCTAGTAAAAGAACTCAGCGCCCCTTAAAGTCTTGTGAATAAAATAATCGTGCTAGGAGAGCTTCCCTCCATTTTGAGCCCGGCACGGTTTGAGGTCGGATTAGCCGAGGATACTGGATGCCAAATGATTCTTTGTCTTTTTTAAAAGGAAAAAAGAGCATTCTGTTAGTTGGATTAGATTACTTGGCAAATTTCTTTAGCATTCACATTCATTATGGCGTTTGTATTCACTGCCCATGTTACTTGTTAGCTTTGACTTTTGTTTATACATGTGTGTGTAGGTATTTGCTTTTATCGAACAGACAGGGTCAACTCATTTGCAGAGTGGCGTGCAGTTCCTTTGGGAATTGAAGGATAAGCTTGGCCTTTTTCCTCCAAAAGTGTCATGATCGTCTGCTAAGTGCTACTGCCAACGCCTAACGCCACAAATTTGCATGATATTGAATGAGGCTTCTGAAATTCCTTAAAGACGAAGGTAATCGAAGAGTTCTTCACCAACTTAGCTTACTGGTTAACTTGTGTATTCGACCCGGTCAATCTATGGCTACAATGCTACATTTCTGCGAGAATGGAAGGTCGTGTTCGTGCAAAGCTCCTCACGGCTATCTGAACACCAATACATGCTAATTGTTTTAGCTGTTAAACAAGGGATGAGTTATCCTTATGTACATATTAAAAAAAAAAAAAAAATCTCTATTTATGGTGCTGGGTATTGAATGCATCAACTTGAAATCATTCCTAAATTTCTTAAGATGCTTATTTCATTTGATTAGTGGCCTATCACGGCCGATAACATTTTCATCCTTCCTTAAGGAGGCAGACTAAGAATTAAAGCAAAGCAAACGTTGGCCTTTATGAACATGCTACGTTTTTCTCCTCCAATATTATTAATCCTTTTTTTCAGAAAATTATGTGCAAGTAGATTTGATGTTTAAATGATTTTTTTTCTTGAGTTATGTAGGAGTATAAAGATGTTTTATGTTTAAATGCATAATTTGATTTCAATTTGACTAAAAATTAAATATAAAAATATTGACCTAACTCTCCACGGGCCATCCTGGCGGTGTTGTGGTCCATTTAATTGAAAGGCGGAGAGCCCATTGCCCAATCACAGTTTTTGTGGTTCAAGTTTGGAACAGTGGGCCGTGAATGTGATTCCCGTTCTCCATATTATATTTCTAGTAGCTTCTGTGGGGCCTACAAAAGGCAGAAGGGAACCGAAGTTCATTACCTTTGATCATAAATAAATAAATAAATGGGGCTTGATTTAAAGCATCCATCCATTTTGTATTATAATCTTTTTACTTTCTATCATTTTTAAGGATAATCTTTGATTAATTGTATAGCATTAAAAAATTGGTTTTAGTGGGTGAAAATAAATTAATTGTTTTTGGGGTTGGTCCCTCTGACTTGAACAAGAAGAATGAGAGATTGGTGTGGGTTTCTTGTTGGCTTGGGTCAGGATAAGAAGCTGTGCTCGTGGAACACACCATTTTAAATGCTTTGCGTACAAGAAGTGGATACTATTAATTATAAAAGTCATATTTAGTTTGCTATTTCAAATACCCTTATTTTATATTGTATTCCCAAAATTAGACAGCAAAAGCCAATATTTGACCCAGTGAACAAACCCCATCATGCTAAAAGTCTTAAAATGCGGTTAATATTATTATACAGAATCTTATTTAACAACTTAAAATTTTTAATTACAGCACTTTTTTTTTAAACTTTTACATGGCAACTTAAATTGTCTGTCTATTTTGTTTATATTTTTAAATATGTTCTGAAAAAACCTTATTTATTGTTTGACCGAAATATTTTATCTCTCATAGAATCCTTCTCTTTATACAAAAAATATAGCTACAAATTTTGTATTGCTCAGCTTCTTTGTATAGATTTATTGGGAAACTTCAGGATTGGGAAAAAAAAAAAATTTTGCGTCTGATTAAGCCTATGTTTTGAAACTCCTGAAAAGGGAATGATTACAAATTTAGGAAGTACCACCTACCATCTTTAATATATTAAGATATCGTTTGACTTTTATTTTGATTCTAAATATAAGATCCCAATCCACTTTATCTCTAATATTTGTACATTTTTTTTCAAGATAGTCCTTCTAATAATGATAATTCTAGCCAACACACTTGATTAACAATGATATTTTCAGAAGGATAACACCTTTATTACAAATAACTAATTTAACTTTTTTAATCTCTTAAATTAGTCAACTAATTCTTATAATTAAGAGTGAGGCAGTAATAATTTTGTATGCGGGTAAGAGAGAAAACGAGGGACATTGGCTGGGTGTGAGAAAGAAATAAGCCAGAGAATGCGGCGTGCAATTTTGTGCATGTTTCTCCATATTTGGAAAGAAAAAAGATTAAAATTAGCCACAGGCGATACAAACAAGTGACACGAAACCACTGGCGAGAAAAAGGTTTGATCTTTGACCAGTCTTCTTTTGATTTTTGCTCACAAACTTGACTTGGCAATGGGAATTCATATCTATCTATCTTGTATTACATTCCAATATCCAGTCTCTACTAATAAGGTTGAATTTAGGGGGGGAAAAAATTAGTTCTTTACCGTATAATAAATGAATGTTCAAATTTTTATTGAAAAAGTACTCATATTTAGTATCTTAAATAAAATTATTTTTAATAAAATGATACTTTTTTTTTTAAACCCCTGACCCATGAGGCGCCTGCCCAAACCGGGGATATTAGTTAAACACAGCAAGTTTGATCAGGAAATAATGTCTGATAATTAATTAATAAGGAAATGATTAAAGCAGGAACAAATGTGAGTAATGAGTTCTTATCTTAATGCTTTGTGGATAGAGGCTGAGGGCAACCATAATAAATGAGTTTGATCATCAATGAATGCCATGTTTATCCAATGCTTGCTTCATGCGATCAAAATTACAAAGTGGACGTCACTCGTGTGGACAAGTGTCTTCCACAGTTTAGGCATTCTTCCTTTACCTACTTAATCCCCACATTTTCTGTTTAACTAATAAACTAATAGTACTACTCTTTGATACAAGCAACAGAATTATGTAAATCAAAAGGTTAATTAAAATTATGCACAACATATATTTTATTTTTAAAAAATATATTTTGACTTATAGAGAAAGAATAATGTATATATAGAGTTAAAAAAAGTATCATCATATAAAACACATTAGACTAAGAAAATATATATATTGTGAAGGAATTTTTTTAGTTTGACTTTCATAATGAAGTACTATTTCAAATCTTAGGTTCCTCTGTTTTGATGTTCTTTATCTGATAGGGATATTATTATAAACAAATAAGAATTATATTTTAAAATTTAAAAATATGACATATATTTAGATATAAGATAAAAATTCAAATCAAGACAAAAAAAAGGGAAGTTTTTGCACTTGGGGTATGGTGTTTATTTAATATTTATTGTTCTCTTTAACATCATAGTTGAATTATACTTCACCTACTTCTTATTATACGACTTCTCCCTAGCATCCTTAATATATTCGAGACCCTTTGTCTAAGTATTCTTTCAAATATCATTTGCTTTGGTATTGCCACTTAACTAATAAACCACCTATTAACCAACTCATAGCCACCACCGATTAATAAATTTTATAGAGAAGTAATTTTAAAATTTTAATAAATTTAGTTATTTTAACTATTTTTATTTATATAAAGCAGCAATGTGCTCTTATAAAAAAGATGAGAATAAAATCTGAGAAGAATATTAAAAGGAACAAGAATTTGGCAGTTGTTTTTTTGCCGTTGATTTGGGCAAACTCATCATTTTCAAATCGTTCATCTCTGTAGCTCCTTGATGCATTTTCGGACGTTGAAAGAAGTTAAAAGGGTTGTGAAAGGTAGATGGAAAGATCCAATTTGATGGGATACTTAACATTTATTAATTTAAGGATTATTGATTCGTGAACCTAGGGATAATAATACACCACGAATCACATTCAGTAACAATTTCTACAACAAATATAAATTTTATGTGATCTATATTCATGTATAAAAATTAAAATTGCGTGCATGAGAATTTATTGGTATTTTAAATATTTATATATTATTAAAATTACAAAATCACAGCAAATTTCTTATCCTGTTTAAACAAATATTGTTGTTTAAGAACTACTATAAAATATGTTATATGGATTTGACTGTTTGAGAAGAGTACACTAGACGTTCGTCTGGTTATGCAATACTTATCAAAACTTTTTGGCTCCATTTATAAAAGTTGTGAAAAAGGTAATAACTGTAAACTTCTTTTTATCTAAATAAAGCACAGTCTTTCCCTTTTGTTTCCACTAGACTGACATCGTATATTTTTTTTTCCCGAAAAAAAAATGTTCTCTTATTTTCTTGTTATGACAACATGATTGTGAATTTTTATGTTATTCCATTTATTTATTAAAACAAGAATGACTTTGAGAAGGAAAAGTGATAGAGGATATCAATAAAAATCATGTTTATAGTAGTATTTATTATCTTATTAAATGAATCGGAATGATGGGTAAAGCATGCGATGCAAGGATAAGATGGGTTAATTTATTCCTGTAATTTAATTAATATATCATGCTTGATGATTGAAGTCGGGGCATGATTCTTAACTTTTATGGAGATGAGATGACTAGATGAGGACATGAGAGAGACAGAATGTGGAGGAGAGAGAAGTGGGCGAAAACAGTTTGACAGCGTCTGAGAAAAACAAGACGTGTTACAGAGAGGTTAAGGAGGTTGGTTTTTGATTTAGTTGAACAACGCGAATTGGAAAGCCAGCTCTAATTCTAATCCCACAGAAAATAGCTTTGAATAATTTCTCAGAGACGTAACCGGGGAGATTTCTCCTACTTCCTTCCCTCTTTCTTATCCAGTATTTCTCTTCACTTCCCCCTCTCTCTAGCCTTTTCTCTCTCCTATCATCTCCTACAGGTTTTCCGCCGGTTTTCATCTTAATTCGCTTCTGTAAATTATATTTATACGTTATAATTCAAATCATTGGTTTTATCTGGTTTTTTGGTGATAGTTTTTGGATTATTTTATTTGTAATTATTAGGAATATTCTTGTTTAGATAACTGAGTATTGCTGGAATTTGAATTCGTGGGTATCAAGATAAGTAAAAAAAACTGAGACTTTTTCCCTTCAATTTATCTTCCCAACCAGTTTTTAGCTTTGTTGTTTTGATAGCCAAAGTGAAAAAGATAACTTGGGAGGTGCAACACGACGGGTATTCAAAAGGATTTTTTGTTTTTCTGGGCGTTTGTGGTTTTCGGGAGTAATTGAAATTTGGAAGCTTTCGCCGAGGTGAAGGAGATGGCGACACTTATGTCATGAGAGATAGTTTCCTTCTCCGTGGAGGGTGAGGTGGGGCTTTAAAGAAAAATAAAAACCATCTGGACTCATGATTGAGGGTGATTTTGAGGAATCGGTTATCTTTGTATTCTAGGAAGTTGCTATTTTTCATCTCTTTGGTTTTGGGGATGATGAATGATGATCAGAAACCGCAGCAAGCAGGCGGTGTCCGGTCCGGTCGAACCAATGGGTTTTTTCCCAGCTCGCTCCGGGCTATCTCCAGCTACCTCAGGGTCGTTTCCTCCGGAGCTTCCAACGTTGCGCGGTCGGCAGCTTCAGTTGCGTCCTCGATCGTGGACAGGGATGATGACGCCAATTCTGATCAGGTATCATCGGTTGTGTTTGGCTTTCACTTTTCAGCTTCTTCTGAATGGTGTAACTCTTGAATATAATTTGAGTTTGGACTGGAACTTTATGAACGTAAACTTATCATGTAAAAGGTAAATTATCTTTGAGCGCTTTAAATTTGTAGGCAGTTGATTTTTTTTTTTGGCTTGTTGTTCGTAAATGTGAACTAGCTGCTTGTATGGCCGATTAGTATTGATCACTTTTACCACCCATCAATTTAGTTTTCTCCAAACTTGGGACAATAGCTTTTAGAAGTAAAATTCAGTTTGTTAGTTGGTAGTTCATGTGTTGTCTTTTAATCTCTAATAATGCTGTTGGTTTCAGTTTCGTTATCACTGATCACCAAGCATGGATTTTTTGCTTGAAATCCGTTACCCTAATGGAAGTATGTTTCACATTGTCATTGGAGCAAATCATTAGAGCTAACTGGCTGGTAAAGTTGCGGGCTCGCAGCTGCCAGTTTATGACTTTATGATGTTCTTGGATTCATGTCGTGTTCATTGCGCAACAAATCTTTGTTAAGAAGAATGTTCTGACAAAGCTAATCTTTAGATGCTGCTATATCTAACAAATTTATGTAATATGCCTTCCCAATTTTGAAATTGGAAATACACTTTTATTGACAATTTATGCATCGACAATTCGGCGGTTGCTGAACACTTTTGTCTTTAATTCATAACTTGCCAGTATCTCCAATTGTTTGATTGGAAGGGCATTTGGCATCGTCTGATTTACTGGATTCAATATTGGTCAAGTAGTTTAGTTTTTGTTGAGCTGTTAGCAAGGTTTCATTTTGCTGGCAAGACATCTAACCAGGTTGTCTTGCATGAACACTATAAAATAGGATTTTAAGCACTTTCAAATATCAAGCGCATCTATCTGTTGTTAACGGATATCCTCTTTGCTTGTTTCTTTCTTTTTTTTTTTGGTTTTAAGGGTGCTATATGGAATATATAACCTATGTAGTAATAACTAAAAAAACATACAAAATTTATTTATATGTCAATTATATATGTGGGTTGGTTTAGTTTGAACCCTCAAACCATGAAATATACGGTCCTTTTATTTCTCTTAAAAAACTGAACAGAACCAAATTATACAATGAAAAACCTCTAGTGCTGCTAGTATTGCTTGCTCTAATTATTTTCTAATTTCTTTTCTTATCTGTAATGGATATTATGGATGCCACTTAAGGGCTATTGTTATATGAATTTTGCTCTGCCTTTTCATGCTTCTAGATCCAGTTTCTTATCTGGTGTCCCAAATTTCTTGCTGCATTTGTTCTTTGTAATGAATCATTGATAATAATTTCTATTGAATGAATCATTGATAATAATTCTATTGAATGGTTAAATGGATTATTGATCTCAATCACTTTTAATTTGTAAAGGTCATCTGGGCTGGTTTTGATAAGTTAGAGGGTGAGAGGGAAGTCACCCGTCAAGTTCTACTTCTAGGTTTTCAGTCTGGGTTCCAGGTTTGGGATGTTGAAGATTCACATAATGTGCATGACCTGGTTTCCAGACATGATGGTCCTGTTTCTTTTATGCAAATGTTGCCAAATCCTATTGCATCGAAGAGATCAGCAGACAAGTTTGCAAACAGCCGCCCCCTGTTAGCTGTATGTGCTGATGGTTTCTTTGCTGGAGGAAGTAACATTCAAGATGGACTGACCACCCCTTACAATGGGATGACTTCCAATTTCCATGAGCAATTAAATGGAAATTATCTGCCAATGACTGTTCAGTTTTATTCCATGAGGTCCCAATCATATGTCCATGCACTAAAATTCAGATCAGTTGTTTATTCCGTAAGGTGCAGTTCCCGAATAGTTGCTGTTTCACAATCAACTCAGGTACATTTTGTAACATCTATCTCAAGCAATTTTGAATGCTTTTCTCTTGGAATTCTCAATGAGTCTTTGTTTTGCAGGTACACTGTTTTGATGCTGCAACATTAGAAAGGGAGTATACTATACTTACCAATCCTGTAGTTACAAGTTCTCCTGGTTCTGGAGGTGCAGGCTACGGACCACTTGCTGTGGGTTCAAGATGGCTGGCTTATAGTGGAAGTCCAGTCACAATATCCAATTCTGGGCATGTCAACCCACAGGACCTGACAACTTCACCAAGCTTTCCTGGTTTTTCTTCAAATGGGAGCTTGGTTGCACACTATGCCAAAGAATCAAGTAAGCAACTTGCTACTGGGATTGTGTCCCTTGGAGATATGGGGTATAAGAAACTTTCCAGATACTACTCTGAGCTTCGGTCTGATGGCAATAGTTCATCACGATCTGTAAACTCAGTTGGAAGGGCAACGGAACCATTAATGGACATTCAGCAGATGCTGACAGCATTGGAATGGTGAATACTGTTGTTTACTCTGCATTCCCTTGAAATTGGAACTGCATCGGTTGTTTGTTATTCTATTTTAAGCTAGAGTACATGCGACAATTTCTTCCCTGACTGAAATTGTCTTCTGTGTCCTCTTCCTTCTTCGGCTGATCTGTGCTGATACTTGTCTTTCCAGACAGATTACTCAGCAGCAAATTAGAATTGCTGTTGAGGATTGCGTGTATTGCATTCTTGGAAGAATAAGGGCATAAAGGGAAAAAAAAAACCCTAGTCAGAAGCCTGCAAGCATAATTACACTAACCCTCTAACTTGAGTCATTGGTTCCCTGCACCCTGTTTAGCAATTATAGCATTTCACAAGGCATCTGTAGAGTGGAACTGAGAGTCAGAATTATGTTCTTTTTTGTACTATGTTGCTTCATCTCATTCTCTTGGTACAAACATCATGCTTGTATGATGGGTCTCTGTTACCCTTGGTCTGCAATATGCCAATCCATACTGTTGCTTTTTATAATTTATAGTAACTTGTTGATTATTATTTCTTTCTGTCAGGTCATTGTAAGAGACATTGTCAGTAAAAATGTAGTTACTCAACTGCGAGCCCACAAAAGTCCCATTTCAGCCTTATGCTTTGATCCCAGTGGAACCATTTTGGTGACTGCTTCGGTTCAGGGGCATAATATAAATGTATATAAGATAATGCCTTGTCACTCAGGGGCCCCTGATGCTGGCTCTTCTAGTGTTCATCTCTACAGGTTGCAGCGTGGCTATACCAATGCAGTGAGTGCATCATCCTGCTTTTTTCTTTCTTTCTTTCTTTTTAAACTCCGGTCAATGCATAATCTTTTCCTTTTCAATGTGTCTGTTCAATAACCTGGACTTTTCTAATATTTATTGTTGTTATTGTTGTATTTGACTTTTCAGATAATACAAGATATTAGTTTCAGTGATGACAGCAATTGGATTATGATAAGTTCCTCTAGGGGCACTAGCCATCTATTTGCTATAAATCCTCAGGGAGGATCTGTGAATATTCAAGCCCTTGATTGTAGTCTTCCAACACAAAATAACGGATCAGGTGGTATTACAAGTCAAGGAGTCCTCTATCCTCATAGTTCAGCTGTGCAAATGCATGAAAAGCAGGGCCTGTGTGCAACTGGCCCACCAATCACTCTTTCTGTTGTTAGCAGAATTAGGAATGGAACTAATGGCTGGAGAGGCACTGTGAGCGGTGCTGCTGCAGCTGCCACAGGAAAGATGAGTTCCCTTTCTGGGGCTATAGCTTCATCTTTCTGTAACTGCAAGGGCAGTGGCATATATATTGATGGGAAGCATTCCAAGGCAAAGTATCACTTGTTGGTTTTTTCAACCTCTGGTTCTATGATGCAATATGCTCTACAGATGTTAAATGGTCGAGATTCAGCAATTGTTTCTGGGTTAAACCCTGCTTATGAATTAGCTCCGCAAGCTGATGCAAGATTAGTAGTGGAAGCTATTCAGAAATGGAATATATGTCAGAGACTAAGTTTACGGGAGCGGGAAGATAACATTGACATATATGGTGATAATGGAATTCCTGATGGCAATAAAATTTATCCTGAAGAATCGAAAGAGGACACTATCAGTGGCCCAAAATTCAAGAATGAAGTTGTGAAAGCAAATTCCTCTTTAGAGGAAGATCGTCATCTGTATATTTCCCAAGCTGAACTACGGATGCACCAAACTCAGACTCCATTGTGGGCCAAGTCTGAGGTATTTAATTTACAATCAGATGCTGATTTTAATGCTTAACATGCTTTTTTTTTTTCCGGTTTGACACTCAGAAGCCTTATTCTGTTGCCAACTAGATATATTTTCATTCCATGGTGAAAGAAGCTACCATAATAGATGAAGCAGCTGCTGCAGGAGGGGAATTTGAGATTGAAAGGATTCCAACTCGCATGATTCAAGCTAGGTCAAAGCACTTAATTCCTGTTTTTGACTTTGTTCAGACCCCAAAAGTCCAACAAACGAGGTTTGATAACTTCTTTTCCTGCTATTTGTTTTTTCAAACTACTAGTATTCTTCCATGTGCAATGCAGCGGTAAATAAAATTTTGATATAGTTGAGGACAAGCGAAAGTGGGAGGAAATTGGATTGTATATTACTTGGCTTGATGACCCTATAATAATTAAAATAGAGATGGCTTGGCTTTCATGTGATTACAACGTTTTATGTCATCACAGCACAAAGGTTGCCAAGTAGAAGGGTGTTTCTTTTTTTCTTTTCTAGTTTTAGCCAAGCTAAACTGAAGTTCATTTCAGTTCAACAAGCTTGGTTTCTGAAGGTGAAAGTAAACAGGTATTTGTGACATGAGAAAAATTTCGCCAATAGCAAATCAGATTTAACATGAGGCCCAAATTTTCAGGATTACTATCAAAACAGCTAGTATTGACTACCAAGTTAAATCCAGATATAGGCTTTTCGAGATCGGAGAGCCTCGGGGACATGTCACAGTATCATATATTGAAATCTCATTGTCATTTACATGACCTTGATCAAATGGAATTAGGAAACTGCATATCAACCCCTTTTTTTTTTAGGCCAACACTGCATATCAGTCTAAGTTTCAGATATTTAGGTTTGTGCTTCCTATTATTATTCCTAATGATATCATCTCAGTTAAGAGGAGCAGAGCAGTACCAACATTAATTTACTCTTTCTCTCAGGGCTTATGGTCTGGATGGCAGGGTAAATGAACAATTGTTACGTCAGAGTTCGGGTATGTCTGAAAATGGCAAGATTTCAGACTGTACAACAAACTCTGCTGATTTGGACAATGGCATTCAAGTACCTGGGTTGGATGATCATCTTCTGCCAACAAAACCAAGAGGCTATGTGAATAAAAATAACTCCCCCAAGCCAAATACTCAGTTTGAGATTGTAAATAATAGAATAGAGCACTCAAGCGTGGAAGGCCAACTCAAGTTTGTAAATAGTGACAAAGAAGGCCTGCTAGTGGGGAATCACTTTGAACATTAAATATTAAAAGCACTCAAATGGTGAGTTTCTTGATATAATTTTATTGCTTCTCTGAATTTTTTATATATGGAACTGCCTCTGCACTAGGTACTAAACATACTATGGTTGGTGCACTGCTATTCTATGGCTGAACTAGAGGTCTTTGCTCTTGAATTAATATGGTATCTGTTTTTCGTGTTTTTCTCATTTCAGGTTTGAAATTATTCTTTCATTTGGCCCGGGAAGCTCAATTAACAATGTTAATATATAGTGGTTGGAGAGGTGAAGATCCTGAACGAGTAGGTGCTTGACCATTATGCAAAATTGTCGATGCTACTCAGCTGGATTTTATCTGTTGGCCTTGTAAATAACAGTTGCTCATATCAATAATTAGTTAAGAGTAAATTGTAGGATCATAACTTCTCGTTTGCTTCTTTTTTCTCACCCAAAAAAAGAGAAAATTCTCGTTTGCCGTTTATTTTAACTAACTAGATTAAATTAAATTGATTTCCCCCGTCTTCTTTGGTTTTGCTTTTAGTGGACACCAAAGTACGCCTTAGTTATGGCAGTAACATTTCTCTCGACGCTGATATATTTTCGTTAGTAATTTCAATCTAATTCAAATCAAGGGTGCTAGTCTTTCTGCTCCCAAGGGTGAAAAAGGAATTCACAAACGAATCAATCAGCATACCAATCTTTCTATCTAGGAAAACTAGAAGCAGTTGATAAAAGCAATTGGCGATACGGTGTTCTGAGATTTCTAAACTTTAAAAGATTGTTTGAATCGGTAAAAATGTGTTTTATGTCCTACGTAGGTGTGAATTTAAATATCTCAAGCATCTTTTGAGTTCTGAGGTTCGTCCTGGTCTTATGCCTTGATGAATATTGAAATGTTCTCTTTTGCCATAATGGGCTTTTAAAGATCCAACTCATGTCTTTTTTTTTTTTTAAAGAAAAAAAGAATCTTCATACTTTAGAGTCTCGACTGGCGAGTTAGTGCCCCCAACGGAAATAATTTGACAATGAATCCAATTACTTGACCCCCCTCCCCTCGTTAATTGTTTAGTTACCACATTCATTATGACCAAATGTGTTTTCAACCTTATGATAACCCAATTGAGACTGGGTGAAATTCTTCTACCATTATGAGTTTGGTCGCATTTCCTTTTTTCCTGTTTGATATTAATTATTAATGTTGAAGACCTATCAAAACGCAGTCTTAGTCTTCCGGTGAAGCAAGTAACTTTATGAAATCTTCAAACTTTTTGTGAGCATTAATTTTACTATACATAAATTACCCAACCATGAAATGGCCAGCAGGTTTTCCGTTAAAAGCATGCCAAATGAACCCAATGCTTTCTCAAACCAGTCTGAAAATAGACTCAAACACAAAAGTCTGCAGATCCCAATATAAAATTTTATTTAAAATCATCATTTGATTTGCCATGCCCACTTAGAAAAGGTGCCACCTACCTTAGAAAAGGTGCCACCATTTGAATCATGTTCTTAATGTGTGAAACAAACGCCAATCATTTCTTTTTTCTTTTGGTAAGAAAGTCAGTATTGATCCCTCTGTAGAAGTAGTAGATATAAAAGAATATATGAAGTACATCTAAACGTGTAAATATTTATCGTTTACCCTCCTCTATACTTTTAACAATAGTCATAAACAACTCATTGTTGTCCCTTTAGGTCCCGTTAATGGATGATTTTGGTTGGATCTTTTTGGTTTTCTTTATTCAATCATGTACTCATTAAACAAGCCTCGTAATATTTTAATGATGATTCGCATGAAAGGACCTTAGACCAATAACATTTAGGGAAAACTACGTTCAGGAATAAGTTTTGTTACGTTATTAAGTGATTGTCAAAAGCATTGGTAATAATACGTTAGTTAAACATCATTAAAAGCCATTTCAATGGTTATGACCAATATGATAAATAGTTACCACTATTATAGTGATCAACTTAATTTCTTAATGTTGGCGAATGTATCATCAGAATTCTCCGAATTCAGTGTTAGATTTCCTTTTGGTGGGAGAAGATCTCGTAGCTCACTTGGTCGTACGGAGGAAAAAAAATGTTGTACCACATTGTGTAATGTGTCTAGGATGCAACTTACCAACTTGAGAAGATTGAATTTCTTCTACCTAATCTCACCCCTTTTATTTCAGCCAAACGATATCAATGAATGAATCTAGTCAAAGTTATATATATTGGGTAATTAATATTTAATAATCCCTCAAGAGGGTAGGTCATTCATTAGAGACAAAATAGAAAGTTTTCTGGTTTTTCACTCAAACAACCACATCCTCCACCCCACCAGTACATATCAGGAAAGCTTGTCATTTTCCATACAGAATTCCTGTTCTATCAACGTTCAAACTTTCAAACTCAGTGCTATAAAATCAAACTTCGTGTGGAGGCAAAGCCAAGCTTGCAACAACCAAATACAAACCAACTTCGTATGTTTGTTTTTTTTTTTTTTTCCTTTTGCCTCTCTTCTCACCTTCAAACCAAAGTCAATACTCTAAACTTAAATCAAACTACACAGCCTCCTTCCATATTAGTCTAATGTCTCTTTCTCCTTAACAACCCCAGTTCCTCTCAGTAAATATTAAAGCACTTAAAAATCCCCTGACATCCCTGAACCAAATGCTAAGCAAGTGTAGGTGAATGACAATGACCACCTTAAGCTTTCATCAAAACCTTCCCTTTACACAATAACTTTCACGGGCTCTTGCACTTGTTCTCTGTTCTTCATCAGGTGGTAGTAATCAAAAGTGCCAAATGAAATAAGGGCTACTACCCCTTTTGGAGGAGGAGGAGAAGAGGAAGGACTCCTAGTTTAGTTGTGCTTGTGTTTGTTGAAAGGTCTCAGGGTGTGTCTGTTTGTGTTTGTGTGTTGCATTTGGGACAAAATGCAGCTCCAAATATCACCAAGTTTAAGGCATGTCACTGTGCTTCCAGGGAAAGGGTTGAAAGAATTTATCAAAGTGAATGTTGCATCCAGGCGAGTCTCTTATCGGATGCTCTTCTACTTGCTCTTGTTCTTCACATTACTGGTTCGGTCTGTGTTTGTGTTGACCGCAGTGGACTCCATTGATGGTGAAAACAGGTGCTCAACCATAGGTACATTATCATCTTCTTCTTTCTCACACACACAAGCACACGAAGTCACGGACGCACAACACTTTCAGTCACATACACAGAAAAACAGGGAGTACCCCCACACTCAGTTTTCATTAATATTATAAACATGTAATATTCAAAGCTTTGCAGTTGTAATGAGTTGTCAATAACTCTGTATTTGAATGCATTCTCCCGCACCTACATATCATTAGCCGACCTTTGATTTGAAAATCTTATGGTTTTGGGAATTTGACAAATTAAAGAAAGCCAACACATGTTCTGCATGTGGTCAGTTATATACCTATTCATGTCCCACTCCAGCCACTACTAAGAGATTCACGTGAGAACTGAGTAGTCACTGTAGAATACATATGGATGCAACAGACAAAAGTTCAAGTTCTACTGAGAGTTATCTACATCTATACATTATCCCACCTGTCAAAACCCGACTTTATGCGTCCTGTACTGCATAAGAGGAATATGATTCTCCATTAGTTAATTTTAATCTTTAAAGAGTAAACTTATAGTAGCAAAAAAAATTATAAAAAAATTATCAATGTGTTTAATTTGAATTGTTCCGATTTATTAAGAGTTTAGGCATATCTAATAATTTTTCTTCAAATGTAACATTAATCCATAAGAAATCTCCACCTTCTTTAAAATGAATAAATAAATAAATAGTAATACATTACAAATTCACTTCCCACTTGATGGGGGAATCCACTGCTTATACCTCATATCCTTAGGATAGAATTAGTCCGATAGTAGCGAATACCCTCTACTAATTCAAAAACTGCGGATTTTGAACTTGGATTATGAGAAACTGAATTTAAAGGATGCGGGGATCTGTATAGATTTGACTTGCTGATTTATTTTGAATTGCATTTGTAGGCTGCCTGGGAAAGAAACTAGGACCAAGGATTATGGGAAGAAAACTAGAACCAACGGTAATATCCTAAACTATTCTTATTTTACCAGGAACTGGCAAATACCTGAAATTTTACTAATGAATGAAATTGACACTGATTTCTAATAGGTCCCAGAAGTGATATTCCAAGTATTAGATGAGCCCCTCGGCAAAGATGAGCTAAAAGGAAGATCTGACATTCCACAGACCTTAGAAGAGTTCATGACTGAAGTGAAGGAAAGTGAATATGATGCCAAGACATTTGCTGTTAAACTGCGAGAGATGGTACATGATGCTCCTCCCTCTTTTTAACTTAAAGGACAACAAGAGAAGACTACTTAGAATTATTTTGAACCTTCACTTAATATTTTAAACTTTTTAGTTCCTTTATAGTCTCAATGATCATTAAAATAAAGTTTTTAGCACAAAATCTGATTTCTGTTTTTCTTTTTTAATTTTATTCACACTTTAAATCCCATAAATTTCAGTGTGATGGATTGTGTCAAAAATTATGATAAGAATAAAACTTGGATACAACTTATAAGCATTTCATTATTAATTTACTCCATAAAATCGTGATGAATAGCTATTTTACAACAACTTAACGTTACTCAAAACTTTCAGAAAAATGTTTTCATGTCATATCAGAGAAACTTACTCAAGGCTAATCCAAAAGATAAATTTTCACTTAACCACTTGAACTTTGAGTTGAATCAATGGCTAATGGAAACCATGAACCTCCCAGGTTACCCTCATGGAAGATAGGACCAGGACAGCTAAAATTCAAGAATACTTATATCGACATGTAGCATCAAGCAGCATTCCAAAACAGCTTCACTGCCTTGCCTTGAGGCTAGCGAATGAACACACCAGCAACGCACAAGCTCGCCTTCAGCTTCCTTCTGCAGAGCTCGTGCCTGCCCTGGTTGACAACAGCTACTTCCATTTTGTCCTTGCTTCAGACAATGTTCTGGCTGCTTCTGTGGTTGCAACTTCCCTTGTCCGCAACTCCTTGCGGCCACATCTGGTTGTTCTTCACATCATTACAGATAAAAAGACTTATTATCCCATGCAGGCTTGGTTTTCATTGCACCCTTTATCACCTGCTATTATTGAGGTTAAGGCATTGCACCATTTTGACTGGTTTACAAAGGGAAAAGTGCCCGTTATGGAAGCAATGGAGAAAGATCAGAAAGTGAGGTCACGGTTTAGAGGGGGATCATCGGCTATTGTTGCAAATGCTACTGAGAAGCCTTATGTTATTGCATCAAAGCTGCAAGCACTTAGCCCCAAGTATAATTCCGTGATGAACCACATACGTATACATCTGCCTGAGGTAATTAGTTTAAAGCAGGTTGTTTAGAGTCAAACCCCTTATTTGAAAGCCTACTTAGTTTTTCCTTCTTGGCGCCTCTGATGCTCATTGCCATAATATATATTTCATAACAGCTATTCCCAAGTCTAAACAAGCTGGTCTTCCTCGATGATGACATTGTGGTACAAACTGATCTCTCCCCTCTTTGGGACATTGACATGCATGGAAAAGTCAATGGTGCAGTAGAAACATGTAGTGGAGAAGATACGTTTGTAATGTCAAAGAAGCTGAAAAACTATTTGAACTTCTCCCACCCTCTAATATCAAAAAACTTCGATCCCAATGAATGTGCCTGGGCTTATGGAATGAACATTTTTGATCTGGAGGCTTGGAGGAAGACCAACATAAGCCTTACGTACCATTATTGGGTTGAGCAGGTATGTTTATCTTTAACATCAACCTATGCCGTGAAGAAAAAGCAAATAAGTTAGTAATAACTCGCTCTCAAGTCATAAAATGAGCTGCTATCAGAGCTAGATGATACAGTGATACACTGTGAGTAACATCTTTGATTCCTTCATGCAGAACATAAAATCAGACCTAAGTTTGTGGCAGCTAGGGACATTACCTCCCGGGTTAATAGCATTCCATGGTCACGTCCACGTTATTGATCCTTTCTGGCACATGCTGGGACTGGGATATCAAGAGAATACAAGGCTCGCTGATGCAAAGAGTGCTGGTGTCATCCATTTTAACGGGCGGGCCAAGCCTTGGCTGGAGATAGCTTTTCCTCAGCTAAGGCCACTGTGGGCCAAGTATATCGACTTTTCAGATAAGTTCATCAAGAACTGTCGATTTAGGGCATCATAGCTTGGTTCTGAAAGCATGTGGCCTAGTTCATAAGTTGAAGAAATGCCTTTTGTATAAAGGAAAAAAAGAAAACGAGAGTAATTCCAAGCAATTGGCCTTCATCGGAAAAGTTCGAACGACAACATAGCCTGGTGCTCCCCTTTTGTTTTTGATACTCTGTTCTTTGATATCCATAAAAAATCTCGCGTTTTTTCTTCAATATTTATCGCTTTAGTATTGTAGATTATGCACGTAAATCTTCCCGAGCATTTCATAATCAGGAGGTATCCTGTAGCCGATATGAATTTTTGTCGATGAACGTTCAACTTTAGTACAATGACTACAAGCCAAACCAAAAATAAAATAAAATAAAATAGAACTTCAGTACTAATAAACCAATTTTGCCTCAGGAGTCATGGTCAAAGTTGAAAGATTCCACTCAGCACCAAATTAATTTTTTTTTTTTTTAAAATGTCATGTTCTCAGTCATTTGAGACTCAGGCCAAAAAAAGTTATCTAGAAGATCAAAATATTGTACCTATATTTACTCGGGCGCGTTCAAAAAAAAAAGTCTTGGAACAGATCGCCTCAAAACCCAATAACAACTAAGAACACCCATGAAACTAAACGGAAGACAGCCAGAGAAGTTTATTAGCATTTACATGCAGATACCAGCGTTATTTCAAGATAGTATCAGATATCAAATACAGTCACGCTCACCACGAGGTCCAGTCCTAACACTTGATTAAAAACTAATAAAGCCAGGATGTTGCTAAGCTAAACAAAAGGAGAAACAGAACAAAGTGACAAAATAGAAACTAGGTTAAGGAGTAAGGGTGAATGAATACAAGCTTTCGAGCCAAAATAGATGCCCAAATAATTTTATAGTGCCAACTTAGGCAACTGGTGGACGGAGCACATGGTCCTGTGAAGTATCCACAGCAGCTGGCGGCATAAATTGCCACATGGCAACCCCCGGATAACCCATAAAAGGGACCAACTTGCTGCCTGGGGCTTGGCCTTGAGCAGCAAATGCAGCAGGAATTGCAGGAGGGGGAGGCATGAAACCAGGTTGAGCATTGATAGCTTTCAACTGCTGCTCCAACTTTTCTTTCTCAGCCTTGAGCCTCTGTTTCTCATCTCGTAGTTCGTTCTTCTCGGCCTACAAAATAGAAAGGAATTTCATGCTGCTAGGTCTCGATGTGAATTCTCTTATCCACTTTCTTCCATTATCAAAAACTTCCACTAAATAGAAAGCAAGGCCTAACCTTTAACTCTTTAATCTTCTCTTGAAGATTCATATTTGAGTCTTTCAACTTCTCGGCTTCACCCCGTAACTGTGTCACCATTCGAACAGCATCAACCAGGATAGCAGCCTTGTCTGTTTTGGAAGGCCTTCCAGGCTCCAAAATAGAGCCTAATTCAAGAAACCTAACGATGTCGAGCACATCAGGCACAAGCCCCAAAGGCCCATTCACATACAAACTCAAGTGAAGCATGGTGATAGACAGATGGGCAATAAAAAGTTTACTTGTCATTCAGCCTGTCCCTCCTCAGCTTTTCCCGACATGCCTTTGAACTGGAAGCAGCACATGATTCAGGTCTACCCCTGCACCAGGAAGGGACAAAGAGGGGCAAGGTGACTTCCTCAAGGATAAGCTATTTAGATTTGCTGACCCAGGGTGAAAAAAAAAAAAAAAAAGAGAAAGAAAGAAAATAAAAGCTATTAAAATTTGACCATCTTATTTTTTAAGTTAAGTTGTTGGTATTAGAAAAGGACCGATTTGTACTTCTAAAGAAGGAAATATGATGTCAGGAGAGGGGCCAAATGAAAGTGAAAGGATAAAAGAATGTGATGTCTTAGATATGAGCACCTAACCATAGGCTTTTTCAGTTTCAACATGCCATTTGACACATTTCTATTCATTGAGACTTTGCAACTCATTGATGAAGACTTACAGATAGAAAGTCTATATAAATTTATAAAAACTTACAGCAGCTTATTATGTCATTACTCAGTTGTTACAATAGTAAGAGACTAAGCCCCGCCTCCAACCCCACCCCTCTAGGATAAAAAAGTGCAGTAGATAATTTACATATTAGTTCTTTGTTGTTTCCTTACATCAATATAAAAAATACTTTCTTTCATAGATAGAAATGAAAAACGAAATCTGTACCTCTTCTTTGAACCAGACTCTTTTACGCCATCAGTATCCCCCAACGTGCCATCAATTTCAGCACTAAAATCAGATAGGATCATCACATATCAAAGAAGATAAAGCCAGCAAGAATTTGGGGTTTGGAAGAGGGAGGTAGTATCCTTGAGTTATTCAACTGATTCAATCATGTTTGTACTTATTTTTCTTTCATTGTTCAGATAAACAATTTCAACCTCAAACATGCAGACCAAATTGCAGCATAGTGACATCGACATATAGAGAGATAAACAAGACCCCTGAACATCAACATGCAGATATAATCCAATGATACATTCTGATCAGCATAAGCCTTTCATGTTGAGATGAAATCAACCTAGCTCAGGAACATTATCTACAGGACCAAATTATACACCAAGTTTAGAAAATTACAAACACATCAGTCAGACTCGTGGTCGAATTCCTGAGCATTGATTCAATTTCAACCTGCCAGCTGTAAAGAGACAATCTGCAACTCTTATTATGCCTACGTGACTAAACCAGCCACCCGATCAGAATAAGAGAGAGTTCAAATAGAAAGGATGAAACTGGGGAGGAAAATGGTTACCACGATTAAGTTTAAAAAGAGCCAAGTTCCACATGATAAAGTATATAAGGACTCATGCTAAAATCTTTCACTTTGAAAATGATGATAATAATATTAATACTTGCTTTCAAAGACCAAGTTCTCCAGGAATTTGCAGAAAGTTGCAGCAATTAGTAATTATGCCAAACAAAACCAAACCCCATAGCACATTTCTTCCATGAACTAAGAAAACTCGCAACCCAGATCACTTGTGAAGTATGAATCGAAAAGAAAACTAAAAGCCCAGGAAATTATCAAAGTCAAGCAATCTGGCATAAAACAAACCCCAGAGTATTCATAATAGGAATAAATAATATATTCATAACCCTAATTATCAATCAATAGTAAATTGGAAAACTACAGAGTGTATCCACAAAAGACGGAAAATTCGGATGATTTCAGAACCTCATATTCGAAGAGCCATTCAAGGCCTGCGCCGGCCAGCTGAACCCGGAAGCAGGTATAGTAAAGCTGTCGTCCGGGACAGGTATATCGTCCATTAAACCATAGTCGAAAAGCCAATTGGCGTTTTCCGGGCCAACCATTCTGCAGCGGAGGTTCCCGGAAAATTCAGAATTTCAGGTGAGGCCCCTTTTCCTAGAAAACAAACAGAAAGCGAGGGCTGCACGTTTGAAGGAATAGGGAAGAAGAAGGGTGTTTTATGCGAAAAGGGAATCCGCGAAACTGAGTGACGAGGAAAATAGAAGCTTGATTACAATACAAGTGGTGATGACATTCGTCGAATCGTCGTCAATGTTCAACGACAAGACCGGATCCTTTCATGGGCTTCAAAATCGGATGCTGGCCCAACTTTATTTGAGACCACAAAAATCCCACCAAGAATCAACAGAGAGAACCAAAATAGTGAAAGTAATAATTTTTAATCCGACAACGCAAGGGAAATCCGCAATAAACTGTTAATCACATTCTCCGTGAGGGAATGTTGCCTTTACTGTTGTATACGTTCGCAATACCTGTTAATATACCCTATTCACGACATTTTAGCAATATGATGACTTGTTGTAATTTCCAGTAAATATGTAAATTTAGGATAATTTTTATATTCTTGTTGTTCTATTTTTTTAAAAAATTATAATATATATCTGTGTGAATTTGGTTTATTTTATTAGTTGTAAAACTCGGGAGCTTATTTACATAATCAATCACATGCTGTTTTTCCCGACTGTTTGGTCATATGAGTTGTCCTATTTGAAAACGACAAGACATCCTTGTAAATTGAAAATGGCATTGCTCATCATATGCAGCGCATGAGGAAAAACAGTCTTTATTTTCCGGCTTATCAAAAAATTAAAAAAAAAAAGGATGGAACATAACAAAAGGGATTAATCTTGGTTAAAAAGGGGGATTAATGTTTCCAGAACACGTGTGCATAATGTCTCATTTTATTACTAATATTGCGTTGCTTTAGTGCCTTTGTCTAATAATTATAGGCGTTGCTTTAACAGGTCCCTCCATCATCAAAAGTCCTAGACGTAACTGAATTGCCTCTGATGTAATTTTAGCTGTCAACGTTAAACTGACGTTGACTGGTTTGGATTTTCTTTATAATCCATTATCATTAATTTTTTGTAAATTTAAAAGGGCAAAAAAAGGTAATTAAACTTCACGGACATGTATGCTATTTTTGCCCTTCTCCCTGTAACCTACACAAAGCTTTAGAATCGATAACCTACAATATAACATTAAAGGTGTCTTACTCCACTGATCGAATATTTTTATCAATATAATCAATACTACCTCCGGTCCTAATTATAAAAGCTAGTTGACTAATTTGAAGAGATTAAGAAAATAAGTTAAGTTACTTATTTGTAATAAATAGGTGTTGTCTTTCTTAAAATATCTTTGGTAATCAAGTTTATTGGCTAGAATTATCATTATTAGAGAAACTAACTCGAGAAAAAATACATAAATATGATAGATCAAATAGATTAGGATCTTTCAATTAGGATCAAAATAAAAGTCAAACGAGGTTTTATATTAAGGACCGGAGGTAGTATAAGATTTATCATCGACCCTTTATTATCAAGTAATAAAGAATACACCTTATATTTAAAAACAGCACTTCTTAAAGAATGAGAAATTGAGAATGATTTGTTGAAACATAGAGTGAATAAAAGCATCGACCCTTTTCCTAGTTAGTCTCTCAACAGCTTCTCCACTCGCCAACACAACAAAAGCAGGCATCGCTTTAATTCCCAGCTTGGAGGCTACTTCTTATATATAAATATGTGTGTGGGAGAGAGAATCAAATCACAGCATAGTAATTGGGTTCAGAGACTCATAAATTCAACCAAAGAAAAAAAAGTCAGAAAGAAGATAAATCAATATATTCTAAATGGATTTGGTTTTTTCTTTTCAGGCCACTCATGAAGTATCATAAAAGGATAATCTTTTAGAGGGCGTTAGAAAATGGAGGTTCGGAGAACCGGATACTTCAACTTCACAGCTGCTCATAGTGCCATTAAAATAAAAAAGGAGCATATTTTATCAAGCATGTCTTGTTAATAATTGAAGAGATAAGCTCTGGTTATTGTTAGTTTGCTGATATATACGAACACGATCCATGTGACCTGAAAGTGGGATTTGGAACTGACAAAAACAATTTGGAAAAAGATTCATGTTAAGCAAAAAGAGACATAAGCATTAAAAAAAATGCAGGGATGAAGAAATGTATTACGAGAACTAAATAATTATTATATACACACGCACGCACGCACGCACAAACACCAATGTGTGTGTTTGATTGAGAATAAAATAATTCACCTTAACCTCATCTACATCGACTATCATAAACAAAATTTCTTGAGAGTAGATGGAGGCCATTGGCCATTTCTTCAAACAAAGAACTAACAGCGTTTAGCAAAAGAGGGGATGCACTAACAAGCAGAGAAATGGACCACAATCTGCCAATTAAATAGCAAAGTGTGAGTGTGAGAGGGAGAGAATTTATTGCATTTTTGTCTGATAAGATTATCTTAAAGTGTTTATAAATTCATTCTAATGCCTTTTCTATTTCAGAAGTGCTGCACTCAGATGATCATATGCACGGCACGCATACTCATCTCTCATGCAGATATACTAAATAGCTTTTACGCGTAGGTTTGTTCAAATTGGCCCAAAACAAGTAGTGGGCAAACCAGGCAAACCCATTCGCCTTGGCCAACCCACAAGTGTTTTGAAGCCTTGGCCCTAATGAAAAGGACTTGGGAATTGGGATGGTATCAACTCAATAAATAGCAGATCATGCCTGATAAGGGAAATGCCATTAAAATGTGACATTCAGTAGACATACAAATTCAAGCTATCAGAATGGAAGATTCACAAACTAAAAGCACATCAGTAACTTCCTCACTGTACAATCTTCTATGCTAATCTAACACTCCTTATTCAAGTCACCGCACCTACATGGCGCTTTGTTATCACAAATATGGTCAAAGAATATCTCCACCTATCTAAAGATTAGAAATAACTCAAGCGTGAGTCTATGGGGCGTCCATTGGTCTGTCTTCGAGGCGTCCCAATCTCACAAGCATTCACTCTGGAAGCGAACCGGAGAGAGCATAGTGATTCTCCAACTGAGGAAGGTTCAGGAGATATGTTCACAAACATCAATGTCTTTGAGTCTCCCCCAAGACAAGGCTGTTCAATAATTACGTTGCAAATGTTAGATCACCTCAGACATGATCCAACAAGGTTCTCATACAATTGGAAAGGTTAAGTTGGAAGGAACTATATTGATGCAAAAGAACTTGACAGTAAGAATATTCAAGAATCAAAACAGAGTTGAACTTTTCTGGTAAATATCAGTATGGTGCTTTGCTTATGTGATCAACTCGTTATTTGATAGTTTAAGTTGTGAAACAATAAGCTAACTGCTGATATACCTGGAGCAGATATGTAAGCTTTGAGTTCCTGAATGGTACATGATCCTCCTTCTTTGCCAAGGCAAATATAACATCACTTAATGATGACAAACTTTTATTGATTGCCTGGTCAAGAATAACAAGAAAATCAACTTATTTGGAACTAAACAAGCAGAAGGAAACAAAACAGAGAACACAAGTGCTGTGCTTCACATACTTGAGTTTCTCTCAGTCGGTCCCCGCTTGATCCACTCTTTGAAAGACGCTCACTCCCAGCCAGATCAATAAGATTAAGAACACCTTGTACTTGTTGATCGGTGCTCTAGCAAAGAGAAATATGTTAGAATGATTTGTGTATGAAAAGATTGAAATGTAAAAACCCATAAAACAAGTTTCAGTACCTCATTAACACCATATATTCTAAGAGTGAACACAAAATGACTTCTTGATGACTGTTCATTCATTTGGGTTTTTCCTACAGATCTGACAAAAAATTAAAAAAAGTACATAATTTCAAAATCAGTCCACTTTCATCATGCCATCAGAATTGACAAAAAGACAGCACTTCTTAAAAGAATGAAAGGTAAAAGTGAAAGGTCTAATATAGTATAACCTGCTATTGGCTGCTTGATTTAGGAGAAAGGCGACCTCTTTAGCACTGTGAACATCCACTACTGTAAGATCAGAAACGTATGTATTTCCATTGGCATCGTGTTTTATTGCATATTGCTGCTTTCCAGGAGTACCATTTTCTACACGCGTTACATCCAAGGATGATCTATTAGTAGATAAAAGATCCCGAATGGTTTCATTATATATTTCCAACATTGACACCTGCGAAATGTTATGAAGGGAAAATTTTCTCAACATATTTGGGGGAAAAAAAAATTCACTGAAAACGATGGGAAAACTGAAGAAGAAATTGCTGTCACCTGCAATTCATATTTCCAGCCTTGGGATTGCAGAGATTGCATTGTTTGAAATATCTGTTCCAACGAACGAGGTATCAAGCCCTTTTCCCCTGTATTTCCTGGCTTCCCCATCATTGTATAGGTTTTCCCTGATCCTGTCTGACCATAGGCAAATATACAAACCTGGAAAGAAAATGCCACCAAATGAATAAAAGGAAAATATGTCAATTCCAAGGATTATAGAAATGTCTTCCATAGTTGACTAGTAACTCTGCCGTTGTTTTCAGAAGTGTGTATAATACATTTAGAAATGATGATCAAACAGTAGGACAAAGTGCCATGGAATTACCTTGTAACCATCAAGAGCACTTTGTACAAGCTGTGAAATTTCCACAAAAACTTCTTCTTGTGATGCGTCTGGTGCAAAAACTTTATCAAATGTGAAAGAATATCTCTGACCTAAGAATAAAACAAGAGCAACATAAGTCGATGACAATAATCAAAGCATAAGTGAAGGAATAATTTCAGTGGCAGCACCACAAGAGATATACCACTTTGGTTTAAATCAATGCCTCGTCCTGCAGCCTCCATTGATGCGGGGAAAGATATAATCTTGCACTCTCCATTACAACTGTCATCAGGCAGCAATGGCCGCACTCTACAGAATACACGGATGTTCCCTTTCAATTCCTGTATTGATATGGAGACTATTAAGGAGAGGATACTTATTTAATTATCAGCAAAGTTTTAACCTCGGGGGAATTACCAAAATTGTGTTATGTAATTTTTTCCGCAGTTTCTCCCCTTCTATGAGTTTATAGTCTGCATCTGCCAAACGTCTTTGTAACTCCTCAATGAGTTTTTGTTGACTTTCAAATTCCGTTCTTGTCTGAAATGCAGATACATCAGACACCTGATAAAGATCAAAATTAGCAAATGAATACTGATTACTTCAAATCCGTTTCATGGCATGGGACCAAGTATAAGAAAGACAAATAATGATTCTAATCTATGAATTTTCCTTTCTTCTACGTTTAAAAGTCCATACCTGTACTTTATTCTCTGCAGTTGTTAGTTTCTCTTGCAATTCTTTTATCTGGTTATCTTGCAAAGAACATTTTGCCTATGCAAGAAAGTGAGAAACTCGGAATGTCATACAAGGTCATACAAGCATATATTGACGAGAGAATGTGACATTTCAAGAAAAGGGCTGCAAACCAACCTCCAGTTCATTTGTTTTTATAGTCAAGCTGTTCAGTTCAATGGAAGACTTATCAGTAGATTCTCTAAATTTTGCTAATTCAGAACTTAAGGTTTGCACTTGAGATGAATTGAGGTCGCGATCATCTCTTGCTTGTTGCAACTCTCCTCTTAGAGATGAAACTTCACTAGTCAAAGCGTCCTTCTGTTTCACGGCTTCTTCTTGAGAAGACTATTAAAAGAAGCAATGGAACTGTGTTAGATACAATTTACAAGTTAATTACCCCAAATGAAAATAAAAAAGACAACTTTACAAGAACAGTCAGCACACGGAAGCAAACTCACAATGGACAAAGTAAGTTGAGCTCTTAACATGGTGAGGTTCTCCACAGCAGTGGCCTTCTCTTTCTCTACACGCTTAAGTTCATCTTCTGCTGAAGAAAGCTCTGTATGAAGCTTCCCATTGTATTGTTGTAAGCTTGTTATGTAATCTTGCAACCGTTTATACATATCATTGAGTGATGTTATCTGCAGAAAACCATAGATTTAAAATTATCAGTACAATGCCTATCATGATTAGAATGAACACAAAGGAAACAAAAATAAATTTGTAGAAATGGGATTGCGCTACTATTTTACCTTCTGATTTGCGCTTTGAAGCTCTCTTTGAGCTCTTCCAAGGTCATCTGACAGGGCAGTTCGTGACCTCTCAAACTCAATCCTAGCCTCTCTCTCTTTTGCAAGAGATTCCACCGCCACCTTATATTTACAAATCATAATGAATTGGTTATCAACATTTCATTTGAAATAGAATTTTAGGGTTGAAATTTCACTGGCTTGAAAAACTCCCTTACCGACTTTTCTGTTTCTTCCTTGATTAATTTTTCTTGCAAAGAAGTGCAATTCCGTCTCATTTCAGCAATAATTGAATTCAGTTCTTCTTCCTTGATTTTAAGTAGTAGCTCTATAATTATTGAACTGAACACGTTACTAAACAAACTTGATATGAAGAATATTCAAAAACAAAATGCAAAAAAACAAAAACAAAACAAAACAAAAACTGTACATCTTACCAATTTCCATGCATTTTTGCTGGGTTAACTCCAAGGAATTTTTCAACCTCTCTTGCTCTAGGGAGTAGTTCAACTCAAGCTCTTGGAACCATCTGATGCAAACTTTAAGCCTTTTTATATATTCCACCATATTTTCACATCTTTCCTAAAGAATACACATTTTTATCAGTGAAACAAGCAGTTTAATTTAAAAGGACCCAAAGCCATGAAGATCTCAAAGCCTTGACTGACCTTATAATTAAATCTGTCCTTCCTTTTGGCTTTTTCATTCAGCAATGCTTCCACATCCTCCCTCGTGAACTCTATAATACCACAGTCTGACCCGGCATTGCTTGGCGGGGCACTGTTTGGGCTAAGATCGTGCCCGCCATTAACAATTGTGAAAGCTTGCCTAGTTCTTCCATTAATGGGAGTTCCCACCATTTTTTCAGCTGCAACTTGCTGTAGGTCTCTATCTACGAGGACCTCATCACCCATCAACTTCTGAACTTGAACAAGAACAAAAGACACAGTAAGAGGCCAAAAAAAAAAACCATTTTTAAGTAAAGCCGTGAAAGAAATTGTAGTGGAGAATGGAGTAACGTAATGGAAGATGAGAAAAACTGGTACCTGAGAAGAAGGGGTTGAAGGCGAGGGAGAGAGAGGTAATGGAGGGCGGTTCTGGTTCTTAGAGACCATTTTTGAATAGCTCGCACACAGTTGCAGATGTAAACCCGGGGGGGTGGGGGAGAGAGAGACTGTGTCTAGACTCTAGAGTGGGGCCTTGGATTGTATTGAAAGCTAACAAATATATCGAAGCCGTTCGTTGCTTTGGCGAGCAGGAAGACGACTACTGATGAATGATGATCCACAAACACAGAGAAATGAATTCCCTTTTTTTTCTTTTTTGATAACAGAGAGAAATGAATTCTTGAAAAGAAAAGTTAAAATTCAAAAGATAATATGAAAAAGGTTATTTTTTTCCCGCTGTATCGAGGTTCGCGGTCCTCGAAGGATTACAGATTTGTTGCGTTTGGTAGTGTACTTTTTATCAGTTGAGACTTCACTTGAGCTCGGTTTAGATTTTACTGCCGTTGATATTTGAACTTTTGAACTTTTAAGTTAGCTCCGTTGTGGCGGTCACGTGTCGTTGAACTATGACTTGAAGCTAGACTCCTTGTCATCTTGTTCTTCCAATATTGCCACTCATCATTCTCCACAATTATAAATTTAGAGAATATTTAGATAAAAACCAAACCATAATTATAAAAGTAATTTTATGATATACAAAGTAAATATATAAAAGAGTTTGTCTCATTTTAAGAAAAAGTGCTTTTGAGAAATACTTTTCGGTGCTTTCAAATACCCCCTTAATTTTCAGCACAAAAAATAGAAATATAAGTTGGTGGCTGTTTTTAATTTTCATTTCAATATAAAAATGGCTGTTCATCAATTATAAAAGTTGTGTAAACTACATGATTAGTAGTAGAAAGGCCCTACACCGATAAATAAATTATAACAGATTGTTCTTATTTTCATGAGAAATAATAAAAATGGATCTATTTGTTTCAGGAAAAAAAATAATATCAGAGTAATCATATATCTTGTGAAAAATAACTTAATAGTGCTCATGAAAATGATTTGAAGTCTTGTTTCTTTTTTTTTTTTTTGCTTACATGAAAATACAAAACTGTCCCTAACAAATTATGAAAACGAAAAATAAAGGAATGCCTGGATTTAGAAAACTATTCAATCAACCGCTGCCACTAACTTGAGAAGGCATCCAAATGTATAACGACCATAACTAACCTTCATGATTATTGGTTTTTTTTAATGTTATTTTGCGAGTCCCTGAAAAATAGCTAATGATATAACTAGTGATTAAAACTTTCATTGCTTCGGTGGCTTCCAAGTTACCTTATTTACTAAAATTATAAAAAAAAAAATCCATGATTATATACTACTATTATAAAACAACTAAGTAATTAACCTCGGTTTGCTTGCTCAATGTAACCATCTGCGACCAACAAAACTTAAGTCTGAGTAATTAACTCTAGTTCGGTGATCATTTTGATTTCAAAAATAAAAACAATACTGCATTTTGCTCATTTGGACAGCAGACCAAAATGGGAGAATTGCCATCGAATCTTAAAAAATTCTTACTCAAAAGTCCACTAATAACTAAGAAGCAACAATGTAATAAGGAGTTTCAATTAAAAACAACAACAATAAATTTATACCATCCACTTATTATTAAACGTTTTGATATTCAAATCCTTTTTTCAGATTCCAAAATAATTCAAAATGGGGAGAGAAAAAAAGAGGAGGGTTTAGTTGAATGAAAACTTTTGTTGTTGTTTTGGCTTCAATCAAACTCTACTGTATTCCAGTACACTTTTTTTCTTTTAGTGGAACAAAGTTGGGCTATGGCATCAAGCTATATAGAGATTGAAGCTCATCCCACCAATATAATTTTAGTCATACAACTAGGCAGTAGGCACGCATGTCTGGATCCATTACATAAAAGTAGTGAGATCCTCTAAATTAATTAATTTACAATCTGCAACAACCACCGAATAAGATACTGGTGAGGGAGGCTTTAATTACAATTACGAAATGAATCTCATTTAAAAATCACTCGCCAATAAAATAAGAATGGACAAATGAGCATTAAAGATATCGGTCCTTTTACTGAAACCAGATCCAACAGAAATTCCTCATGGGATTCGCTTGGCACGGAGGAAGAGTTATTTAGAAGATTTTCTGATTTCTGATGCCAACCAGCAGAAAAGTAGACATTGAAAGCACAGGTATATATAACATCACTTCTACCTCACATTCACATGCTCCAAAGTTGTTGCCCTTTCCAATTCGCTTCTTGGTGCTCACCTGCATTTTCCTTTCCCTTTCCCTTCCCCTTGTCCTTTTCCCACCCTGACTTTTGTATTTATTATTACCGTTGCTATTGTTATTTTCGTGTGCAGAAGAAATACATTCGTACTATGCCATAAGTTTAAATCTTAACCCATGCTGAAAGGTAAAGGTCAAGTGCTGGTGGGGTTAAAGGATGGGGAACGAGTTTGTTATGATTTTTAAGCGAGTTCAAAGGAACAGAACCAACTTCTGATCTATCCACAAAACAGGACAGGGGGGGAAAGATATTGAACTATGCAGAAGGAAAACAGAAGGAGAATTTGCTGTGATTGAATCAATACTTGTTGACCCTACAAAAGTTTACATGATGCTTGTTGAAGAATAGACAAGTGTCTTCCACCAAGCGCAAATAGAGTTTTGTCCTGAGCTGATGAGAATGGATACACTAATGCATATCACTTTCTAAGTTAAGTAGAACAAAGGCCACCATTCTTTGCTGTCGCAATCTCGCTCTTGATGCTCGGATCTTGTTTGCTTATTGCACCCTTTTGATCACAAATTAATTTATTAGTGTCGGCACAAAAAGTTCCAAGGGGTCCAATCTCACTACAATATTAATAATAATCCCTTTTACAGTCCTTTCGCGCAAGCTATTTCTCCTTTAACCTCTGAAATTAGTTACGAGGAAAACATTAGCTACAACTGCTGTCTCTTAGTCACTTTATTCAACTTTACTTGTTCTGAACCATACAAAGGAAGAGTAAGCCTTGTCAGCAGACTAGTCATGAAACAAGATAGCTCAAGGGCATCACGATGGGGATGTAGCTCAGATGGTAGAGCGCTCGCTTAGCATGCGAGAGGTACGGGGATCGATACCCCGCATCTCCACCCTTTTTTTTTTAATTTTTTTTCATATTTTGTTTTTCTACTTTTGCTTCCTCCGTTCAACTGAGGCAGAACGCAGGATTTTCCTTCTTCTAAAGCTTTTCATTGTCATCTTCTATGAATTTCTGGTCTCTGTGGCTGACAAGTTGTGAACTTATCCCGACTGGTTAAGTTTGCAAGCCTGGTCCTTGGTGGGTAGTTCTTGACGTGATTCATCTGTCTGAGAACATGCTTCCGGGAGTTTTATGTAAAAACAAAAATTTCTAATCTGGTTCTTATACCGGCTGGCATTCCTCTTAAAAAGCTTAAGCTGGTCTCTGGCATTGCTTGATCGCATGAAAAACCTTAATGAGCGCTCTAGGTTTTTTTTCGCCCTAAAAGAAATTTTGGAACAGGATACCTCTCTTGCCCGTAGAATTTAGTAGCTTTGCAGCTTTCTGGATGTAATCCGAATTTTATCAACCCACAGTATTTCAGGTCCATGTAGGTGTCCACCCTATTTTCTTAAACACCCGATATTTAATACGTCCTGATCTATTCCTATTTGCTCTAGCTCGTTCATACTTCACATAAGTACTTTATTAGACTCAGTTAATAATCTTTGCTTATGTAGCTTTCGGAAGTTGAACAGGTGGAGCTTTTACAGTAAAGACTGAAATAATCATTCTCGATTTTGTCACTATCAAATATCTGCCAGTTGGTCTATGTGCAAAAGCTTACCAAGCTTGTGGTGCATTTTTCAAAGCGTTGTCTGTTTCTGCTCAATATTAGCTTGAAGTTTCAAATTATTCTCAATTTCTTAGTTTGACCATCATCTCTAATCATTCACCTACATTGGGCGGGGAATTATTGAGAATTTGCGTGATAGACATCAACTTTTGGCTATCTTTGTTGACTGCGTCATATTAATATTGATTATATGATTAGTTGTTATTGGAATAAGCAAACGAGACGATGCTTTCCTTTTTTTTGGTGGAATTGAGTAGCATGTCAATATCCAACCCGGAGACAGTTGAAAGGTCGAATGTAGTTGTCAAAAAGGTATTTTGCTGGTTTAGATGACAGAGTGCCCTTCCCTTTGAAGCTGAAGATGATGGGAGAAGAAAGTAGACATGTACTGCGGGGCGTAATGTCCTTTACTTTCAAAAAAAAAAAATTGAGAATTTCAATACGTTTTTTGCCACAAGGCTCAGACTCATAGTCAACAAGCCATATGCCTCACAAGTACCTGAGAAATGGATACCGTTTGAATCATCTATATTTGACTTTTAATGACCAGTGTGTTCCTGCTTTATCCATTGCATTTTTTTTTTTTTTTGCCAACTTTATCCATTGCATTTTATCTTCAACAAGAAAATATTGTGCAGTTTGATTTCCAATGTAGCATGTAAGTTACTTTTCATTCATTAACGGGCCTACCCGAACTCAGACTGCTACAAGAATAACTTTGTGTAATTTAGTTGATTTTGAAACTGAAACTCTTTTTTTTTTTTTCCCCAACTACTACATTCTTTCCTGTGTTGTTTTCCAAATCATTTGTACCGATGTCAGAGTTAATCATGTCATAGAAAGAAAGCAACTCATTTTCACCGCCAATTTGCAAATCTAGCACTGAAAAGGCGGGTTTTGATTTCTTCTAGCAGACCATTAAAGAAGATTCAAACAAGATATATTTTTTTGGGAATCTTTCAACTCAATAGAAATCTACTCTTGGGTTGAAGAGAGCATAGATCATGATTATCTCCAAAAAAGGAAATCGGTGAACAGAAGTGGTATGTAGATGTTTTGTTAGGAACAATCAATATTCCAGACAAGAAACTTCATCTAACTGGCAGCTGTAATTACCCATCATGTAACTAATTTTTTGTCCTAGCCGCTAATTGAATGTTTGAAAGCAAACATTCCAATTCTACTGTATCTAAATAGTTCTTTTCTTCTCTCTTGTGTTGATCACTGGCGCCTGGTTGATCAGAAGCACTTAGTAAACAGCTGTGATATTTTAAAAACCATAGCAAGGGTTTCATACACCTTTGTGGTCTGTTTATTCCCATCGTTCACTGATGTTAGGCTGACAGTAACAAGTTTTTTAAATATCAAGCTGCATAGGAGTTGCCATTAGACTAAATAATTAACAAGTCAAGTAGCTATGTGTTGCTCTCTTAAATTTACGCGGACTCTGCATTTTTTGAAGCTCCTTCCTTCCCTTGAGGATCGCAGCCCTGTGGCCTCTTTGGTATTCGTATCTCTAAGAATACATCGTTAAATAAGAGAGCCTCTATATTCCTCCATTCTGCATCCTCTGGCATCTCAAGCCTTCGTACATATCCATATTCCCACCAGTGGCCACACCTCCAATCACTTGCTTTTGTCTGCTGCTTCCACTGCCCACTAATTTCAACAATCTTCCCATTATCAACATGGACTTGAATGCTATTTCTCCCAGCTCCTGTTTTGACAACAACTCACTGGTGTCACGCATGTTTGGACTATTTAAGCATGTCTTTTTTATTTGAATTGAACGAAACTTGGCCTCATCCACAACTCGTGGTGACTGATTCACTTGATTGATTACTAGTTATATGTCTCTGCCTTTACTAACCCGTTTCAATACTTTCCGAGGACATAGTAAAGAAAAGTTCGGTGCAAGGGTGAAGGCTTCCTTTGCTCTACAAAATACTACCTTCTAGCTAAGGCATAGGGCCTCTTATTCCCAGATTCTTTGCAAGTCTTGAAAAATGGTGAGGCAGTCTCCTTGTTTCATAATTACTCTTTTTTGAAGATAGACTAGGTTTAGAAATAAGAACTTGGTCATGGTGATATGTGAAGGGCAATTTATCATACCTGGTAATTCTGCCTTTAATATGTAACCTTGGTCAGTCTGACCCCAGTCCACTGTGCTTTGTCCTGAGCTACGTAGGTTAGATAACAAGATATCTGACTCAAACTCCCAGAGAGGGAAGGCATCAGAAGGATCAAAGAACTTGCCGAACAACATTGGACTGAAAAGTGACCCATCACCAAAAATTTTATGTCCTGTTGGATTAGCCTGGCTGAAGAACCTCTTGAATACCTCTTCTCCCAACGAAATGCTCCATTTATGCGGAGTTTGATTGTCTGTTTGAACCTCGAGCCTCCTAGAACTAGCCATGGCTGTGAAGTAATTGAAAAAACTTAGGGACTATGGTGGAGAGAGTTTTGTGGTTTCTCTTCTTATAGTGGGAAAGAGGCCATCTGATAAAAGAAGAGCATAAATTCCTTCAGCATATTTGGGGTGCTGTAAAGCTAAGGGGAATATTTTTGTTTTCTAGACTTTACTCATCAGTAAAGGAAAATCATGTCAGGAATATTACGTACGACTAAATTCTATGTGTGGTAGCCCCCTGCAATTTAGTTGTGGGGCACAAGATGCGGTAGAAATGGGATGGGACGGGGTAGAATTACCAAGCAAGCCAACATCTACTTTGGGGGGTGCTGTGGCATAATAAATATGCATTATAACACATGGTCCTGGAGACCCACAAAAGCACCAGTTTTCTAGTTCTTGTCCCAGCCATGAAATTTTCAGCTTATTTATTGACCTACTGTGATTAGCCTTGCATGAAGAATCAATGGATGCTCGGCTGCTGCAGTCTGGTTGTTTCTGACAAATTAAGGTAAAGAACCTGCCTTGGCTATTTATTTTAAGAAGATTGTCATGTTACTTAAGGAACTGCGGTTTTTTAACACTCAGCTTTTTCTTTCCGTGGAGAATAAACTATGGTCATCATAAATTTGTCTGCTGTCATCGATGTTGAACATGGTGGATCTTGGTTCCTCGTGATTAAGTCGTAGGATCATTGATCCTTAAGCTGACAGCTCTCATGATATGAACTTCAGTTTTCAGCACTAGAATGAACTTTTTGCCTGTCCCTTGCCATTTTCCAAGCCATGGAACTTTTTAGTTTCGTTTCATTAGTTTACTCATTAAATTTATGCAAAAATGCATAAAGTTCCTCAAAATTCTAATCATATGCAGATAGCTTTAACATGCGGGACTCCTTTGAACTTGAAATTATGTGCGAACAAATCCTTTTCATCAGAGATATTGTTAAAGCAAGACATATTGTCAGGGTTACCAGAACAAAAATAAAATTCAGAGGTCCGTTGAATCAGACATCCAACTCCTGCTAGAAAATTTAAAAAAAAAAAAAATTACTAATGGTGGTCTCAGTACAAATTTACAAGTTATGAGGGATTTCTTGTAAAATTTTAAAAGTTTCTTTAGTAAAAATATGTATGTAATGCTAAAGTTTAGAGATATTCTGGGCATCTTCACCATGATTGATCTGGCTGCCTGTAATCTTATAAATGGCCATTCGGGGGGATGGAAGTCCATTAACTAATTTACAGAATCTGGGTGATGTGTCCTTGCACAAAACAAAGGAGTGTGAAAGGAATCTTAAATGGCTTTGGCAGGGAATGGATGTGTGTGTGTTATCCGCTGTGATGCTGCACATTCTCAATCCATACAGCACACACGCGCATCTTTTAGGCCAAGAGGGATTAAGCCTTTTTTTTTTAAATTTATTTTTGACAAATGGGGGCTAACCATGAAGCAATGAGGCACATAGGGTGATCATTAAGAATGGCATCTCGGAAGGTAGCTTTTAGGGAAAAGGAAGAAGGCACCTCCTTATCTCCTTGTCCTTTTGATGGACGTTTTGGAATTTTGAAGCCACTTTCAACGGTGGGTGGGGCCTTTTACCTACAAGGCGGTGCTAAGAAGGGCTACTTTTTTTTTTTTTTGTAATCTTCAACTCTCATGATCCCATAATTGTCACTCCAATTATGTTCTTGTTTGATTCCTTATTGTCAATTATGGATCCGTATCTTAATCATGCTAAACCAGTACAAATATGGGCAACTGGTTAGAAGCTGCCCTCTCTGTCTTGTATATGTAAACAGATTCTGTTTTTAATATGTCAAAGAAGCAACCGCGCGCGGTTTTCAATCTTGTTATCTGGAGTCGCTTGCTGTGTGTGTTTAGTAATGAATGTTTGTCCCATTCAAATGCCCCTAGGAGATGATTATTCTGATAAAAACTTTGGCATAACTCTGTAAAAGGAAGCCATAAATCAGTACTCTTCTGATTTTTAATATAAGACCTAATTTGAAAGTTGATGTCTTAAACATAATAATTATTTCACATTTTTATCAATTTTTCCGAAATTAACCTGATTGATATTTCTTTGACAATATTCAAATAAGAGATGGGAGAGAAAATTAAAAAAGATGATTAGGGTATTTTAGAAGAAAAAAAACATATCATATTAACTGATTTAACTATCATCCTTACTCAAATTAATTAATTAAATCTTATATTAAGGACCGAAAAAAATATTATGCAGAGGTTATGAAAGGCAGTCCCTACTCATGCTTTGCGTCTCTATTAAATAAAATATTTTTACAGGGATCCTTTTTGAGATTATAATTAACTATGTTATCCTGAAATCTAATCTCTATATATAAACTTTAGGCCGAGGTGATTTTCCCCATCAAAATAGAGGGTCTAATGTGGAGTGTTTTTAAGAGCTGATTTTTTTTTTTCTTGTGGCCTTTTATCGAGTTGGAGTTTGAGGCTTTTTTGACCCACGGGCCTGGACAAAGGGGAAAATATGGGGATCAAGAAGCAAAAACTGCTTTTTGCTAAAACATAGATATCCTCTTTTTGAAAACAATTTTATTCAAGACACTTTCAAACAATAAATATGAATATTTCTTTCAGCAAATATTCAAATCTTAGTTCGTTAAATTGTACTCTTTCCGTTAAACCTAATTCTTGTTAGTTAAGAAGCAAAAACTGTCAAATAGACTTATTCAAAACGTTTTTGGAGTTTTAGGCCCAAAAGAAGGAAAATAAGAAACGTAATGCCTCACGGGCTTGCAAAGAGGAGAAGCTGCTGGCCTTTAAAACCATTATCCTTTTGGGCCAAAATTGAAAATCCATTAATTAATTGTCATAATTTATTTTCTATGACCTGTATTACAATACTCATTCATTATTGTGCTAATGTTATTTTTAAATAATATAATATATATAAAATATGAATAAAATTAGAAAATTACTGACTTTTAATGAAAAATTAATTAATCTTAAGGTTTTTCTTAGTGCTTATTTACAACGGTGACAAAGAATCATATTATTACTATTTTTTTCTACTTTTTCTTTTAAGTGCAAGATAATCTCGAGGAGCTGCGAGTTTTTTCCTACCAACTGGGGTCCTCCCTTCATGGCCTCCATGGAGATGGTCTACAGAATTCATAACTACTCTTTTTACTATGAGACACTTACCTAGCCAATATTTAAATCCTGCTCTATCCAAACTTTTCTAGTTTACCCTTATATTCTCTACTTGTTGACCGTTGCTAAGCAAGCAGTTTTTGAATATAAAATGGACTTCTCCAAAAGATAATTTTAATATGGTCAATTTTTCCCTTCTTGCAATCAGTTTTGCTACAGCCCCCTGTTGTTCTAACTAATTGTCTACCTTTTTTGAGTGTGATTTTTACGTTACATATGGCCATAGCCATGTCTAAAAACATATCCATCGAAGTAGATTTTTTTTAAAATCAATCAAAACCCTTTCCCAGCATCTTTAAAGCCTGACTTATAATTTGGAAAAAAGGGAACCCCCCCCCCCCAATGCTTCGCGGTCATTTTGGTGAGATGCTCATTAAATAATATCGTCAGATCTGTTATGGGAAAATTACATATAGGTCCCACACAAGACAATTAATTGATAAAAAGTCTCTAAAAATGCCAAAATGATTCTTAAGTTCTCAGGGACCTGTGTGTAATAAATTAAAATTATAAAATTACCTATTTATGCTCATTAATTTTATTACAGTAATTTATTTACAACCTCAATAGTGACTGTTGATAACCTGAGGAGAAGTGGTTAACAATCTCGGCAGTATCCCTAACAACTCACTTTGTGGGATACCAGGGGTATTGCTATGGTTGTTAACCATTTCTCCTTAGATTGTCAATAGCCACTGTTGAGGTTGTAAATGAATGGGGTAAATAGGTAATTTCAAAATTATAATTTATTACATACAGGTCCCTGGGGACTTGAGAGTTATTTTGAGATTTTGAGGGACTTTTTGTAAATTAATTTTTTTGTGTGGGACTTGAGTGTAATTTTCCCATCTATTATTTTTCTGATAACACGTGTAATAACATGGAAAATATTAATTCTGGCCAAAAAACAAGGAGAATGTTAATTTCATGCCGGATTTAATTTAGCCTCGGAAAATACAAGGGAAAAACACGGGCGAGAGAAAATATTCATCAAATAACATTGTGTCTGTGTCGGCGTCGGTGCCATTTAAAAGTTAGCTTTAGTTTTTATTAAAATTATTAATTGTGCTTTAAAATGAAATAAGTTTTAGAGTATATTTTTTTCATATCAAACACGTCATTTAAAAATTTTCCTGTTTTCATATAACACTATTAAATAAGATAAAAATAGAAGATTACAACAAATAATTGGTATAATGTTTTATTAAAAAAAAAAAGTAACATAAAACTCTTCCTCCAAATTTTGTTGGGCTAAATGGCATTCGGAGTCCTCTTGCCTGCCTCAAAATAAATACTAGTTTTGGTCATTAATATAAGATATTTTTTATTTTTTATTTTAGTCCTAAATATAAGACCCCAATCCACTTTGTCTCTCATATTTATGTATTTTTCTCAAGATAATCCTTCTATCAATAGTAGTTCTAGCCAATACATTTGATTAATAAGGATATTTTAGGAAAGACACCACCTACTTATTACAAATAACTAATTTAACTTCTTTTTTAATCTCTTCAAATTAGCTAACTAACTCTTATAATTAGGATCGGAGGTAATATATCAGTTATTTTTAACTCGACATATTGAACCATTTCGCACATCCTAATCAACATGAAAATGCTTGATTTAATTCCTCAAAACAACTGTTTACTAGCAGACATTGAAATTAAATACCTCTCTTTGAACTGAACAACGTAACGAACGAACTGGAGGAAACTGAACAAGGATTGAAAAAGGGAATAGAAAAAAAAAACAAGCCAAAAAATAGCAAACTTTGATTTATTTATCTGATTTCACAATTATAAGCTGCAGACCTCAATTTCATGATGAGTCACATTATTCCCATCATATGTATGGAATAATTTATTGTGGATTTTATATTATATACTACCTCCCGTTTTTAATATAAAAACTCATTTGATTTTTATTTTGATTTTAAATATAAGACCCTAATCTATTTTGTCTCTAATATTTATCTATTTTTTAAGATAGTCATTGTAATAATGATAGTTCTAGCCAATATACTTTATTAACAATAACATTTTACGAAAGACAATATCTATTTATTACAAATAACTAACTTAATTAATTTTTTTAATATATTTAAATTAATTAACTAAATTTTATGTTAAGTATTGGAGCTACTACAGTACTACCTCTGGTCCTAATTATAAGACCCAGTTGACTTATTTGAGGAGATTAAAGAAGTATGTTAAGTTAGTTATTTGTAATAAATAAGTGTTGTCATTCCTAAAATATCCTTGCTAATTAAGTGTATTGGCTAGAACTATCATTATTAGAAGGACTATCTTGGAAAAAAATACATAAATATGAGAGAAAAAATGGATTGGGGTCTTATAATTAGGACCAAACAAAAAGTCAAACATGGTCTTATATTAAGGACCGGAGGTAGTATAAGATAATGTAATGTCATATTGATGAGAATAATTGCAATGTAGTACTGTGGAGATTCTTGTTTTTCGTTTACAACTTGAGGAGAATCTATTAAAGGAATCCATTTAAAAACCAAAAATAAATATGCACATTTCGAAAGGGATCCATAAAAGTCAATATGATTGCTTGGGCCTCGGGGCCCACTTACCAAGAAAAACAAATGATTAAAATTTGAAGAAAACACCAAATTGCCTTCAACGTTATAACTTGTAATACTTTTTTTTAATTTATTTTTTGACCCAAAAATAAAAAACCAGGAGTCGTCCGATTGCCCGCGGGAATGCGAGCTGTTTGCTAGGACTTGTAGACGGCTCTTTGCGCGTGAGAGAAATTTCCGATTACGCACGCAGTCTTCCGCCGAGTTAAAAATTACGACTACTTAATTATATTTCCCAACTCATTCTTCGAAAGCTTTCTTACGATTACTTCCTGGAGAAGAACATTTAACGCTTCTTTGATCTTTGAACTGTTTTTTCGTGGATCTGGTCAGAAACATAGTTCCATTATTTCAGTTTTCTTATCGGCAGCTTCCATTTCCATTTGCCTCTGCTGTATAGCTGGGCCTGTTGTAAGATCATCTTAGGAAGTCGGCGATTCTGCTGGTTGAAGTCCTATTGAGCTACTTTTTTCGTTGCTTTTTGCTGGGCTTTTGATTGAAAGTGATCTGATTTACATTTTTCGAGGGAAAAGTTGAGGAGCTGCTTTGGTCCTAGGATTCTAATTACGGAGGTCTCTTCAACAACAAGAACAAAGGAGGATTGGCGGTATATAACGAAATGATAAAATTTTTGCATTCTTTTGGCGGATGTAGGGGTTTATCGGGGGTTAAGGCATTGATAAAATGAGAAGTGTATCAAGCCCTTGGAATGGCAATTCAACGAATTTTAAGTGGTGTCACGGTCAGCTTTTGCATTCTTTTGTTTCTTCTTCTCACTTCAGCGAGTAACTTGAAAGAAAGGGAAGAAACACGAACAGACTTCCTTAGCCAGCTACTCGATCCGTCATCTGGATTGTTATTAGACGACAACACGGTAAGATTTGATTTACTAGTGTTATGAGTTCGGGCTACCAGTAAGTATACATTAAACTCTCTCTTTTCCCTGTAAAAAGGTGTTTACGCAATATACGAACTTAAAAACTTTGATGTTTTGAGAGACTTCCATAGAAAATCAACTGTTGCTGGGAACGGAATGGATTGTTGCATCGTCTTTCCTAAACCCCTCCCGAATACGCAGAACATGGGCTTCTTTTGCTTTTCACGAGGACATGATCACCTATGACTCCCTTGCGCCTTCCATCTCCCTCCCCTGTCTCTTCTTGGAGAGCATTTTGTCGGGAATTTTCTAATTTTTGAACTCCGGTGCAAATTTTGTGCTTCTTATGTTGATCGCATTATATGCCATGGCCTTCACCTGACAATCCCGTTCTGTCAAGCCCAAAACCATGCTTCATCCTCAATAAAGGGCGGTGGCAGTATTTAGCTGATTTGACAATGGGCAGCCGCCACGACTGCCTGAAACCAAGTGTCTTCAGGAACATCAGAAGCCTCGCAATTGCAAATTTTTTGTGATATGATTGAACGAGTACTTGTAGTGATAAGAAATATGATATGATACCATATTGCATTTATCTTCTAATTGACCAGATTCTGTTCTGAAAGGCTGCCTTGCAGAAGATTTGCATGAGCCTATATTCATAGTGATGTTTTTTCCCCCCTTTATTTTCATGGACTAGCTGCTTAGTTCATGTGCCATTAATTTTGTCCGACTAGTGGACATGCTGAGTGGCATTATGTGCACCATTATTAATAAAAGGGATGGGTAGGCTCTAAATCTGGCTATAATTTATTGGCTGCAGGCTGACCAGTTATGGTCCTCATGCTTGGTGGGTTTGATTCAGTTAAAGGAAGAGGTAGAAGATCTTGTCATGTGGTTCCCGCAAGAATCATCCCGTAGCACTGATGAAAATTCGAAAATACAATATAGATTGAGAGAAAACATCCAAACATTTATTAATGCTCACCATCTGCAGTTAAAGCAAGCTTTTCTTCATTGTCTGGCACAGAATGATCTGCCATTCCGTGTCTCTGGAGAAGAGGCTAATTCTAAGACATGGCATGCCTCGTTTATAGAATCTATGTTTTCCAGATCCAGCATTCTTAGAAGAAATTTGGCTGAGAATCCTCAACATATATCAGTAGCACCTAGTCCAGGTCCTGCTGTTATGTCCCCAGCTCGGAGTCCAGTTCCATCACCTGAGCTGGCCCCTTCACCTTTCATCTCTCAAGCTCCTAAATCTCGGCACCCTTCTTCATCGCCTAGAACTCCATTCTTCCAACAGCTGGAGCCTCCACCAACTGGGGATGCCACTGCACAGCCATCTTCAGATGCTAATATACAGGCAGATAAGAAAAGTAATCACAAAAGAACAGTTGTTCTTGCCGTAGTAATAACTGCTTTTGTGACATTTGTAATTGCAGCACTGGTATTTTTATGCTGCGGTAGGTTTTATAAGACTGGTCGAGGTAAACGAAATGATGAGAGGCCCCTTCTCAGCTTGAGCATGGGCGACTACTCTATTGGTACGCATACCACTATTCTCTAATATTTGGTGAATTTAGCGTTCAAATCTTGAAAATTTTGTCTTTGATCTTTCAGGATCTTCCCATTATATTTTTGGAAATTCAGTCAAAGAGGAGAAACTTGGGTTTCAGTCATCAAGTAACAACACTGGTGACCACAAAATGATATCATCGGTGAATGCCAATTCCCATGTCAGCTCCAATATTTTCCATACCACAGTGCAGGAAGCTCAATCAATAGGAGCTGTCAGTTTTGCTGCTGGATCATCAATTGAACAAAAACCTCCTCCTGGGAAGGAGGGAACCACCACTTCCGGATTGCCTCCTCTAAAACCTCCTCCCGGCAGGGTGGGAACCACCAATTCTGGATTGCCTCCTCTAAAGCCACCTCCTGGGAGGGCAGGAACCACCACTTCTGGATTGCCTCCTCTAAAACCTCCTCCCGGCAGACTGAACCCCCTCCCCCCTGAACCGCCTTTCAGAGCTGATACTGCTGCTCCACCCCCTCCACCTCCTGCACCTTCACACCCTGTAAAATCTCACTCTGAATCTGGAGGAGTTCCAACTCCTGGACCTTCTCCCCCTTCTGCACCCCCACAGCCTGTGACACTTCATTCTAATGCTGGTGGAGCTCCGCCTCCTGGACCTCCACCACCACCACCATCACCACCAATGCCACCTGGTACCCGACCAGGTGTTCATCCATCTCCACCTCCTCCTCCAAAAGGTGGTATAGCTCCCCCACGACCTCCTCCACCTATTGGTCCAAAGATAGGGCAGCTAAAATCTCCACAGAATGCAGGAGCTGGTTCAGAAGGGGAAGCCCATGCTCCTAAAGCCAAGCTAAAACCTTTTTTCTGGGATAAGGTGCAAGCCAACTCAGATCATTCGATGGTCTGGAACCAGATTAAATCAGGATCATTCCAGTAAGGAATAATTGTCCATCTGGTCTTCTTGCCAATAAATTAAAACATATCATAAGCTGATGATTTTCATCATGACAAATATTTGACAGGTTTAATGAAGAGATGATAGAGACTCTTTTTGGCTACAGTAATGTGGATAAATGCAAAGGCGAACCGAAGAAACAGTCATCATCCCAAGACCCTGCAACTCAGTTTATCCAGATAATTGACAGGAAGAAAGCACAAAATTTGTTGATTTTGTTGCGAGCCTTGAACATCTCAACGGAAGAAATTTGTGATGCACTTCATGAGGGTGATTGTCTTTTAACTTTTTTTTGTTTTTTTTTTGGTCAAGTATTCCTGATAGTATTAAATATTTTGAACTCAATATCCCTGCATTCAACCAAGAACATGCATTTATGATGCGTTTGGTTGAATCAGCTTTGCCATGAGATGGGGATTAGATACCATTCAACGGAAATGAAACAATAGCTGAAGTGAATAACACATGATAAGCTCGAAAACACGAGGGACTAAAGCTGTCTGGACTCTGGAGCGCGTAGGGATACAGCATGCATAGAGAAGCTAGACTCTGTATCGGTTAAATAATATTCACACACACACACACACACCCCCACCTCTTAGGTACTGCCCATGACCCCAAACGCGCCATTAGCATTTGCAGTCATTTTTTAGCAGTATAATTTCTGGGTGCTGGTTTTCTGTATCTCACTTGAGATCAATATTCTGGGACCGTTGCACCTTTTTTTTTTTTTTTTTAAATACACAGAAACCAAAATGATTAAATTGCCTCTTGTTCTACTTGTATGAAAGCTTTTAAACTGTCTTTGGTTGATCAGGAAATGAGCTTCCCTCAGAATTTCTGCAAACCTTGCTGAAGATGGCACCAACATCCGAGGAAGAACTTAAACTTAGACTTTTCAGTGGTGAAATGTCCCAACTTGGCCCTGCAGACCGATTCATAAAAGCTTTGGTTGACATTCCATTTGCTTTTAAACGAATGGAAGCATTGCTTTTCATGAGTACTTTTCAAGAGGATCTCACTGCTACTAAGGAGTCCTTTGCAACTTTAGAGGTAGGATATCACTCTTACCTTGTATGGACCTGTACTTACGCACTTTATGACAGAACTAATGTTAAGTAAGCTCATATCAAAATGAGATCAGTATGCTCAACATGATACCCTGAGAATCTTAGAATATTCCAATTTAAACATGCTTATGCATAAATTCAAAGCCTTGTGATAATTTATTAGCATGCAGAAGACTAAACGAAACGTGGATAGATGGGACACCATTCAAACTCCAACATACAGAATCTTTAAGCTGCTATTTCCTTATTTAGCTCTCAGACCTACTCATCGATTTTTTATTAAGATGACATTTTATCGTAATCCAGTCATGGATATTATTATATATGTCAGTTATGTATAAACTATATGATGCAGGTATTTAGTTTATCACTATATGTAGGACATGTTTAGTCTGAGCGGTATATTGTGAGAGGGGAGGAGTGATCAATTTTGACTGGATCAAAATTGACGGTCATTGGTCATGACACAAGATTAATGCAAAGCCAATAAATCACTCGTCTCAGCAAATGTGTGCATCTTTGGAGTTGACAACTATTATGCTCTGTAAACCATATTCTTTTAGTTCTATCATTTTGGAACTTCACTCAACATCTTTGCACTTACATCTTACATCTGATATTTTAGGTTGCATGTAAGGAGCTAAGAAGCAGTCGGCTGTTCCTCAAGCTTCTAGAAGCTGTTCTTAAAACCGGAAACCGAATGAATGATGGTACATATCGTGGCGGTGCACAAGCATTTAAACTTGATACGCTACTGAAATTGTCTGATGTGAAAGGAACGGATGGCAAGACCACACTCTTACACTTCGTAGTCCAAGAGATAGTCCGCTCTGAGGGCAAAAGAGCTGTTCGACTGGAAAAAGAAAACCAGGGTTCCTTTGACATCAAAAAAGATGGCTGTCTTGAGGATGTATCTGATGAAACTGAGGAACGCTATCACGATCTTGGTCTTCAGGTGGTTTCACATTTGAGCAGCGAACTAGAAAATGTTAAGAAAGCAGCGGCTATTGATGCTGACAGCTTAACGGGAACTGCTGCCAAACTTGGCCATGGCCTCCTTAAAATCAGAAATTTTGTGAACACTGACTTGAAGAGCATAGAGGAAGATAGAAAATTTTGTCAGGCGGTGAAGGCTTTTGTGCAGGATGCTGAGAATGATGTCACTAGTCTGCTGGAAAAAGAGAAGAACATCATGGCTCTGGTGAAGAGCACTGGTGATTATTTCCACGGGAAAGCTGGGAAAGATGAAGGATTGCGGTTGTTCATGATTGTACGGGACTTCTTGATGATGTTAGATAAGGTGTGCAAGGAGGTGAAAGACGCCCAGAAGAAGCAAACAAAAGCTCAAAAGCAAGAGGCGCCTAAAGCATCATCTTCCTCTGATGTTCGTTCATCACCTGATTTTCGTCAGCTGCTATTCCCAGCAATTGCAGATAGGCGGGTGAAAGACGATAGTTCAGACGAGGAGAATGAACCTTGAAGTTGTATTGGGATTATTCTTTCGCCATATTTTTTTGACATGTATTTTTGACATTTGTTTCTTCCATTATTTGTTACAGATAGATCCCCTTCATTTGTAGAATAGTACTTGCATTTGATAGCATATTGCCATCTATAGATGAGGATGTTACATGCTGCAAGATATTCAAATCTATAATTACAACACTGCAACTGACTACTGTATACATATATTTCAGATGGAAAAGTTGGGATAATTATATGGAAGAATAACTGATATTAATGACGCAATATAATCATTGAAAAAATGCTTATAAGGACAAATCACAAAACCACAGGAAACGAAATTATTCTTAAACCGACTGGACGGTAAATAACTTAGTGACTCGGGAAAAGAAAGAATATTGCCCTCAGCCGCATTACTGCCACTCTGCGGGACCGCGTGCCCAGAAAAGTTATGCGGAGGCCGCCGCTCAATACTAAATCCATCCGCTTTATAGAGCCTATTGCGACTTAATATCACTTACAAAAATTGAATTAAATATTTATAATTGATACCCAGAAATACCCTTTCTCATAATGACTCTCAAATCCTCTCCGCTAACGAGTTACGCAAATTAAAAGATAATTAATTTTAAAAAATAGCCAACAGGCAACAGGCTTAGGAGAAAGGATTCAAGGAAATTCCGTCCTCATTGGATATCCATTGTCTAAATGACGCTACTTAATAACTCGCCACAGCCATTCCATGTTTCTGAAAATGAATAGTGACAGCTCTCTTGGCTCCCAGAATTTAACATACCAAGAACACCATGTTAAATGAAAACGATATTTCAACAATTTCCGGTTCGGATATTTCAAATGGCAGTACGAATTAGACATTCAAGTCAGAGGTCGTCAGAGGAAAAACATTCACTAATTATCAGATAAGCTAAGGAACACTATATTCACATCACTAACTGAAATTTAGCTGCAACTACATATAATCCGGAGAAGAAAAACAAAGATCAAGCTCTGTTTCAAACTACAAGTTTTGAAAGGGGGAAAAGACTAATTGGACAGTCGATGTGAAAAAACAAAAATGCATATGGCCTCGCTCCAATTTAAGAATCGTCGTCGCCACCAGCGCCCTTTGAGGACGTACCGGTCTTTTTAGGAAGTAGTAAGTTGTGGATGTTGGGCATAACACCTCCATTGGCGATCGTCACATCCCCCAAGAGCTTGCTAAGCTCTTCATCGTTCCTAACCGCCAATTGAATGTGTCGTGGCACGATACGAGTTTTCTTGTTATCTCTTGCAGCGTTTCCAGCCAACTCAAGAACCTGAGAATTCATGTTTTGGAACATTATGAGCATGATACCGTAAAATTAATTAAATACCAAAAAGAAAAAACAAAATTTCAAATTTCATCCAAGTTCAAATAGATGAAATGGCTGGAAACCTTATATGATATTATAATTGGGAAACTCAATCAGATTCGAACAATTCCGAAAACCCTAGATTCAGTGACCCGGAAGCTAGCAAAATAAAATAATGTTTGGAAATCAACCGTTCGCAATGTAAATTACCTCAGCGGCGAGATATTCGAGAACAGCAGCCAGGTAAACGGGGGCTCCGGCACCGACACGCTCCGCATACTTCCCGGCCTTCAAGAACCGAGCAATACGACCAACAGGGAATTGCAGACCCGCTTTACTGCTTCGGGATGTAGCCTTCTTGGCAGCGCCAGATCCTAAGGTTTTTCCTCGACCCGCCATTGAGTAAGTAACAGTTTTGAGAAATCGATGGGCAAACAAAGAAGCCAAGGAATGAAAGACAGCCCGGTGCAGAATGCAGAGAGGGAAACAGTAGAGGAGAATCCGCGAATGATTTCAAACCGATCGCAAGGTTTATATATATAGAGTTAAATTTTAAAATAGACCAATGAGATTAGAGTACGCGGATCGAGCTTACTAACTGTCAGATTGAAAAGGAGATGAACGGTAGAGATGCGCTTGAGGTCATTCGGCTGGCGTGAGGAAAAGGTACATCGAAGACCATATTCTTTCGCGACCAATAAGAAATTGACGAAAAATTTCGCCCAAAAAAAACAAAAAAGGAAATTGACGAAAAAGCCATTACCGTCTCCGTTACTTCTGTTTTTCGGCCAAGCCCTTTTTTTTTGTTGGGTCCCCCATTTTTCTCAGAGATGAAAACTGGACCATAAAAATTTCAATTTTAATTTCAGATAAATTTTTTAAAAAAACAAAAGAAAAGAAACCAAAGAAAGAGTTTAGTGGCCCACAGTATGATGAATCAATATTTAAATTTTCATTAAAAGAGATGCTCATATTTAATGTTTGATAGTACTTTGAATAAAATTACCTTTAATAGAAAATATCTATACATACCCAAATTAAAAAAAAAAAAGAACAAAAAGAATGACACAGAATGCCCGGCAAGCACCTAGTAACAAATATTCGAATTATTTTAAATTGTAAAATGTCAGTAAAGCAACTAAAGCTGGATACTTAGGGTTTTAATTTAATATTTTAAAAGGTTTAGGTACAAAGTGCAAAAACAAATTTTGGTGCAAAGTGCAGAACAAATATTTTGGGACAAAGTGCAAAAATTTTCATGCGCAAATAATTAGATCACATTCGAGTAATTCAGGCCTAAAAGGGTCCGATCGAGTAGATCCATGACTTAGGAAGTGCATTACAAATTTTTGGGCCACACACTTATACACCCTCAGTGAATAAGATGAAGAGTTCTTGGTCAATGAAGCCCACTCATGTTTGGGCTCAATGTGTCTGGTCCCTCTAAAAGTTTTGGGCCTGTTAGCATTTTATTCACCTCCCTCAATTCAACAAGTAATGGCCATATTGTAGCAAAAAAACAAAAAAACAAATAATGGCGATAGCTGGGCCTTCTCGACAATGACAGAGCAATTCATTGCTCCTTTGGGATGCAGCACAACCAATTACCCACAAATCATTGCATACTTAACAAAAGTATTCATAAGCACGCTTTAAGTAACCAAAACTATCTTCACATACTCACCTCGTACTTCATAAAAAATATTAAAAAGTTGCTTTTAAAAAATTCTACTGTCATTCCAAACAAATACTTATTTGATGTGAAATTGTCCAGAAAGTGCAAGTAAAGTTGGGCAAAAGAATTAGGCCCTGAAAAGTTTCAGTGCATAATTACAAGGCAGAGTCCATATCATATCACGCACACTCAACACAATATTGAGGATGTGAGTAGAGAGGAATTAATACAGGCGACAGAGGATAGATGTTACCCCTCAGAGAATATGCGGATAAGATATTTTCAAGAAAATGCCATCACACGTTTCCATCTCTCACGTTCTCAACCCCAGAGGTTAATACACTCCAAAATCATGGAAACCCAACACTTGATTTCAAAAGGGGAACTAACTCCACCAGATCGCTCCTTTTATTTTTTGGACTCGTTATTAGGCTTAGCTTTGGAACAATGAGAGAATTTTCGGGGCATATATGATGTGCATAATATTACTTGACAATATATATTATTGTTCATAATAAGAACTTTCATTTAAAGTTGCTTAGGGGTTTGCTTTTTGATGCATGCGGCTTATCAGTAACCTCAGGGGGCAATGTTTGGTGCAATCCATGTTACAGCAACACGACATATAAGCCCCACCTCCTCAAAAAGCTAACATGATTCAAAACACAACAGACAACAATGCCGAAACAAACAATATATAGCCCAAACACACCCCTACAGATTTCATTAACTAATAAATTAAATTAAAGATAAGATACAAGATATTTGAATAAGTAGTGCTCATAGTTTTTTGACTCAAAAGTTTGAGTTGTACTATATAGTTACATAGTTTGCCAGAAGGTAAAGAAATAGCAGTGCTTTGGAAAGAGGGGGACAGCATAGACGATGATCGCCAAAAATAAATGCAATGGTCAAAGCTAATAATGAGAATGAGAGCTCGATGTTCATGTTTTTATTGGGATCTCTGTATTTTTCAAGTGTGGGTTCATAATGATTCCCGAATTAAAGGCAGGCGGGGATAGTGGTAGGGCACCTTTCCAGGATATCTCCCTCGGACCAGAAGAAAATCAGTTACAAATAATTATACTAACCATAACAAAGGAATTAAACAAGCTAATCATAAAATGGCATGCTCTAAGTCCTCACCCTCCATGTGCCCACTTTCCTCTTTCTTTTTATTAATTTTTTTTTTCATAAACACAATCTGGTTCTGGATACTATCAAATACTTAATATGAATATCCCTTATAATATAATAGAAATTCAAATATTAATTTACTAACCCATTCTATAAGAGTCAATTTTTGTTGGTTTCCTTGTTTCCAGCTTATTATTCACCGCAACTTCATACCATCGCTCATCATTTCACCGCAATCAAAATTCAAAACCACTAAATGTACAAAAGAATTATTGGTTATGAAAGAAGGGAAGTAAGAGGCCTGTTGAGAATCATATTGAACAATGAACTGACACATTTTGATGGTCATATATAACATCCAGTGTCCGGCTGTCTCGCATTATGCTGCAAAATCCAAACATTGTTCAAATTTCGGGCCAAGAGGAAAAAAAAAATGCTACCTTTTTATAAAGTTGTTGTACGGGTGGAGCTGTACATGCCCCAGTTTGCATATTGTACTGTGTTATTCAGCACCCAAAACAAAACACAACTCAAACGTTGAGGACAAAATGTATATTCTGCCATTCTGATTATATAATTTTTCCCCACGGTCTATATATTTTATTTTTGAGCAAAGCTGTATTGTAATCTATTTTATTCCTCGATCTACAGGCGTGCGTGGTCCTCCCAAGTTTGAACTCAACTACATGTGCTTTTGTGCCAAAATATACCTATCAAAGATTTGTCATATTCATAAGGTAAACTGTATAACAACGGGAGATCCGAATTTCTTAATCATTAGTCAAGTTATGGAGGAATCTTTTTGTTTTCAAAATTTAGAAGACAAATATTATCGCTTACTCAGACTTGGTTGAAGTTTGAACTTCTTATTCTTATGTTTTTTATGTACAAATGTGATCATTTGAAGAGACTAATGATTCTGTTATTATTAACTACAAATAAGAAAGGCTGGAACTTGGAAAAATAAGGAGATAAGGATTTGTACTTTGTTGAGTTGGGAAAAATGGATTTTGTATAAATTTGGCTCTTTGATCAGGGTGTGGGTACGAGTCATTTAATAGGCAGGACAATACAACAGCGCCACTGAACACGGATTTGTCAAGGTTCGTTGTCATCTTCTCCAAGTCCAAGCTCCAAAGATTCTTCATTTTTTCGAGCAAAACAGTCATCCACTTCCTGTGGATTTCATTTCAGCCTCCTTCTCTCCCAGCAGTTTTTGCTGTCGCAGCACCGGCATTCACAATCCTATTTATGGTGACATTTGTAACTCGAAAGCTCTCGAGGTGTCTGATGTAAATTTTCGTTACATTGACAACTGTTTGATTTGGTTTCGTGAAGGAATTTTCCGGGAAAGGGGAGTGTTTTGCCTAAAGCAGAAAGTGAAATTTCATAGTAGATAGTGCTGGTATCTTTCCTTCCATCTTTCTATCTGCTTTCATCGAATGAAAAGGGAAAGATGGCGAAAGGAAACAAGGTGCCTTCTTTTGCGTATGGAGTGAAATGGAGCTGCTCTTAAGCTTGGGACTCCAATTGAAGGATCACTGCCAAGAAAAAAAGAGAAGCTTTAGGGATATAATATGCCAACAGTTTGGTTCTCTCTCAAGAGGTCTCTACACTGCAAATCAGAGCCATCAGAAGTTCATGACCCGAAATCTAGAAAGCATTTGAGCACAATCTTAACGAAAAGGGCTGGTAGGTCTGGGTGCTCGAGGAGCATAGCAAATCTCAAAGATGTAATCCATGGAAGCAAGAGGCATCTCGAGAAGCCACCAAGTTGCAGTCCAAGATCCATTGGGAGCAGTGAGTTTCTCAACCCAATAACCCACGAAGTGATTTTAAGTAACTCAAGGTGTGAGCTCAAAATCACTGGTTTTGGTGGATTCCAAGATGGGGTTAGCGGCGGCGGCGGCGGCGCTGCTAACGGCGGTGGAGGCGGAGGCGGAGGCGGTGGTAATAATGGTGGTGGTGGTGGTGGTTCTACCTTTGTGGGTACTTTACGGCCTGGGACTCCGGGACCCGGAGGACACCCTACAATGCACTACTTTAATCCTTCTTTTAGGACATCAACCACTCCTCCAAGGAAATCTCCGAGTCCTTTTGTTACATCAGAAAAAGAAGGGTCTGCATTGCATGGTGGTGGGGGGCTTCATTCTAGCAATAGGATGTCTCTTGAGACTGATTCTAATGGCTGTTCCACTGTCACTTGTCACAAATGCGGAGAGCAATTTACGAAATGGGAAGCTGCTGAAACTCATCATCTCTCCAAGCATGCTGGTAACACTAAACTTGCTTCTCAGTTTTCTGGTTTTATGCTTGCTACGTTTTTCATGGTTTTCTTTCAATGTTTCAAATCTGAGCCACCTTTTATATTTGTAGCTTTATCAGATTAGTCTTCTGTGTTCTGACCACAAACTTTCCAGCCCCCTTCTATTATCTGACTCAGGGATTTTTAAGTGAAGAATCTTTCAGCGTCGCTTTAACTTTTTCAGCTTTGGGACGAGCCAGCTGATTTTCCTTTTTCCTTACTTTTTGATTTTTGATTTGTAGCCACTTTATCTTTCATAAGTCGAGGAGAAATAACCTATCTTTCCCTCTTTCTTCAGCACTGCTTCTTTTCAATTGCGCAACCAACATGCGGTATGGTTTTCAGTTTCACATTCTCATGTTTGATTTCATCTAACTTGTACTGGTTTTTATTTTTCAGTTACTGAGCTTGTGGAAGGCGATTCATCGAGAAAGATAGTGGAGATAATATGCAGGACGAGCTGGTTAAAGTCCGAGAATCACTGTGGCCGAATAGAGAGAGTGTTGAAGGTCCACAACATGCAAAAGACTCTGGCTCGATTCGAAGAGTACAGAGAGATGGTAAAAATCAAAGCTAGCAAACTCCCAAAGAAACATCCTCGGTGTCTTGCTGATGGGAACGAGCTTTTGAGGTTCTATGGCACGACGGTGTCCTGCAATCTTGGTCTCAACGGCTCATCCAGCCTATGCCTCTCAGAAAAATGCTGTGTTTGTCGAATTATCAGAAATGGGTTTTCTGCAAAGAAGGAGCTCAAGGGTGGAATAGGAGTTTTTACAACTTCCACAAGCGGAAGAGCATTTGAATGTATTGAGATCCTTGATGATGACATTTCAATCAGAAAAGCACTCATTGTTTGCAGAGTAATAGCTGGCAGAGTTCATAGGCCACTCGAGAACATACAAGAAATGGCAGGGCAAACAGGTTTTGATTCTTTGGCCGGCAAAGTTGGTCTCTATTCAAACATAGAGGAGCTTTATTTGCTCAATCCTAAAGCCCTTCTTCCTTGCTTTGTCGTAATCTGCAAGCCCTGAAGTGAAAATGCAGTGCACATTAATTACCCAGTTTTAATGAAAATCCCCTGTTTTGGCCTTTCCATGGAGGTTCTCCGCGCTCCATCTTTTGGAAAGATTAGATTTTTACTGTTCATGTAACTTGTCGTCTTCTTGTTTATTTTATGAACAATTTAAACGGTGCTGATTTTTTCACCTACACAAGGTAGTTAGTAAAATTGTATAATGGTACCAATGCAAGTTATCTTCTTGAATTTCAGGGTTAATGACCCTAGTTGGTGCCCACAGGTTATAACTTTTATGTGAGACGACTTGGTCATTGGAATGAGTAAATTTAGTAGGGTCATATTTCGAATATTGAATTGGAATAATTAAATAGAGCTAGTTGTTGGAGCATTGAATTGGGGGTGCAGTCTAGGAAGAAGCTATAAGACTGTTGGTTTAATTTAATGCGATCGAAGATTAGATTCCGTTTTCATATCTCATCAGCTCAGTGGAGGATTAAATGAACCATAACCCCATTGGCCATTAATACTGGTCGATCGCTTAAGATTATAAGGGGGTGTTTGAAAAACCTATAATTAAAAATATTTACGTTGTATGGGATAAAACTCCTCTATATACTTTGTACAGCATGAGATACTGAGTTCACATGGCGAGCCTCACCTTATAATGGTCTTTAAGTGCCAATATTATACAGTATAAGAACTAGGGTAGGTCAAGCTTAAAAATGTGAAGCAGATAAAGAACAGGTGAAAAATAATGGTCATAATTTTACTAAAATAATACAAGTTAAACAGACCCAAATGTTTCATCATTTGGACCCCGCCTTAAACAGTAAGAACCCCCAGCCCCACAAGGCCACAACCCAGTGAGAATGGGACCAAAAGTATGACTCTCCAGGGCGCGTGGTCCATTCTAGAAGATTATGGTTCGTGTTCAAAGAGGTTGATGCATTCACACGTTGACAGTCCAGGCATAAGTTGTTTGTCTCTTCTTTCCCCTTTGTCTTGTGCTGTAAATGCTTTAAATGCTTTGTTACTCTTCAGTTCTCATTTCCCCTTCTTTAAAGCTAATAGACCAACCTGATGTAAGAGCAGTAACCTTTAAAGTCAGATAATCATGTATTTGGGTACAATCATACAGAAACAAGCTTATGGATAATTTTACAAGTCCGGTTTTGAGGGGTTTTTAACTCTGGAGGTGGAGGGCATGTTGCTGACATGAGTTGGTGTGAATTCAACTGTAACGTCTGTACAGTTTTCAATGCTTCATGGCAATGGCACATGCCCCTCATAAATGAGTACTAACGCCCCTCATAATGTTTCCCCTGCATTGAGAATGGAGGCAATTGATCACTCTTCTTTGGATATTTCAAAATTTGAAGAAAGTTTGGTGGGTGGGTTCTTTCTTCAATTAACCTGCAACAAGTTTAATAGACTACAATTAGGACCAGAGGGAGTAACTGCTACTTAGCCATGAGAAGGCTTGCGTTAATGTTGGAAATTCTGAGAGTTTATGAACCATTTGGGACTCTCTCTTAAATGCTTGATGCGGACATGACCAGACCAGTTTGCTGAAAGCTGTGTCAGAGAGAAAGATGGGAAAAGGAAAATTAATTAATGAAGGAAGGATTGAGACGTCACTGATAGCAATGGTTAAAAAAAGCTGTCGAAGAATGGTATGCTTTTTCTATAACAAAACTTAGCCAGCTTAACCTTTCTCCTTTCTGTCCCTGTATCTACCCTCGCCATCATAACTTGTATCCCATGGATGGTGATGTTTGTGATAACTGAAGATTTCTGATTTGGAAAAAAAAAAAAAATCAAAAAGTATCTTAAACCAGAATACTGATCATGCTTGAAATTGTAAACTCGGGATGATGCAGTAGGTTACCTAAAGACTAAAGTCCTAATTTCCCCAATTACTTCCATCGGTAATTTTCATACAACATTTATCCCTTCTAAAAAACAAATCCTTGTTCTCAATCTCAAGGAATCGGAACAAAGTTACTCATTATATGGGAATTAATAATGATAATGACAATAAAGCAGAAACCCAAGTTTTTGATGTTTTTGAATGGGCCCCTCTGTTTTAATGGTGGCCCTCCACCAAGGTATAGTGTTTAAGGTCCAATTGGGTGGTGCTGAGCCATAGTTTTCGCGGTCCAGAGGCCCGTTTTATTGGTCCACAGCCGCCAGCCGAAATGTCATATGCCCCCCGCTACTGTTCTTAGTGCTCTCATGGGGACGCATCTTCTGCATCCACCCCACTTTTGGATACTTCAGATCTCACTCTCTTTTTTTCCTTTTTATATATTTTGAAGTGAAAAATATTATTTTTTACACAAGTTAATAGCTATAAGATTAATAATATGTTTGCTCGTTTAAGAAAAAAATAACGTTAATTATTTATGAAAAAAAAAATTCGATTGGTGCATCCTTTTTTTCGCGCTTTCTATATAAGACGTGCATTAGATCAAGAATTTGTTAGTGGAATATAATAATGATAGAAAGGCAAATGAATTCCGTTCTTTATTGATGAATATGCAGCAAATATATAGCAGTACACTTACTTGAAGAGCACAAATAAATCTCTGAAAATAAACTGAATATAAATAATAAATAAAAGAGAGTGGGAGAGTAGGGATATCGGATTACATGGGATTGGTTTTGACTCATTCAAACTGATAATAAAATAATTAAATAATTGACTCTGAAAATAATTGAAGCATCAATCAACACTCCCCCTTGCTTCAAAGCTGCAAACACCCATCTGCGATATGAAATCTTCAACTTTGCCAATAGAGAGTGACTTGGTCATTATATATGCAACTTGCTCAGTTGTTCTACAATATTTCAATGTAATAGTGCCATCCGCTACAAGATCACGAATGAAGTGGTGCCGGATATCAATATGCTTCATTCTACCATGAAAAGCTGCATTCTTTGTCATCACAATGGCTAATTTGTTGTCACAATAAATCTCTGTTGCATCTTGTTGTGGTTGAAGAAAATCTGCCAATAATCTTCTAAGTCACACAGCTTGACAGGCTGCTGAAGTTATTGCTGCATACTCTGCTTCAGATGAAGATAGAGCTACAGTATCTTGCTTCTTTGAGCTCCATGATATAGCACCTGAGCCAAGGGTAAAGACATACCCAGAAGTGCTCCTTCTATCATCAATTGAACCTGCCCAATCACTATCAGAAAAGCTAAATAGTTTGAAACTTGATACCTTAGAGTACCAAATTCCAAAATCAATAGTGCCTGCAACATAAAGCATGATCCTCTTTACAGTTCCAAGATGGTGTTTTGTGGGATGATGCATGAACCTGGAAACAAGACTCACAGAATGTGCAATGTCAGGTCTTGTATTACATAAATAATTCAAGCCACCTACCATACTCCTATACCACCTTTCATTCGCAGGTCTAGTACCATCTTCAGCTCTTAATTTTTCATTCACATTCATAGGAGAATGTGCCGTTTTACAGCCCAACATATGACATCGTTTGAGTAGATCTAGAGCATATTTTCTTTGAGAAATAAAAATACCATCAACACTTTGCTTCACTTCTAAACCAAGAAAATAATGCAATAATCCCAAATCTGACATCTCAAACTTCTGCATCATACTTGACTTAAAATCAACAATCACTTTCTCAGAAGATCCCATATAAATCATATCATCAACATAGAGGCATACCACTATAAAATCAGACTCACCATGCTGTTTCAAGTAAAGAGTGGGCTCATTATCACTCCTTTTAAATCCGTTTTCACGAAAATAGGAGTCAATTTTATGATACCATGCACGTGGGGCTTGTTTAAGGCCATACAAAGCCTTTTTCAGCTTATAAACCTTACTTTCTTGACCACTAACAACAAAACCTTCAGGTTGGGAAACATACACTTCCTCTTTCAATTCACCATTCAGGAAAGCAGATTTAACATCAAATTGAAACACAGGCCATTTAAGTTGAGCAGCAAAAGATAGAAAAAGTCTCACCGTTTCAAAACGAGCTACAGGAGAGAAGGTTTCATTGAAATCAATACCTTGCTGTTGAGCATAACCTTTTACTACTAACCGTGCTTTGTGTTTTTGCACACTATTATCAGCATTATACTTTGTTCGAAAAACCCATTTAAGCCCAATTGGCTTCTTGCCTTCAGGAAGATCAACTGGCTCCCACGTATCATTTTTCTTGATACAATTCATCTCTTCAATCATTGCATTTCTCCAAACTTGCTCTTTTTCAGCATCCACATAAGACTCAGGATCTGAGACAAAAAGAGCATAATTACATGATTCATAAATGTCAATCAAAGATCGAACCTTTCTAGGAGGAGCTTCACTTGAGGAGCTAGTGAATGAACTTGCTGGTGAAGATGTAATTCTGTCAGCACTAGAAGGTGATGACTGTGGTGTTTGTGAGCTACTACCACCTGATGTAGATAACTCTAAACCTGTTTGATTTGGTTCAGAGTTTCCTGCTTCAAAACTTATTGGAACAGAAACAGATTTTTCATTTAACTTGCTACTCCAATTCCAACTAACTTCTTCATGAAAAACAACATCCCTTCTGATAATTATCTTGCCACTAACTAGATTATACAGCCTATAAGCTTTGGATTGCAGGCTATAACCAACAAAAATGCATTTTTCAGATTTTTTATCAAGTTTTTGACGAGATGATTTTACCAAAGTATAGGCTATACAACCAAAAACTTTTAAGTGGCTTACTCGGGGCTTTACAACTCTCCATGCTTCATAAGGTGTCATGTTAGGGACTGCTTTTGTAGGAGAAAGATTAAGCAGATACACTGCTGTAGCTACTGCTTCTGCCTAGAACTGATTTGGAAGCTCTCTGGCTTTCATCATGCTTCTAGCCATTTCAACCACAGTTCGATTCTTCCGTTCTGCAATGCCATTTTGCTCTGGCGTATGTGGTGAAGTGAGCTCCCTGTGAATGCCATTTTCTTCACAAAAGCTAGCAAATTCATTAGAACAAAATTCTCCTCCTCTATCAGTACGCAAAATCTTTATGCAACAGTCACTTTGCTTCTCTACAAGAACTTTAAATTTCTTGAAATTTTCAAATGCTTCAGATTTTAATTTCAAGAAATAGACCTAGCACATTCTGCTATAATCATCAGTAAACAACAGAAAATACCAACTGCCATTCAAAGACTCAGTATTCATTGGTCCACATAAATCTGCATGTATCAATTCAAGACATTGAGAAGCCCTCCAAGACTTCCCTACAGGAAAGGACTTTTTACTCTGTTTTCCCAAAACACAGCCTTCACAAAAATCAATAGCATCAATAATTGGCAGCCCAAAAACCATATCCTTTTTACTCAACAATTGCAACCCATTAAGATGCAAATGACCATATCGTAAATGCCACAAATCAGAACTACTAACTTCTTTAACAGCCAAAACTCTTTTTTCAACAGAAGAAATGTCAAGCGGAAACATTCTATTTTTAGTCATGGGAACTTTTGCAATTGTTTGACCAGACTTCTTATCAAAAACATCACAACAGAAATCATCAAATGTGACTCTAAAGCCATTTTCCATCATTTGTCCCACACTCAATAAATTATTAGCCAAACTAGGCACAAGCAAAACATCATTCAACAACTTCTTTTTACCATGGTCATTATGAATAGCAATCATACCTCTACCTCCGACTTGAACTTGCTTATCATCACCAAGTCGAACATCAGATTTGTGTGATTCATCTAGCTCTTCAAACAGTGAACGTGAGCTAGTCATATAATTGGAGCACCCGCTATCAATAAACCATATATCTTTTGAAGATTGAGTGTTTGGGAAATGTGCCATAAACAAGGTCTCTCCCTCTGTCTCTTCAAAGTCAGCATGTTTTTTTTCACCTCTCTGCTTTGCCCAACAGTCTACCTCCTTATGCCCAAGTTTCTTGCACCAATGACATTGAATAGAGCTTTTATGAGAAGCTCCAGATTGCTGCTTTGGCTCATTCAATTGACCGCGGCCTCTGCCATTACCACGGCCTCTGCCTCTACCTCTTCCACGAAAACCACCTCTACCGTTTCCTCTCCCTGCAGACTCCCCCTTCACCTGAAAAGCCTGCTCTTCATTTTTCTCTTGAAATTGATTCATCCTGTCCTCATGAGCTTGCAAGGAACTCATTAATTCATCAAAAGAATACGTAGACATATCATGTGCCTCCTCAATTGCAGCAACAATAAAATTAAAACGAGGAGTAAGAGTGTGCAGAATTTTTGCAACAATTATTTCATCAGCAATTTTTTCACCATAAGACCTCATCTTATTAACCACAGAACTAGCTCTAGATAAGTAATCTTGTACAGACTCACTCTTTTGCATTCAAAGATTCTCAAATTCCCGACGAAGTGATTGGAGTTTTACAGAGATTACCTTATCAGAGCCCTGAAACTCAGTCTTTAAAATCTGCCATGCCTTTTTAGCCGTTCCGCAGATGCGATTCTGGAAAAGAGATTATCGTGCACGGCTTGTTGGAGGAAAAATAAAGCTTTTGCATCTCGCTTTCTATTTTCCTTCAGTCGTTGTTGGTCCGTATCATGGTCGGCAAAACCATCCTCAACCAAATCCCATAAGTCTTGAGAACGGAAAAGGGTCTTCATTCGAATAGACCAGAACTCATATTTGTCACCGTTGAATATAGGAATCAACGGTTGAGAAGATGTATGACCCATTGGATGCACCGTTTGCTGCCATGGTCACTTTTACAATGAACAGAGTTGCTTAAGCGGAAGACGACGCCTCTTGTGGTAAGAAGGAGAAGCTGCAATGCTTCGGTCACGTTCAGAACAAAACAGAAAGGATGCTGGTTACTGGTTTTCACTCACTCACGGGAAATGATATTTCACTCTCTCACGGGAAGGGAATATCACTCATGCACTGTGTCGCTCTCACACAAAAGAAAAAAATGAAGCTGCGATGCTCTCTCTCTCAAGTGGAAGGGAACGCACCAGGCTCGGATACCACTTTTGTTAGTGAATATAATAATGATAGAAAGGCAGATGAATTCCGTTCTTTATTGATGAATATGCAGCAAATATATAGCGTACACTTACTTGAAGAGCACGAATAAATCTTTGAAAATAAACTGAATATAAATAATAAATAAAAGAGAGTGGGAGAGTGGGGATATCGGAATTACATGGATTGGTTTTGACTCATTCAAACTGATAATAAAATAATTAAATAATTGACTCTGAAAATAATTGAAGCATCAATCAACAGAATTCACCCTAATGCGATTCAGATGAGAGTTATGATTGATGATGGCATAATCGAATTCATGCAACTACGCAGGATCTCTTCCTCTCACACACACACGAACCAAACGCAAAAGGAGGAATTATATTGTTAATACGAAGGAAGGGACTTTCACTTTTGGACGTGGAAAATCACACAAAAGTTAGATTCTTTTAGAATTTTACGCTAGCATTCGTCGATATGCCTTGGAGGATCAGGATGTAAATAGCTTAAAGTTAAACACATACACAGCCATATTAATTGTAAAAGCTTTGTTTGAGATGGCATTAAAATCACTTATAAGTATGTTTTATATAAGTCAAGACAAAACACCTCACATATTAACCTCGTATTTTATAAGTTATGATTGAAAAATTACTTATAAACTATTTCAAACATGTTCGAATCAATAAATGATCTTCAAAGCCACGCCTGTAACTAAAACAACCTTTCGGCTTTTTTCCGTGGACTGTTAGAAGCGGCTTTGCTGAGATTTTTTATAGTGTAATCATGGACTTCTATGTAAAAAATTTTCGGTGAAAACAATATTACAATATACAAAGTAAGCATGTAAAATAAGTTTTACATAAAAGCACTTTAAACATTCATCCAAACAGCCCCTGAATAGAACATATTTCAAGTTTGTTAGAGAAATACATACGCTTTTAACAAGGCTAATCATTACGTCTGCATATTTGAGCAAAATTACTGTTTAGTATGGATTGCAGAAACTTGGTGGAGAGTGCATAATAGAAGCAGAGGAAACCAATCATAAGATCTTTTACAATTGACCGTAGTAATGAATAATGAATCATAAGATCTTTTTCAGAGGTACAGGCATCAACAATTTCTCATAAGGAGGTCAATTAAAAAAAAAAAGTCAACTGATATAAACAAATTAATCTCCACTCAGGTTGCTTGTATATGGAAATGAACATTTAGAACAAAAATATACACTAAATACCAAACAGTGTAAGTACATCCAGAGTTACATTACTGGCGAAGGCATGAACTCAACCACTCAATTAAGAAGCAGCAGCTTCTTCATTTTTCTGTTTCGCCTCCTTCAATTTCTTCCAATTCTCTGCACTATCAATTATCTCTCCAGTTTTTATTAGGTAACGGACTCTCTGTCCATTTTCAAGAATCTTGTGGCCCACGCGACTCGGCACGTTCTGTTCTTTAGAGTATAGCATCACATTTGAGCTGTGGATGGGACCTTCGATCTGGGAAAAAGTATAAAATACTTGCCAGAATTAGCATAAAGATAATATATATTCAATTCAAATTCATGCAGGTTCTTTGTTTATTAAGCCAAGCTTTGGGACAGCCCAGTTAAACGACAGATCAGAGGATTTAAACGTCCGCAAAGTCTCAGGTGATAATTATTACGTACACTTGGGAACAAATTAAGCAAATGAAGATCGTCCATGCATTGAATTTGCCCTATAAATGCGCATCCAATCTTTCCAGAATATACAAAGGTAAAGAGGGAACGAACACTAATTTCATCATTTCAGGCAAGGATGATGGAAACTACCTTGATGATTTGCCCTGGTTCACCCTCTTCTCTGCTCTTCATATGCTTTGTCTTCAAATTTGTGTCTTTCACTATGACGGTGCTGTTATGCTTGAAGATCTTAGTAATCTCTCCAATTTTACCCTTTTCACGTCCAGATATTACTTTCACTGTATCCCCAACTTTAACATGCATTTTATGCAATATAGGAAGGCTATTTGGTTTACATTCCTTTCGCTCCCATCGCTTAAGCTGTCAGCAGAGAAACAGGGAATATTACACACCATATGAGGATATTAGAAAATATTTTGTTATCGTATTGGAATAATTTTAGTGCCTCCAAGAAATAACAAACAGCTAATAACTGCAGCAGCCCATTGTCAGATCTCATCTCATAAATAATGTTCATTCTATTTCACTTTCCTTAATATTTCTTTCCACTTTGTTTTCCAACAGAAGAGAATCTGAAACTAACCCGCATCACAATGAGGCATGGCTTCTCCGTTGACTTGCCCTGCATGAAAATACAAATGATGTCAAATTAGTCTTCCGAACATGGATATGCATTACGCGTGAATGCAACGTTAGTTACGATCTTTAATGACATAGATTTTTCAGGGATGATTTTGAATGCCACAATGAAATTTAAAACTACTGAGTAATCAGATTGGTATTTGACAATTTCCAGTACTTGCAAACATACAACTTTCGCATGCTGTCATCTCTTCTCTTAAAGAGATAAGAAATCAAAAGTAGCAGAAGAAAACCATGAATTAGTAGTCAATAGTTCCTGCAAGTCCAAATTTTCCGGGGCCTATACAAGCAAGCATTTCCTGGCAGTTCCTACATTTCAAATGCACGGATATCCGAAACCAAATTGGAAAAGTACAAGGCTTTACTTTTCCCTCGAGAAATGAAAAATCCTCTATCCTTTCTGAACAAAACCATTTATCTCATCTTAACCTCTATATCAGGATTGTTAATTGCAGTCCAGGACCCAGAAACAAATGGGAATATAGAGCCCTAATATAACAAATTCACGTCAAACACATCAATTTTTCCTTTAAATGGAGATACTAATTTGACCAAAATAACAATGTATTCCAACACATAAATATTGAAACTTGAATACTAGTTGTACTACAAACAAAGATAGCTTCACCAATCTTCAGATAACCGAGTACGAGAGCATACAATGTAAACATCGCACCCCCTAATCATACAAGAAACACAAGGTATATTATAATTCGTGAAAGACACAGTTCACGCCATCGACAATTTCCCAAGGGGAGTCCCGAAAGAAATCGGCAGCAACAACCAATTACCACAAGCATAGCTGCTCCCTAATGTGAAAGACCATCAAAAGATAACTAGAAAACAGCGCTATAGTTGACGAGAGTGAAAGTTAAAGGAAAAAAGTGATTGAGTTCCACTAAAGGGAGATGGCTGGGAATAGAGTATTGTAACGTACCGGAACGGGCAGAGAGTGATGGGGGAGAGGCGTTGCCCCATGAAACTGTTGGAGGAAAGGGAGAGAGAGGTGAAGGAGCTCTGAAGAGCAGCCATGGCAGCCATTTTTGCCTGCTTCCCCAGCTACTGCGACTGTGGCTTGAAGCTGTTCTTTACTTCTTTCTTTCTGCTTCCGATGATAATGGATAATCTCGTAATCCGCAAGGGAGATCTGCAAGAGAAAACTCGATACGACGGCGTTGCCGAGGAGGGCCTGCTCTTGCAACAATTGCAGGCCGCATGTGGGCCAAATTGGCCCAATCCAATCCCCATCCCCGACCTTTTTTTCGCTTTGGTTATTTGTTTTTATTTTTCCATCAAAAGATAAGTTAATACTCATCTATTTCTTAATATAAAGCCTATTTAATTAATTTTATTAAATTAAAAATTTTAGATAAATTAGTTAATTATAAAAAATATGACATGTTTTTTTTAAAATACTATTATCATCTTTCTTAATATCCTTTCCTCCCTCTTCTATTTGAAGATGGTTGAAAGAGTATCCATGAGGTAATTAAGAAAAAATTGATAATATAAAAAATTTTTTATATTTAGACAAAAATTAACTCAATAATTATGTTCTATATTAAGAACCGGAGGAGTATAACTTGATGCTTTTAAAGTTAATTACTACTATATTATAAAACATTTTTATTGATCATATTTATGATCTTTTAACAAAATGCGCTCCTTCTCAACTCTCAAGGTCAAGCCATAAAAGTTCCGTCCTTGATTAAAAGGATTTTTAGCCCCCCAATCCTGTTGTGATTATGTTTTCGTGATGTCTGCTTGCTTATTAATTTAAATTTGTGTAAGGAAAGTGATACGCTTTGTCATTTTAAAATTTAACAAAAACAAATAAACAATTTTCTTAATCGATATTTATATATAATGCAAAAAGGTTTCTTTTAGAAGGAAATTTTAAAGGTTTTGTTTTAATAGAGAAGAAACATTACGGAAGGCAGTAGATATTTCTAAATTAAAAAAAAACATTTTAGGTGTTAAGTAATTTTACAAAGCCTAAAAGGAATTTGCACAATCAACTCCACCACTCTGGATTGATGCAGAAGCAACCATGGAAAGGGAAATCAGAATATGAGGTATGGCCATCTGGTGGGCCCGGAACCTTTCTTCCATCCACCCCCCTCCCTACCTTTTCACTTGCACTCATGAAGTAATATACAAATTCCAGGATGTAGGAACAACTGAAAAGGAGATAAAAGAAACAAAATTCACAAAAAAAACATGTTACAAACAGGAAATTGCAGATGATAATGCCAGGCATTATCAAGACTCTCATGGAAAACCAAAATCAGACTCACCTAGGACATTATATATATAACAGAAAAACCCAAAACTGAGAAGAAGTTAAGAGCAATGTTATTCTACACTTCATAGGTGTCAGCTGCACTGTCCATAGATTCTTCTCTGCGATGAATCCTTGCTTCAGCCTGATCCACATCAATGCACACTTCATCTGCCCTGCGACGGTTTTTAGATTTTCTGGTTTTAAGGATCCTCGTGAGTACTTGAACCACGTCTCTCATGGAAGGTCGCTTCCTTGGTGCCCGGTTTATGCATTTGTATGCGAGCCCCGCTACTTCATTCAGCTCCTCTGCATCATATTCCCCTTCTAATGCAGAGTCCACTATCTCCTCCCACCCCATTTTCCCCTCACTGTTCATTGAAGCCTGTCCTCATCCATTAACACCCTCCATTACCCTCAGAAATAAAGATTTATATATATATATATAGAGAGAGAGAGAGAGAGAGGGTGAGTGATCTTACTAGCTCAACTAATTCCATAAGACCTTGTTGAGGATTTCTGGCTGCTATGAGTTCAAAAAGCAAAACTCCATAACTGTACACGTCACTTTTCTTGGTGAATGTTCCTGAGGATATGTACTCTGGGTCTAGATACCCAAAAGTGCCCCGGATGGCTGCGTGCTTGTCCACCTTCTCTTCTCTTGAGAGTCCAAAATCAGCAACCTGCTCCATTCATTCGTCAGAATTAGAAGCACAGAATTTCACATAAGAGAAACGCACGTAGTAGTTTACAAGCAGACTTACCCTGGCTCTCATGGACTGGTCTAGCAAAATGTTTGAGGACTTGATATCTCGGTGGATTACCGGAGGAACTGCCTGAAGTCACATCACATGGAATTATGAAGAGTTATATAACAAAATGCACGGATTAATGCAGCTCAATCAGTGGGGAATAATGGACCTACCCCATCATGAAGATACTCCAAGCCTCTCGCTATATCTAGAGCAATGTGAACTCTCAAATCCCAGCTCATTGCTCCGTTCTCCTTACCTGGATATAGATTCAAGAATAGTGCATTGAAGCTTCCTTCTTTTCCTTTTTTCACTTTCTTGAACTGATAAAATATGAAGCACAAAATGGGTTAGGAGGATAACGTACTGTACAGGTGGGAAGCCAAGCTGCCTTTGCTCATATAGACATATACAAGCATATGTTGTCCCTTCTCTGCGCAATATCCAACCAAATTAACAAGGTTCCTATGATGCAGCCTTCCCAACAACATAACCTGACGATCATTCATTCAACAACATACAGAAAAGTAGGCCATGTGAGAACCTCACAAAAGGCTGCTTTTTTGGTGGAGGGCGACCTGCGAAGTAAATAGAAGTTAATGGTAATTAACCCCACCTCTGTATGGAATTCTCTTTCTCCTTGCTTAGAATTAGTTGCAAGAACTTTAACTGCAACGGTCTCGCCAGTGGACATGTGAGCTTTATAAACGGGACCAAATGCACCTTGTCCTATAAGTGTTGTAAAATTACAGGTCGCCTTCTGCAAATCCCTGAAGTGAAAATGAGGAAACAATTAACGAGAAACATCAAAATCCCAGAAGTGCCGGATCAACTATTTCATGCTCTAGACAAGACAGGTGCGGGATTAATTCTTCTTGGTATGAGAAATACGAGGAACATGATGCAAAAACCTTGTAAGAAACACATACTTGTAAGGATACTCTGGTATTCCAGAAGCTGAAACGACGTTGTTTCTCTTGAAGCCATCAAACCAGAAGGACATGCCATTTCGTCCCGACTTAACAGGAGATTCTGGGCCTAAGGTTGAGTCCGATAGAACGGTACAAGAATCAGCTCCATTTGTACGGATGGGTATCGTAGCCGCCCTCCGTGAACTGCTACTCCCAATCTGCGATCGCTTCCTATGGTATCTGACACAGAAAAGTGCAGAAATAGCCAAAACGACACCAATAACTACGCCAATAGAAATCCCAATGATCAGTCCGGTTGATTCCTCCCTCATCTCCTCTTTCTCGCGTTTTGCTTTTGATTTGACTGCTTATTCCTTATTGATAATCCCATCCATTCACACACCTGCCAAAAGGCATATCATTTATCAGACATAGCACAAGGTGCGAAATATTTAGCTTTCCGTGGTGCTTGGTTTATTGAATTGAATATTAAGCGGTCAACTGTAGACGATTGCTTTGGTTTGGGGTCCGCTTTTCATGAGCCATTCAAAGAGCTTATATGCCTCAACATGAGAAAATGTGCTCAGAAGAACTATACGGCATTCATACTATAAAAGTCTCGGGTTGAAAATTTTGACTGCAAATATGTGTTCCTATGTTGAACACTAAACAAATCAGATACGAATGATTCAGCGTGACTATTCCATGCCTATTCAAAAGTCAATCCCATTGAAATCACATATATACAAGAGAACAAAGGATTTCTCTGCAAAGATCTCGAGACAGGAATTTATCAGAATGGGCAGAACGAAAAGGAAAGCAGTTTGATATGCTACCTAGCTGAAGTTAATGAGGATTTCTCGACGCCTGATCTGTTATCTACTCGACAAAGATTTTCCAGTTAGAAAACAGAAAAAGAGAAACATAGGAGCAGAGAACGAAGATCAGATTGATGGAAATTGGTTCCAACCGTGGATGAATTCCTACTGAGAACAAAACAGCCATTTGGGCAAATGCAGCAAACATTTCTCTTTCCTCTGCTTTCATAGTACCCAGCTCTTTTTCTCGGCAACCAAACAGGGAAATACGAAAAGAGAACCAGCCCACGCAAGCATCCGCATACCAATTCAAATACCCAATACAAAGTACACTCATCAAGGAACAGAACAGACTTACAGATCGAAACAATTTTAAAAAGAAGTTGACCTGCAAAAAGAGCTTTTTTTTTTTTTTGCCAAAACACGATTAAGAGACTCCGGGCCAGGAAGTACCAGTTAATCCAAGAGATAAAAAAAAGTTGAAGCAGTTAAAGTGTTCTGCGAGGTTGGCCACATGGGATTGAAGCTCAGAACCTGAAGCGTAGGAGTGCCAGTGAGAAGGAATCCAACACTTTTGAATGAGATTCCAAGAACCAACTAGAGAGAAAAGAATCAAATGGAAAGAAGGAAGAAAGCAACACAGTAGGCTTGAGCCTTGAGCTTTGAAATGCAGCATCAATTAACATTGAACCGTACGAAAGAAAGAGAAATAAATAAATCTGGTAATACAGTTAATACTCTCCACAGAATACAAAATGACAAGTCGCTGCTCCACAATAAAAAATAAAATAAAAATAAAAGAAGGTAAGAATTTGCATGATGGCAGCGCCATAAGAGGAGATTTTTGTGTTCCCAAAGTGACCTTCCTGTGCTGCGACACTTGGCAATTATTCTGACCAAAGTATTTGGGAATTTCGGAATTCTATCCCGGCTGGGATAATAGGCGCAGGGCCCACACAAAAGCTGGACACGTTGGTTCTATAGTGAAGGAGCTTAGAAATATGATGGACCACTTGATGGCTTTTCTCTTCCCTGTGGGGTGTCCAATAAATAAATTAATTCACTATGGTGCAAATGGTCCGCTTTTTAATTTTTTCTGTGTAAAATATGGATGGAAGGTGGGATTTAATCCCTGAATTAAGCTTCAATTAAAAGATATTAACTATCAAATTGTGATTTAATGATGTTGAGGTAAATATTTTTGTGAACCGGGGAATGCAAATGTAGTGGAAGGTGACCTGTGTTTATATTCATCGAGAGAACTAAGGCCTTTTTGGTTGTAATGGCAACATAATGTCAAAAAGTGTTGATTTTGATCTTTCTCCCTCCTCATTTATTTCGACATCCACTCCTCTCTCTGTCCCATGTGCCAATAACTCCTATTTTAATTCATTCTATATCATGTTGATACTTATTTCATCCCCTAGTTGTGTACTCCTTGTTTGGTTTATATTGATGACTTAGTCTTAATTGGCATATAATATTATTGAAGCAAGACCAAGTCTTTTGTGTAGGGCATGATCATGACTGTGAGATTAGGATCAGTTACATATTTTTATAATTTTAAAATACTCACATCACAAAATTAATTAATTTTATTTTTTTTAAAGGTTCATTCACTGCTTTAAAATATTTTTTTCATATACGTTCAGCATCTTAAAATATTTTGCGATTTATCCAACATCTTAAAATATTTTTCAAAGATGCTTAACGTTTTAAAACTTTAAAAGTAAAATCATAGTATAAAATATTTTAGGGTATTAGGCAGACACAGATGAAAAAATATTTTGGAGTACTGAATAAAAATTAATATTTTTCTAGTGAAAAAAAATAGAGTGTGATACATATTAGGAGTTTTGTTTTTTTATTTCGGAGGGGGTGGGGAGTGGGAGTTATGGGAAAGGAGGTTATGAGCTGTCGACCTAACACACCTAAATGTGAAATGGAATAAAGGGGAAGTGAGGAGAGGGGATGAAGCAAAATGAAGCCCACGGCTTATCTTCGTGAAAGTGACTTTGATTTAATTAGTGATTATGAGTGTGATTAGGATTAATTACGCTCATGACATTATGAGTATGACAATCAAAAGAGGCTCCTAGCCAAACCTAATGATCTTATCCCCACTGCCTTGAATAACCACTCTCCCTCCCTTCTGTCTCGTACTCTGACTGCTTTGACCTTCAATTTTGGTCCTTCCTTTTATTTATTCTTTTATTTATTATTCCTATCTCATTATAAACACAACTGTTGTGTACCTTTCAGGCAAGGGTGGATTGCATTTCTTATTCCTTAAAACTACTAGAATGGCTAAAAAGTCTTCAAAACAAAAATGAGAAGCCAGGACAGTCATGTGGGTCGCCATTTTAAAACCCAAAAAGAAAAAACGGAGGAAGAGAGAGAGAGAGATTTGCATGCAAAAAGAGGAGTTATTGTATTAGGACGACGATATCAATGCGTTCTTTTAAGAAAAAAATTGGGAAAAAAAAAAAAGGTCATGATCTAGTGGGTCCGTTTTTAAAATAATAATAACAAAAAAGAGGAGGACAAAGCGACAAAGGGACATTAGATTAAGGTGAGTGGACTAGAAGAAGGAAAAATGCAATGTTTGGTGGTGATTAGCTTTGGAATGAGGAAACATTGGATCAATTTAAGTCTTGCCTTTTAGCTTTCCCCACATACTCCCCCGCAGATATTGAACAATGCTGTTAATTATGGGTGAACCGGCCAATAACAAACTTGATAGAAACTTTTTTTTCAAAAAATAAAAAAAAAGATTGGTGCCGTTTGTATATTATTACCCACTACCACTAGTATAACATATAGGCTCTATAATTTGCATAGAGCCTTGAATAAATTGTGTCATTTATCATCATTAAAAATGTAGGACGAGATGGTGAAGTTAAATGTGATTTTAATTAAAAAAAAGTTGGATATCCTGGTTTAATTATGAGAATACTATATAAACTTAACGTGAGATATGAGGAAATATCTCAAAAATAATATTGGTGCTTAGTGTTCAAAGAGGCATCTTCTTGTATTTTGTAATCCGTATGAGTATTTTGATATAAAAATTTCTCACTTAAGCTTTGCTTCATATACTTTTTTTTTTTTATACTGAGGTATAGATATCTTTTTATTGGAATCAATCCTGTTTGAGATACTATTGCACACTAAACATAAGCGCTTCTCTCACCGGAGATTTAAGTTTTGGTTCAGCACATTGTAAGAGACCGGCCTTTTTTGCTAAATTCAACCCTATTAATTCATATACTATTTATATTTTATTCTTTTTTTTTTTTGCTAAAGTATCGGTATTCTCCTATTAGAGACAATCCTATTCGAGACAATATCGAGTACTAAGTGTAGGCATCTCTTCTAGCAGGAATTAGAGTCTTGGTTCGTTATGTTATAAGAGACCAGTTCTTGACTTCTTTCTATTAAACCCAAACTTTGTTGGTTATTCAAAATTCTTTTCCCCAAGGCAAGTGACGGACGGTTAATTCGCTCAGCCATGAATATTTTGTTGGGCCAGTCTGAAAAAGCATGGGCTTTCGGCTATTTAAAAACTGTGTATTGGGCTCTTTTAGCACAAATGGGCCTAACTGGGCCGAAATACAAAAAGTTTGCGACCATCGTGTTATTCTAGTCATTTTTTTTTTCAGATCATCAAGTTGTTTTCTGATCTTAAACATATTTAATGAATAAAAATTTCATAGCTAACGGGTCAGATGATCTCTTCCTCTAGCTGGAGAATTATTATCAATATAAAATTGTTATTTTAGTTATTAAATTCTTACTCTGTTTTCATCAGCCATTATATTTTCAGAAGAAAAATACTTGCATTAAACTATTTATATTTATTATGACAAGTTCATTGAATCCCTGCCTTGTCAAAAAGCTTGACGTTATCTCGTTGATTTAGCTTAATGTTTGATGAAAGCATGCATCATATTGCAAACGTAGTCGCTTATTCTTTTTTTGACCTTGAATGAAGTGGCTTATTCAGACATTACTCCCTCCTACCCTTTTTAATAAAATTTTATTAATTATTTTACGAGGTTAAGAAATTAATTAAATTTAGTTAAAAGTCATAATTTTACACAGCTTTTGAAAGTTATTCTTGATTGCAGTTGTTCATTTATACGAAAATGGAATGAAAAGAGTCGTTATTTAAGCCAACAAAATAAAAGAGAGATAACATTATTTGTTTGGGGTCAAATTTCAAATTTTAATTTGATTTTGGTGGAAGCTCAAAAAGATCGATACAAAAGTGGGAGTGACAGGAACATGCACTAAAGAAAAATTGCGTTCCTGTGTCATTTTACAGTGTAGCCTAAGCAATCTAATATCCTGGACCTTAAGCAATCGATGATAATTTCTTCACTGTTTTAACTATACACGAAGGCACAAAACTCAATTATGTCATAATTGGAAGTTAATTTTGGACCCAACTTGTTGCTCTTTTATTTATTTATTTATTTATATGTTTTTTGTGGGAATGCGAAAATATGGGAAGAGGGAAGAGAAGGTGGACTGAGTCAAAGTGAAAATGAAAGGAAGTGAGTCTCCGTTGTGGATTAAAACCGGGTCCCGTTCGTGTGGCGGCAGAGTCAAGAGTCAAGGAGTCGTGGGTCCCAGATGCGATTACGTGGCGGGATCCTTTGCACGCGAACGAATACAAAAGTGAGAGGCCAGAAATGGGAACACAGCCTCGTCTCTGTAGCCGCTGCCCCCCCCCCAAATTCTCAACGTGATTCCTATGCATTGCTATGTCGACGAGATCACTGATCGATCGTTTCCTTCTCCTTCTCAACCATCTCACCAACATCACGTATATTTCATATATTTACCATGTCACTTCTTTTTTTTTTTTGGAATGCATTTCACGTGATACCCAGACCCACACACACACAATGTGTTGTTCACTTCACATCGCTTAAGGTTTTGACTTTGTTATGTCACCTTGACGTGAATTTCAATCCTTAATACTAATTTCTGTTTTTAATATAAACATTATATGACTAATTTGTAAATATTAATAAAATTAGTTAAATTCATTATCTGTAATAAATATGTGTTATATTTCTTCAAATATTTTTGTTAATCTTGTGCACTAGAATTATTTTTTAAATAAAATTTTTTAACATACACAATCACTATATAGATTACTTAGGGTGAAATAGATGGATATAAAAGAAAAATGGATTGGGATATTTAAATTGGATTTACAACTAGCTTTTGTATTATAATGAGTACGTAAGAATAAAAATCTCATGGTACTATCTTCAGTTTTTAATATAAGAGCTAGATAATTATTTTGGACAGAATAAGAAAATAAATTAATTATTTATAACAAATACGTGTTGATTTCTTTATATTACCCCCATTCAATCGTGTATATTGAAACTACACTTGGGTAGAAA